TCTCAACAGAGCAACCTTTCTGCAGAACCAAAAATTTTTTTATTTTTTTATTTTTTTCTAATTTTCATCTCGAGTTCCCTTTTTTTCAAAGCTCAAACTTTTATAGGATTTTTAAGTGAACTGTTATATTTAAAAAAATCTTATTAGATAATAGTTCTAAACGGTGAATTCGTTTTTTTAATCGTGCTTCTCTAAACTTCTTTTTTTTCTTTGAATTTTGATCATTTTCAGAGCGTCATGGGTCCATTTCCAACGTCATCCTACTACAGGTGAGCTTTTTTCTCCCCGAAGGTCTGAAAAATCAAGGAAAAAAGAAGGAAAGCTACAATTATTTGAATTAAAGACACGAAAAGGTCGAATTTGCAGAGACATCATCTTGCCACAAATCTAAAAATATCAGGGTGGAAAAAAAAACGGCTAGAATGTATGCGAAGCCACGGAAAATCTACGTGTGTTTCAAATCATTTATAAAATAATAACACGCGAATTTCCTCCTTCGAGGAGGAGGAAATTCGATTCCAATCCGAAATTTCAACAGACTCTTTCCTTTTTTATGGCTTCTCGTAAACTTTTTAGTTTGCAATCATTGGAGATTCATACCTTGCTGAATAATGGGATGTTTTGAAGAAGCTCTTCTGTTGGAAATGATTAGAGAAGGAAGTTCTTTTTTTTTGTTCCGCTTGTAATTTTTCTTGAAAAGGTTATATCGCAGTTCGAAAACATGTTTGTAATTATTGCCTAGTCATCGTTTTGTCACGCTTCGAGTCTTTCGATTATCGAATTGAAAAAGGAACAATAGTTCAACGGCTGAAAAGTTAGAAAATATCATTTTACTCTGGTTTTTTTTAATATTGTTAGGTTCCTACTATAAAAATATATTCCAATTTTTTTCTCTTCGAATAGATTTTTTTGGCTCAAAGTTCGAGCTTGCTTTTCAAATTTGACTGAAAATTAACAAAAATAGTTCGAAAAAATATTGAGTTTAATAATTATAATATAGATAAAGTCTTACCAGTTGGTTAATATCCTTAAAAAATCAGTCCAATATGAAAATTCCTATTTTATTTCTTGAAAAAAACAAAAAAATCAAGTTTTTTTTTATTCTTCATTTTGAACCTATACTTCGAAGCTCTAGAGTGGTCCCTATAGGGGCAACCTTAGGAAGCTCTTGGAGGGTTCCCTCTAGGACCACATTACCAACCCCTATAGAGATCCCTAACGCTTGAAAGTTGGTCTCTATAGGGGTTTCAGTTAGTGGCCCTTATAGGGGACATTCTAGTCGATTATTTTCATAAACTAAAGCAGCATTTTCATGCAAAAAACTGAATGAGTAAGTATTTTTGAATAAAATTGAAAGACCCCTTTAGGGGCCACTTAAGCTTTAGGTGCTAAATGGTCAGACCCTAAACCTCTATAGGGACCATCTTGATTTTAACCCTATAGAGACCACTTCTTCGGCCCCCTATGGGGGCTGTTTATTTCCCTAACCTCTATAGGGATCACTCTTAAATTTGAAAAAAATATAAACTTCCCTCTATTGAAAATAATTCTTTGTATGAGCCCTTAAGAAACCAAAAAAATAACTATTATGCAAATTTTTTTTAAAGGAGCTCGTTACTGAGCTTGAAGTTGTGTAGAAGCATGTTCATTAGAAAATTAGACTTGAAAAATTCAAATTTTCATAATTTTTCTTGGAAACAAGCTTTTTTTCAAACTGCCATGCTTCAAAACGTCCTGAAATTGTACTTTGAACATTCCCCCGACATCATTTTTTTGGTTACTTCCAGGAGATAAGGCGTCGGGTGGAGGGGAATAAATTAACGAAAAAAACGAAAGCGTTCCAGACACGAATTTATCAACTTTTTCCTCCTGAAGAGATATTCATTTTTTTCTCACATACTCGGAAATTTTTTGATATATAGTGTTTTCGAATCTTGCCAGACGAGAAATTCCGAACATGTGTTTTAAATCTCCATCAAGTTTCCCACTCAATTTCGGCGAGTATAATTATTTTTGTTTCGATGACGTACGGTTTTAAAATGCGATCAGTTTTTTTGCATTTTATTTTTTTAGATTTTTCCCCAATTCTTTGACCTTTTGAGGCAAAAAAAGGGCACAAATCCGTAAAAATAAGGTGTTTTTTTGTCAGACGGTTTTAAAATGCGGTCGTTTGGATGATCAAGTTTTTTTCGATTTTTTTCCCGATTTTCAGTCGTTTCGAGGCAATAATTGGCCCATATTTCATAAAAATAAGGTGTTTTTTTGTCAGACGGTTTTAAAATGCGGTCATTTTTGACAATCACCTTTTTTTGAAGAATATTTTTTTCTACCAATTTTTAAGCTTTCCAAGAAGGAAAATGCCCAGATTTCTTTAAAAAAATTGCTATACACATTCCGAAATTTGACAAAAGGCTTCAGAAAAAAATTAATGAAAATGGGACAATTTCCAAAAATCTGCCCAATAAATTTTTGTAGATTTTCAAAAAAATCAGCTATTTTCCATGAATTTTATCGCTTTTTCTTTAATATTGTATTGATACAACATTAGAAATATTTGCTTCTGTAGTCAAAAAAATTGATCTTCTTCAAAAAAATACCATGTTTATTTCAAATTTTACTGAACCGGAGTGGAAAAAAATTTATTAAAAAGTTCAAATTTTACTCATCAATCAGACTTTTTCCCTTGTTTTCAAGTTATTAACGAAGCTGAAAAGTTCAAAAAAAAGGAAGATTTTGGTCTTATTAAAAATAATCTTTTGAGTTTTTCATCTGTGCTTTACGCTTTCGACCCCATCAAATGCGTGGTTCGCGCCACATATAATTATGAATCACCGTTTTGAAAATCTTCAAAAACATATTGTTGTGATTAAATGTCGAGTTTTTGTGTTAGTTGAGGACAAGATCCTTCTTTATTGAAGCTTTTGCTAGTTGTATGGCCGCATTTGGAATGGCTCAAAGTGTCCAAGAAGTTAGACTTTTTCAAAATAACAGTTTTAGATATTATAATGTTGAAACTTTTCCCGCTTTTTTTTGATGGAGCAAGTTTCTCATTTTATTAAATATTCCCTAGTTCTATGACCGCATTTGGAATGGCTCGAGGTGCCCGAGAAATTCGCCATTTTTAAAATTTTAACTATTCTTTTGATTAGGTTGAGATCTCCATGGAAAGGTAACTTAAAATTTTGGAATTTTTTTTTTGCTTCAATGAAAAAAAGGTTTTTTCTTTCGTGATTTATTCTCTAGCTTACTGGCCGCATTTGGAATGACTCAAGAAGATCATCTTTTTTTGAAATATATGATTATTTTTTTGCATAGTTTGAGACCTCATAAAGCTACGTGGAAATGTTGAAAAATTTATTTTTTTATTTGAAAAAAATTTCCGTTTTTTTGAATTATTTGCCAGCTCGTGACCGCATTTGGAATGGCTCAAGATGTCCACCTTTTTTTAAATTTCATGATTGTATCACACATGTTAGAAAGGTTACCGCAAATGCCATTTACCACCTTGAAATTTTCCATTTATCTTTTTTTCAAAAAGAGCTAAAAAGCTCTTTTTAATTATTAGTATATCCACCGTCATCTTGCCTTTCTTCCGCCCCATTCAAAAGATCAACAAAGATTTCTCAAGTATTTGCTCAATCCCACAGAAAAAATTCCAATTTTACTTCCTATCGACCTTTTCAAAACGACCTTTAAACCAGCCAAGTTCGTGCTCCAATTACCTGGAGCCCTAATTAATTCGCAAGAATCGTGTTATTTCCACCTGTCGAGCCGAATTCGGAAGTTTTCTTCGCCCACGTCGCTTTCGAATCTCCTCTTTTTTATCACATCTTTTTCATTTATTTTTTTTGCGATTGATGACGTTTTGGCTGTTTTTCCGTTAAGTAACAGCTTGAAAAGTGGCCATTTGCTCGTGATTTCCCCAGCGAAATTGACGGTGACATCCTCTTTTGGAGGAGCCACATTTTCTCTCAAAAATCTTTTTTTTCTTGTTTAGTGGTTTAGTTTTAGTATTGAAAAAATGAACCTACTGGCGATTCGTTTAAAAATCGTTTCCAGCTAGTTTAAAGGCGCATAGGGAGGTTCGAAAAAGGGTCTCAAGGCGAAGAGCCGTTTTTAAAGTTTTTTTAAGTTGAGGACCGACTACTGCGTCTTTAAAAATCGAAGCTAGGGGTTTTAAAGGCGCATTGATAAACTTGAAAAAGGTCTCAAAGCGAAAAGCTGTTTTCGAGGTTTTTCTGAGTTACGAAAAACCTCTGCGCCTTCGAAAAGTTCAACTAGGTTATTTAAAGGCGCATGGCATGATTTGAAAAAGGGTCTCAACGCGAAGAGCCATTTTGAAATTTTTTCTATCTACTTCTAGTTATTTTTACATAGTTAAAAAAAAATTGAAGCTTTATGACGTTTTTCTTGGCCCTAGAAAAGCTCACATGAAAATTTAAAATTATTTAAAATTGAAATAAATTTGCAATGATTGATGCGAGTAGAACAGCTCAAAACATTTTGCGCCCGACCTGAAACGGTTCCGACTTGCTCCTATGGATCGAGAGAAGATCGTGACATTTCTTTTTTCGGAAAATCTCGACTGATGAATTTTTCAGTCCAGTTTTCTGTGATTTTCTTCATCTAAAACTATTTTGGGAGTTCCGCCCTTTTTCTTGATATATTCTGAAAGCTAACTCATTCCAAATTCTGTAATCATTCATCGTTTGCATGGGTTGAGATATTAATCCTGGAAAAGGTGGCCGGAAGTTCCAAGATTCATATATCACCTTGGGATTTTTAAACTTGTCACAAAAATGCTTTCAGCCTTCCTAAGTCGACATTTATCAGTTTTTTCAGATTTTTTTCATCTGGTCATGTTTTTTCTGATGCCTTTCTCGTTCCCAAAAACAATTTCTTGCGATTTCGAGCTATTTTTTTTGTGAGATAATGTTTGAAATACTTTTTTCACAGCATCGACTGAAGTTTTGAGGATTTTTGATGTTTCAGAAAATTCCATGCGTCTTTTGGCATGCGTCACAATAGACGAACAGCACAGCCGACTGTGCGGAATCCGGATTCCGAACCGACCTTTGGCCATTCTCTTGGCCCTTTTTCAGTTGACTGTTTCTGTGGCTTCATTTTTGCAGGTTATTAAAGTTACCAAGTTCACTACTGTGAAGTGTGCTAGAGAGAAGCATTACTTGAGAACGCCAGAGTGGTCCTTATAGCGGTCATGGGGAGAAACCCCTATAGGGGTTGTAGGACTGAACCTTAAGCCCTTGAGCTTAAGTGATCATTAAAGTGGTTTTTGAACTTTTTGTTGTGATTTTAAGGTTAAAAAGACCTATTTTATGCCTGATCCATTAATCTTATAATTTTAAGGGGTCCCTATAGGGGTTTGAGGTCTGAACCTTAAGCCCTTAAGCTTAAATGGTCCCTAAAGTGGTCTTTGAATTTTCATTATGCTTTTAAGGTTAGAAAGACCTAACCCACTGATCTTCTTTTGATATTTTTTCTTTCAAAAACGCCAATTTATAGTGATTTCTTTGCTTGAGGGGTCCCTAGAGGGGTCTTAAATGTTTCTTCTCATAGAGTTCATATCAATAAACGACTCTCATGCTCCCCCTGTGGGGGTCACTAATTAAAACCTCTATAGGGAAAACTTATGAAAGCCTTAGGTTTCCCGATAGAGGGAGCATTGCTCCTAGTATTGCCCCTATAGGGACCACTTTGGAGTATTTGAGTAGTTTTGGGATCGGCTGAAAGCTTGTCAGAAGAAGTAAAGCCAAAAGAAAAAAATCAGGAAAAACCAAAAAAAAAAACAGCTAGACATTTCATTGAAACTGCGCTCTATGGATAACTCATCAACCCTGAATTAGGAAAAAGTCTGATTTCAGCACGCGTTCTCCTACTACAAGCATGGCCACGTGTTCCTCTGCAACTCGAATATTTTTCTACATAATGCGACTTTTGAGGTACCTAATCCAATCGATTGATAGTCTGTTCAATTTTGAATGTCAAATGACTTCATTGGCTTGTTCTCTGATTGGTTTATCGCGTCATTAGGGGCGGAGCTTGAGCAACAACTTGACAATTAGAATCTGAACGGACTAGTCAGCTTGAGCTTATTTTTCGAGAACTGGATAGAAATGAAGAAGTTCCATATTTAGGTCCACATTTTGGCGCACGACGTTATAATTTTCGATTTCGGATTGATGCACCGGGTTCTGGGAACGGATGCCTGCGTCGCTAATTATCTCGGTGAGTAAGCCAGAAATTAATTTCATGAAAACAAGGATCGGCTGATAATCATAAGGGGCGAAAACATTGGAATTATTTTTTTATTCATTTATTTTTGGCCTTCTATAGTCCGTTTTTCGTAACTTGAAAAGGCGGGACCTCTTTGCGCCCTCCTCGTCTCTCGAAGTCTCTCTCATCTTTACGTACTACTTCCATGTTTCTCTTACCTCGCCGGTGAGGGAACAGAGAGACGCAGACACGCGAAGTCGCGGCGGACGGCCTATAATTGGGGATAGCATAATTTTTCATAAGCCTAACTTGAAAAAAAGTATCGTCTCTCTGCGCCTCCTGGTTCGCGTGCTATTTTCAAGCTTCTATGACCTTGCCGGTGAGAAAAAAGAGACGCAGACACGTCAAATTTTTTGAATTACAAACTTCGGCAAAATTTAAGAAAAATATCTATGAATACCTGAAAAGGTGAATTCTATCCCGATAACGAAAAACTCAACCCGTTGCGGGCGCGCTTGAACCGGTTCGGTTTTTTAAAGGGTTGTACTTTTGCGCCCGACCAAAATCTCCTTGCGCACAGCGGCATCCGATAATAAATAAAGAGAGTCCTCTAAAGTCGGGAGCGGCTGTAGGCTGAGTATAGTCTGCTCAGATTTCGAATGTCAAGTACAATGACGTCATTCGAAAACGCTCTGTGGATGGCTCGCTCTCTGATTGGTTTTCAGGAGAATTAGGGGCGGAGCTTGAGCGACAACTTGACATTATGAACAGACTATTCTATACATGCTGTTTCAAGCCTCAGACCATGACCTTTAAGCCTTCAAACAACGACTTTTCGAGTAAATAGGCTCAACGTCTTCAAAAAATCTTTCAGATGGAGGTTACATGCGATTCGCCTGGACCATCGAACAATCTTCGGCCCTGACCCTCAGCATAGTTTCCCTAGCCTTTCTTCCCAAACCTCTTTGGCTCCTTTGGCCAGGTCTGACAATCCAGAAGATCCATGAATTTGGAGGCTTTCAGGGCTTCTGATGCAGTCCTCGTACTCCCTCGGCTTATCGGTACTGACGATGGCGACGGCCCCGAAAATCCTGGAAGCTCTTGGAGGGAGGATCGACATGCATTTGGCTGTCATCTTTTCCATTTATGTTTTTGGGTGGGTTTCAAAACTGGAATGGAGTTTCAAGAGTTTCTGTAAATTTTAAAATTTCTCAAAGTCAAAAAAAATTTTTTGATTCCGATGAAACTTAATCCAGTGTAATGACATATCATCAGAAATGCGGACTATTTTTGAGCCATTCCCTCTTACTGTAGCCGGGTTACGGTATACCCCCTGCGTATCTAAGAATTAATGATTTTTTAATGGGCAAGTTGTATATCAATCGATAGGTAATGCAATTTCAGAAACTTTTTCAGTACGTACCATTTTGGGTTACTGTAGAATTTTTTCGAGATACGGTATTTTTTGTGTTTGGGAGGTTGGTTTTTTGGTCTTCAATTTTTATTTTCCCTCCAGATTTGCTTTTAAAGGAGCATGATGCCCAGTAAAATGCGAAAATGCTCTTCGTTTCGAGACCTTTATGAAAAATTTTCAGATTCTGCATAAACTGGATGTTCACGTTCGTCCTGTGGCATTACTACTGGTACCGGGAGCGGATATTTTCTCGGCCTCCGGCGGCTCAACTTTGAAAATTATTTTGACATTTTTGTAGGAAACATTGTTTTTGTTTGATCTTCTACACGGGTGAATAAAGATTTACGAATTTTTCTGAAGAATAATCATGTCTTTGCTTTGTTTTCTAACAAATTTATATCTTGAATTATGCTTTTTGAACGTCTTTTCATTGAAAAAGTATGTTGCGAAATACTCGTTTTGATCTACCGCTTTAAAAAATTTCTAGATAACGAAAACGTTCTTTAGAGGTTTTGAAAAGAAATAAAATTCTATAAAAAATTTCCTTAAATCCTTCTGGCCGCATGTAGAATGGCTTGCGTTGCGGTCGCGCTGCGTTCCGTGTTGGTTTTTAGGCTGCAAAATCATAAGGGGATTTCAAAAAGTGAGCAAACTTAGGGGCTCCAGAGTGGTCACTGTAGGGGCGGCCTCAGGGGCCCTTGAAGATTTCCCTCCAGGGACCACTCATTCTCCCCCATAAGGGCCACTAAAGCTGGCGAAAGTGGCCCCTATAGGGGAGCGATTTCTTATTTTTTCTATTTTCCCTAACCCCTTTAGGGATCACTCTGGCGCTTCTAAAAATCTTACACAAAATGTCAGAAAAGTAAAGGAAGCTTCTTTTCCAAAATCTAGGATTTATCAAAAATTCCTCGAAAAGAACCAAAAGAAGACCTTAAAGACGCTAGAATGTTCCTTCAAAAGTCTCTTTCAAAAAAGATATTATTTTTCCATAAAATTGAACTTTCCGGTCTTTCTCTCCTTGGCCACTGACTAAGATGTCGCTTTTTGCTCTTTTCTTCGCTCTTTTCACCGGCCATTAGCTCTGCCCCGAGAAGAGTAACCATAGAGATTTGGCGGAGCACATTGCGAAACACAAACGGAAATATTCCAGCACATTTTCACGTTTTTACTCGCTTTTGCAACCTTTTCAACTCGATATCCTTGCTCTTGATGACGGAATTTGGCTAAAAATAGGATTTTTGACGTAGATATCAAGATAATTTATGACCCAAGAACTTTTGGGTGTCTATAAAAGGATGATAACTTTTTTAGAAGTCGGTTTTTTGGTTTCAAAATTTGAGTTTTTTTGAAAGCTTCTAAGAGCTTTGTTCTAAAAAACTCATTTTTAACTTTACACCTGTAAAATCGTACAATGCTCCAGAAGCCTATCACCTTTGAAAAATCAAAAAAATCACCTCCTTTTTCAAATTTAGGATCCAAGCTTAAAAAATGAAAACATTTCCAGAAGCCCCTCAAGCTCGTTAGTTTCCTTGACCAGCTTCCGGCAAAAGCTTATCATTTTCCTTATTCCTCTTTTTTCTGATTATATAGTCCACTCTCAACCCCTAAATGACTTTTCTGGACCCTTCTCCTCCCTCAGCGACTCTCTCATCTTGACCCACTGTTTTCATGTTTCTCTGACCTCGCCGGTGAGGGAACAGGGAGACGCAGACTTTTGAAAATCGCGGCGAACGGACTATTTAGAGAGAATACTTTCAAAAAAGTATAGTTCAGATGATGACGAGTGAAATTTTCTCCCGAAGCCGTTTCCGAGTTCAAAGCGCCCCTCCTGGCCAGGCTCGGCAGCCTGTCAGGTAAAAAATCTTTATTCATTGGACAACATTTTTCAAAGAATTCAGAACTTTTGCCGGTCGGAAACTGCCTCCAATTCAGACCAATCAGACTCAGAAGCCAGTGGAAAAAAGCTTCAAACCTTCTACGCCAGATCGTGGGTTTTTTCGAAATTAACTAATTGTTCAGGTGTCAAAACTCGACTTCTCTTTCCTAGGCTATGCAGATTTCATGTAGAAAAATTCTAAATTAATTCAAATTTTTGTTCTTTTGCGAAAATATGAGCTTTTTTGAAAATTTAGAGGATCTCAATGGTAATTCAAGTAGGAGAGGTACTCAGTTATAGTCAATGTTTCCCGACTTGAAAGGCGAAGGAGGCGGGGCAAGGGGCGTGACGCGTAGCGTGTGCGTTCGCGGTTCTTGGCGCCAGTTCAACTCAATCGACGCCGACTGTTTAAAAAGCTCGGAAACCGCTTTTTCCTGTATTTTCTACTATTTTTTGATGCACACATGAACATAATCCATAAATAATTGAAAAAAGTAATGTAAAAAAAGCGAAAAAAAGGGGCTTTCCAAATAGTCGGTGGCGGTTGAATTGAACTCGTGCCAAGAACCGCGTACGCACACGCTACGCGTCCCGCCCCTTGCCTCGCCTCCCCCACCATATTTTTAAACTTTCCTGTTTTTGCAATTCGCAAACTTTTCTTCCAGCCGAATCAGTACGTCGAGTCCTCGAGCAGCGGATGACCCAAGCGATGGCCGGACCTGAAACGGTTTTGAAGAAACAGGCGAGCGGAGATTCTTTGACTCATCTCACCACACGGCGCGGATCTCGTTAGTTGAAGAAAAAGGCTTGAAAGAAGGAAAAGTTGAAAATAATTAAGAGAAATTGGAAGAGTTCGCTCAGCCTTTGTATACTTTGTAACTCACAATAATCGGTTACAATAGCAGACAAGGGCCAGACGATCGATTCCAAAAACAAGTAATTGAGGGGAAAAATCTACTTTCAAAATCACAAACTGGAAAAAAAAAATCTTACATTTAAGCTTGATCTGAATTGCCTTAGTAAGGCTTTACTGAACTTTTGTCACTTGAAAAAAAAACTCCAGAAGATCAAAATTTCAGATTCCATTTGAAAAATATTGAAGGAGGGACGGAATTTATCAAATCAATTGTGAAAATAGAGTAAATGGACACCGATTTTTCTCTTTCTGGACTTCAAACATCAAAAAAAAAACTTCACGCAGCGTAAAAGCGATGACGTAAATGAGGTCCCGAAAAAAAATTTCTCTAATTTTACTTTTATCTAACGTTTCCAGTCAAAAAATATGACATACCCTCTGAAAAAACTTCAAATTACCAGCCGTAAACTCATTTACGGTACGTAAACTTCCATGCACAATACACAAAATCCTTACCGATGCATGATATAACTGAACAGAAATAACCAAGAAAAACAGTGCGAATTTCATTTTGAGGGCTGGTTCTCCAGTAAGAAACAATTATTATTTTACTTCAAAAAACTTTACAGGGCGTAAATCCCAGGGCGTAAATGGGCTCCAGAAGTAAAAAGTTTTAAATCTCATTTAACACTTCCAATTCAGAAGAGTTCACGTATCCGTTCCGAAACTTCACACTTACCTGCCGTAAACTCATTTACGCTGCGTAAAACAAAAATCGTTACCGATGAATAATAGACCTGAGCAGAATTAGCCAAGAAAAACAGTGCTAAATTCCTTTTTGAGGTCTGGTTCTTAAGAAAGAGATGCCGTAAACTCATTTACGCTCCGTAAACCTCCATGGACAATACACAAAATCCTTACCGAGGAATAATAGAACTGAGCAGAAATAACCAAGAAAAATAGTGCGAAACTCATTTTGAGGGCTGGTTCTCAAGAAAGAGACTTATGTAGGCCCTCGCGCCGTCTTGCTGATTCATTTCCCTGAAATTTCAATTTCCGTACAGAGTTGGCCGCATTCAACGCCTTTTTTTACTTTTCCCCTTTACAATTCTCCGTCTTTCTTTTTTTCGTCTTCTCCTTTCCCAGATGAAAAATCGCATTTTTCGCTCCATTTCTCACAGCAATCGTTACATATTACTATAAGGGAATTGAAATCTGTAGGAAAAAAATCGAAGTTGCGAGGTTCAAATTTACGGGGGTTAAAATTTAAAAAAACGAAAAAAATCAGAATTTCAGCGAAAAAAATGAATTTTTTTGAATATTTTTGGGCTTACTTGGATAAATGAGAAAATTTCAAATGACTGGGAAAATGTTAAGGGGTCCCTTAAGAGATGAGAAAATGTTTAGTGGTCCCTTGAGAGGTAAGGAAATGTTTAGTGGTCCCTTAAGAGGTAAGAAAATTTTAAGTGGCCCCTTAAGAATTGTGAGGAAATGTTTAGTGGTCCCTTAAGAGGTAAGACAATGTTTAGTGGTCGCTTAAGAGGTCCCTTAAGAGGCAATTCAAGGACTACTTTGAGAGGGCACTGAACTGACCACTAAAAACTCCTCTATAACGTCTTAGTAGCCACTCCAGTGGTTTATAGCGTTCCAGTATTATCACTTCTGAAGTGGTCACTAATGTGATTACCATAGTTGCCACTAAAACGTTAAAACCTTATAGTAGTCACTGAAAATTTTCACATCAATCGAGACGAAAAAACCAATCAAGAAGTTCCAGTGCGCCGAGAGATGGCGATGACGTCACAAGATGCCACTTTAGTGGAGCTCGACGCGGTGGAAATCTCCATGCTTCATAGTATCAATCGCGCAAAGTGAGAACTAAGAGAATTTTTCTTTTTTACGAACTCTTTTTCAAGTTATGCCGGAAAGGAGGGATCCTTCTACCACATGGACGGCCTTCTGAAGCACGAGTTCGAGGATGTTTCCGACGAGGAGTCCGAAAAAGTTCAGCGACGTCCGAAAATCAGTCTCGTGCGACAGTTTGAGCAGGTTTTCGATTTATTTTTTTGAGAATCCGGGATTTTTTTGAGAGGGTGTTGAAAGTCGAAATTACGTGATCTCTGACGATAATTAGATTTTTAAAAAATTCAATAGGAAGTTTTTTTGAAAAGAAATTTTCTATAAAGCGCTTCGAAAATTAGGAATCTCATTTTTTACTCGATTAGAAGAAGGGAATTTTTTGGATAACATCCTCAGATGTACAATAGATATCTTCAAAAATCTTATAAGGGTTTTTTTTTTGAGAATGAAGCTACTGAACTCCAAAAACTCGTTCAAAAAATCTTACACCTTTTTTTTAAAATCACTTTCCAAAATTGTCTACTTACAAGAAGGCCCATGGCTTCAGAAAATCAACATAAATTCCAAAAATTCGCCCCTGAAATTTCAATTTTCCAGGACGACATAAATGCTCCTCTGGACGGCGTCCGACTGTCTAACCTTGAACAAAGGCAATCTGCTTTGAAATCTTTGTCAGTTATTTTTTTAATTAATCACATAGATTCAATAGAGATGAAGCACATAAGGAAGGGCTTATAAATTTCTCGGAGTTTTTTCTCATTTTGGAGCCTTTTGTGCCCGATTTCAGTTCCTAGAGACCAATGAACCATGAAAAAAATAATCAACAAAGTCTGTTTTTCAGAGAAGACCGTCTGGCCGGGTATCGGCATGAGAAAATGCGATCCTCAACGAGGTCGGGTGACCTTCCAGAAGACCTGATCAGCGGTACCTTTCTTGAAAAATTACAAGTGCATTCAAAAAAAATTATCCAGGATTAGTATACGACGTCGACTTTGACTGTTACTACAACCCAAGGACGGACACTTATTATCGCCTGAAATCAATGTCAAAGTCGGAGGAGGCCAAATTTTGACGCGTCGCGGTTCAGAATTCACGCTCCTTTTTAGCTATGCTTATCGCTGACAGATTGCGCAAGTCGTTTTTGGTCGGCTGCACTTCTGAATAAGCTACGTCACATGTAAATTGATCCTTGCACCTTGAAATGTCCTGACCCCAAGAATATAGCTGAACGCAGTCCTATGTTAGTTCACCCACATGCCACTAAGCGAGAGTCGTTTTGAGTCGGTTGCGCCCTTCAGGCATTCATTTTTGCTCGAAATCAATTTTTAAAAAGGTCTAAAGAAGTCAAACTGAATTCATCCCATGTGAATAGATAGTCTTGGTCGCACTTGGAATGGCTCAGAACGTCGCGAACACCTTGTAGTTAAAACTTGAGTTTTGAGAAAACTCTAGTGCCCACTTAAAAGATTTTTTAAAGACTACTTGGTGCGAACACTAAGGTGGCCACTGAAGCCACCTCTTTAAAAGCCACTATTTCGGATCTTAGTGGCCACTATAGTAGTTTTTTGGGATCTAGTAGATTCACATAGACTCCTAAAAAGAACAATAGATTTTAGTCACTTAAGTGGCCACTAAAACGTGAAAACCCTAAAGTAGCCGCTAAAACCATTTCTATAGAAGCCAATGTTTCGCGTCTCCAATGTTTCGCGTCACTACAGTAATTTTTGATGGTCTAGTACTATTAGTCACTTAAGTGGCCGCTAAAACGTAAAAAAACTAAAGTAATCACTCAGAATTTTCCCAGTTCAGCTTTTTTACGATTCATTTCTATGCGCATCCGAAAGTCGTTTTGAGTCGGGTGCATTTTGAAGAAAAACGCTTCGCAATAGAGACATTCCGAGTGCGGCCATTGAAGTTACGCTAATTATTTTTCTATATTTTTTTCTGTATTTTTATTCCATGCATATCTATTTGGGTTCCCGCCTCAATCTTTCATGTATTTTTTTTGGTTACGTTGTATAAAAATAGACCCATGTTTATTTTGTTTGAAGGAAAGGTACACGTGTTTCCTGAATATTTACTGTTCCTTCTTCTCTTTCTCGTCGGGATGGATCAACTTGATGGGGACGATTGTGGCGGATGTGTAGTGTCGAGAATAATGAACCGATTTTCGGAACGTCTTGTTCGTGTCGTGGAACGTGTCGAGCCAGCCCAAAACGCCGAAACACTCGTTGAAACTGTGACAAAAAATCGATTATGATGAGAATAAATGAATAAAAATTCAAATTCAAATGAGAATTAGAGGCATTTTCAATAGAAATTCTACAGGACCTGAAAAATACTCTAGTGGCCACTTAAGAGGTTCCTCAATAACTACTTGGAAAGGATACTAAAGGGGCCACTAAAACACCTCTGTAGAAGCCCCTTTTTGCGTCTTAGTGCCCACTATAGTAGTTTTTAGTGCTCCAGTAGTACAACTAAGACTTCTGAAGAGGTCACTAAACATTAGCCACTTAAAGGCATAGGGGCAGTAAAAAACGGTGTTTCAGTTCAAAGCGGTTATTTATAGAGCTTTTGATTGCGAATCGAACGGTGAACTTGAAAACGTACAGAAGTTCCTAGTTTTGAAGAAAAAATTATTCAAAGTCGGAGAGAGGGAAGTTTGAGTTCCCGCAAAAAGGGGGTTTCGCAGTAAAGTCGCTCTATGGACAACAGGCTCCGCCATTTTTCGGATTCTCGCTTTTTTCTTCGTTTCTTTCAATTTTCAATTTTTTCTGTTGTCACCAAAGTTCTTTTCGTCACAAAAGCTATCGATTCATGTATAATTTGCAAACTTTGATCGCAAAAATGCTTCTTTGGTGAAAAATGATGATTTTACATCGGTTTCGATTGGGATAGCGATTATTTGTGTTTCCTTTATTATCGGTGTGTTTTTTTTGTTTGACTAAACGTTTTTCAGAAAAAGAAACCCTTAATTTGAAGCAGAGAGCCGGTTATTTCTCAAAAAATGCGAGTCTAATGAGACGTCCGCAACATCGCGTTCACGGCTACTGTAAACATTTGTCCGTAGGCCGATCCAAAGCTTTTTTCAAAAATAAAGGCGGGAAAGTAAAATCGCGTTTTTCTTCTAAAGTTGTCACATCTGTATTTTTTTTGAGTACACCATTCGTTTCGCAAAGAAAAACTATATAAGATACTGCTTTCACCTGAAACCCCATTTTTTACTGCCCCTATGCCTTTAAGTGACCACTAACTTGACCGCTCTGATGGCCAATTTAATCTTTAAAACCCTAAAGGGGTCCCTAAAAATCTATTATAAAAATTAGCCGCAAAAAATGAGCTCTAAAGGTGAAGCTCGCCTTAAATTTTCTAGTTTTCTGGGACTTCGGACGCATTCCGGACGTTTCTGAGCACTTCTAGGGTTTACTTAAGTGCTGTCGCCGCCAGAGTGGTCACTAGAAATGCTCAGACGCGTCCGGGAAGCGTCCGGTTTGCGTTACCAAAGTACGAGTTTGAAGAATTTTTCTGTTGGATAATGTTTTTATCGACTTTTCTGTTTTTATCGACTTTGAATCATTTATATTAATTGGCTATCGATTTCCAAAATAGTAACAAAAAAATGGCCTTTTTTGTCTCACTCACACTTTATGATGGTAGTCATGAGCTTCTGGAGACGGCTGGAACGGAAAATGATATCCGGAATGAGAAAACGTCGTCGACAAGACAGCCATGCCCGCCCAGATCCAAACGGTCATCACATGACTACCGCAAATCAAAGGTCCTTAATTATTCCATTTTTTTTCATCAAAAAAAAAACCAACCTAAAAGGACCGGGAACAGATTCGAAACGGCGTGTTCCAGCGGATGGCAGTAGATGCTCGTGATGGCTGATAATAAATTATATCAAGCTTACAAGGGTAAGTTAAAAAATGATAAAAAAGAAATTAAACTTTCAACGAGTACTGCATCAACTTCTGCATATCTGCGTCAAAGTGTGTCGATATCGGAGTTTTTTATCAATTTTTTTTGATAACTTCATCATTTTCTGTTCGATAATTCAAAAAAGGAAGGATATAAAAGCTTTCATGAGAAGGAACGAGAAAATTTAAATTTAAATGGAGTATTGTATCAATTTCTGTTTGTTCGCGTCAAAGTGTATCGCTACCGAAAGTTTTCTAACAATTTTATTTTTTTATCTTTTTTTCTGTATGAAAAAGTAAGAGAAGGAAATGTATAAAAGATTTTACGAGAAGGAACGAGAAAGTTTAAACTTTAACGGAGTGCTGTATCAATTTCTGCTTGTTAGCGTCAAGGTGTATAGATATCGGAGTTTTTTTAAAAGAATTTTTTTGTTGTTTTTTTCGACTTTTTTTCTGTATTTAACTTTTTAAAGTTTAGCATCACAACAAGATGGAATCAAAACTATTGAAGCTAATTTGATGGACTGGAAATTTATTCAGAAGACTTTTCGAAAATAAATAAATGCCGTAAAAGCTCGAGCAGGTACGCTTTTTGTTCACTATATATAATTTTTCATGAAAATCTATTCTGTTCGTTTGTTGATTCAAACTCCAATATCAGTTTCTCAAGCGGGAAAAGTCTAAAAAAATAATTTTAAACTTACAAACTGGCGCCGTCCACTCATGATGCGTCTTGTGAACGTATTTATAAAAGTGAGGATGGTGGAAAAGGCTGAAAATGTTAAAATAATTATGTTTAATCAAGCTTAAAAACCGATGAGTATAGTAGAATCCGATTTCCTCAACGATTATACAGACAATTATGTCTCGAATCATCACGAAAGCCGACGGGAGCTCTTTTTCGTAGCCGAGGCCTGCAAAATCGCTTTAAATGACTCTTATTCAGTGTAGATTATTATTTTTTTTCTTCAATTCAAAATAAAGCGTGTTTTGAGTACATATCCTGACCTCGAATCTCTCCGAGCTTGTAGAAACCGGTCAGGACCACCAAGCCGACGATGATTTGATTGTAGAGAATCAGTTTCAAAGCGGATATGTACTTCCAGAAAGTTGGCTGAAATCAATATTATCAATGGTGAAAAAAATTAGTTTGTGAGAAAAAAAACTGATCATTGAGATGGTAGAAAAAAGCCTAGAAATGAGAAAATCTAAGCTAAGCTGAATTATTGGTAAGTGACATTTTAAGTGATCATATGAAGTGTGCACTTGAGTAGTTTCCGGATGAGATTTGGAGAATCTCTTGGTGCAGAGAAGCTGGTACAAGAAAAACTTTTCCGGCTTTTTTCCTTGCTATATTCCTTAAGTGGTCACTTGGCCCTTCCTAGAAGTTGCTGAAGATCTTGGAGGATTTTTTCTCTTTGGAAATTGACGAGAGAGTTTTTAATGATTCTTCATGCGTTTATTTTCTTAAGTGTCCCCTTGAACTTTTCAGAGTACTTTAGATATTTTTCACCTTCTTAAGAGGTCTCTTGAATTATTGAATGATATCTAAAACTCCCCCCTTAAGTGACCCCTCGAATTTTTTTCAAAAGCTCTCCAAAGTTTTCTACCTTCTTAATTGTTCACTTGAAATATCCAGAGAACTCTAGAATTTTTCTCACTCTTAAGTGGCCCCTTGGATTTTTCGAAGCTCTCTAAAAGTTTTCCGCCTTCTTAAGTGGTCACTTAAGTTTTCAAAAAATATCTAGAACTTTTCAGCCTTCTTAAGGGACCCCTTGAATTTTTCAAAAGTCTCTAGAAATATTTCGACTTTTTAAGTGGTTTCTCAGAATTTTTCTGGAAGCTTTTGGTCATTTGGAATTTTTTCCCTGACTTTCGCATGATTATTCGATTTTTTTTTGATTTTCGATCACAACCAACCTTTTTCTCGTTCTGAACCTTGTACGGCTGCACCCATTTCGGATCCAAAGCATCGATTATTATGAAAAAGGAGTTGAATAACCAGAAATTCACGATCGATATTGCCAAGCCGGCGAAAACACTGAAAAATTTCTGATTTTTTTCAGTTTTTTTTCGAAAAAAACTAACTTGATGAAAAAAATTTATCGCCATTGCACAAATCGTAGCAATAGCTGTAGAACCTTTCCATGTCGCCCTGAAATTCGAGTTTTAAAAAAACGGGAAAAAAATTAAAAAAATGATGAAATATTTACGTGACTATCCATTTTTTTGAATAATGAAAAATAATTGTTTTCTTAAAAAAATGAAGAAAAACTAAAAAAATCACAAAAATTAGAACCTTATCTTGGAAACCGGGAATAAACGGAACCTTTTAGGGACCCTATCAATATCTTTTGACTTTTACGACTTTGATAAGGGAATTTTTTTTCCGCGTCAGTTCGTCGGAAGATTTTTCCGTTGGAAAAAAGGGGAAATCATCATTGAAATATCGCTTTCGGGCAAAGTCGGAATGGTGGATAATGGCCGCTAAAAGGGTTGAAAAAAGGCTCAAAAAAGGCCGCGGAAAGGCAGCAAAAAGAGTCCCTTAATCAAGCCTTCCTTTCTTTCTGGGATTTAAAGGCTTAAGAGGTAATGGAAAAAGAGAGAGGCAGCAAAAATGGTGCATAAAAGTCAATGAAATGGCGCAAAAAGGCTATTTTTAAGGCCAAAAATAGTGATTTTTTATGTTGGAGGCTTCAAATTGGGTCGGAAAAAAGTATTTTCAAGTTTAAAAGGAAAAAAGTCGGTTCAAAGCTTTTTTCAGTCGAAATTGGACGAATAATGATTTCATTAGTTCGCAAAACTAAGCTCAAGAGTCTATTTCGAGACCAAAAAAGATTTTTTCTGAAAATAAAAGAAGAAAATGGTTAAAGAAATAAGGAGAAAGTTCAAACAGAGCATTTTCTATTTTTAAACAAGGCTCAAGAACCAAAAGATGAGAATATCTCCGACTTTTAGAGAGAGAAAAGAAAAAAGTCAGCGAAACTCGACTCTAGTTTTTTCCAGTGAGGGCTTCCCTTCTCGTTATCATTCATTCCAAAGAGACTCTTGTCAATTTTCGAACCTACAGGATTCTTCTAGCCTAGAGAATTTGTTGCAGAAAGGAATCGCAAGGTTTTTTTTTGATCAAATAAGGTTGAACTTTCAAAGAAAGAGAAACCGTAAAGGCTCAATTAAACTGTCGAAAATCAAAGGTTAGGTTTTTTTAAAATGATTTTTCAAAGCAAACCGCAAATATCAAGCTAAAAATTCATATTTGAACTTGATTCGCAAAGAAAATTTACGTGTGAAGACAGAGTTTTTGACGGCTAAATTCTGTTAAAAATGTTAATTTCCGCACTGGCTTCAAGTTTTGGATGAACAAAAAAACCATAATGGCTCGATCAGAAGGTCAGAAATTAAAGTGAATGAATAATTGGATTTTTTTCAATTTTTTTCGAATCAATCTACAGAATAAATCTCAAAACTCATTTTGAAATAAAAGTTGCAAAAAAATTTTTTTGAAAAGAAAGCAGCCTTTTCGCCAGCCTCACCGAAAAATTTAAAAAAATCAAATGGGATAGGATGATGGTGATTTTCATAACTTTTCTGATTCAAACTGCAAAAAAATGAATTTCAAAACTCATATCGAAATTTGATCCGCAAAAATTTTTTTGAAAAAAATTCAGCGTTTTTTTTACGGCTACATTCTCTGTAAAAAAAGGCTTAATTTTTTTAAATACAAAAAGATGGAGGAATTTTTAAAATGGAAGAAAAAAATAAAAAAATGATGTCAGGAGATCAAAAAAATCCGAATGGACACACTTTTTTGAGCGCCTTTTTTGTCGATCTGGTCAATTTCTGAGGTCAAATATCGATTCCGCTACCAAGCTTTTATGAAAATCATAATTTTTTTTATTTCATATCGAAAAAGAGCTGTCGTTTCGAAGAGAGACCTCCGAAGGAGATTCTATTTGATAACTTTTTTGATTTATGAAAGGGAAATTGAGTTAAAATTTTAATTTTGACACCTTGAAATTTGAGAAAATTTTATCAAAGTTTAATTTTTTTTTTTAAGTTTAGTGGCTTTTTCATGTTATGAAGAGTACGATCCAGTACTTCCTGAAGGAAAATTATCCAAAAGATGCCTAATTTAAGAAATTCTTGAATTTTCTAATCTTTCCTTCACTTTTTGATGCACCAAATGAAACCCTGAAACTTGCAAAACTTCCTATTTTTCGAAAAAAGAGGGCCTAAAGGTTAAAAATAGCTTTTCTGAAAGGTTTTCTTTGACGTTATCTCTCACTTTTTTCGAAAGATTTGGAACTTTTGCAGCTTGCCGCTTTCAAAACACGTTAAGAGCATTTTAGCAGTTTTTTTCAAAAAGTTTGAGGGCAAAGGATGTGTTCAAATTTGAAGGCTAATAAAAAATTTTTTTTTCAGTTTGGATTTTTTTACACTTTTCCGACTGTTCCACCCATCTAGAGCCCGGAAAATTCGTCCAGATTTCTTCCAAAAAAAAGAGAAAATTCCTTCAATTACAACAACTTGCGTCATCAGCCTTTTTCCCATACGATAATGACGGAAAATCGTTTTTATCCCTTGTTTTTCGTCTCGAATCTCACTACGAAAGACAGACATTTGCGTGTGATTCTGCGAAAAATTTTCCCTTATCCGAATTCTACAAAAATAGACGCAGAATAGGAGTTGAACTTGCAGAAAAAATTAGTTCTCACAAGGAAAAAAAAAATGATTTGCAGTTGGGAATTTTCTGAGAATTCTTCAAGATATAGATGATGATTCTGGAAGAAAAAAGCAAGGTGAATTTGAAAATGAACGCCTAAAAGTCATAAAAAGTCATGAAAATGCGTAAAAACGGTTCATTTTGATGCTTTGAGCTCTTCTTTTCTAAATAAAAAAATTTTTTTCTTTCATTTTTTTAATTCAATTTTAAGACGAAAAAAAGGGAATATAGACGATTTTTAGGCTGGAAAACCGTTTTTTATGATTTTGGGAGAAGAAAATTTTTTTTCTCCGTGTCGCCAATTACCAAACCCTTCAGGAAAATTGTTTTCAATTCCAAAAAAATTCAATGAAAAGCGCTTTTGAGCATTTTTATGTCATAATTGCTTACTTCTAGGATTTTTTACAGCATGTTTTTAGATCAGGTCTAAACTCTTCAAGCTAAAAAGTTCAGATCTGATCTGAAAACATGCTGTAAAAACTATGCTAGATTTTCTACAGAAAACAAGTCTAGACGTGTCCCCAAAAAGGGAAAAAGAACAGTAAGAAGATGTTTTTATCACTCGACTCGGGTCGTTTTTATCAATTTCCTGGGGCATTCGCGTCATTGTGCGCTACGACTCGTATTCCGGTCTAATATGACAGTTATTATCAGAAAAAAAGAGTTGTCTTGAACAGTTTCCAGCGGATAGTAGGTTCTATCGGGGGCACAGTTTCGTGCAAAACTTAAAAATAGGAAAATAGGGGGAAACTGAACGTAGTGTAGCAGATCAAAGGGCGTTCGGGTTAAAGTTCAGAGTTTGTGAATTATTTTTTAAGAGTCTGACCTGTCTGCGCTCTCTCTTCTATCGATGGCGAGGTCAAGAAGCTTGAAAAAAGCGCAAAGTCAAAAATATTCAAGTCGTGGAGCTTGACAAGGAAGGTCCTTTAACTTTGTGTTGGGATTTTCTTGAAAATGGGCCAGGGTATTCCTTGATTTCCAACCGTAAAGTGAAATGACTTCCCTTGTGAGGTTGACCAACGGAAGTATTTATTGCCAATTTTCAAACCTTCGGCGTTTTTAAGGATCCGTAGCATTTTTTGTCTCGATTTTGGACCTCAGGACCGTTTTTGGAGTTTGAAGTCCATTCATCACGAGTTCAAACCGTCTGACTTGTCTGCGCCCTCTTTCACTGTCGAGGTCAAGAAACTTGAATAAAAAAACCCAGAGAAAACTAGTCGGGGGGCTTCAGATCAACCAATAATTTTATCCTTTTTTTCGAACCCCAGCACCAGAAGGCAAGCTTTTTGACGACCTGTATCGCATTTTTTTCCGATTTTTCTGTATATAGAACTCTTTCAGGCAGCTTATGACCTATAAAATTCAGAAGGACTGGATTTGCGGACTCTTTTCAAACAGCTTTCTTTTCTTCGGTAGAAATCACCACTTCCAGTCCACAAATTGGCTTGAAACTGAACATTTTGTAACGAGGAGCTTTGATTGCAAATGAAGTTTCTATAGAAATTTTGAGCTTAATTTTTTTTTCTATCACTTCCATTTCCAGGAGACGGTAAAATTTCAAGAGCTTTCTTTGTAAAAAATAATTCAATGAAGGCCTTCTCCTACAGTTCATTTGCGCTCCAAGGACAAAACCAATTTTTTTTTCAGTAATATTGGTTTTTCTTGACTTTTTTTTACTTTGAATACCAAGTTTTAATGCAATTCTCCCTTTTCGATTCCATATCGAGACTCTTGAAAAATATTAATCACCCTTTTTCGCCAAATTTTTGCACCTTTTAAAAATGGTATCACCTGCCGCTGACGTCAGCAAGATCTATCACCTGCTTTTTTTGCCGATCCGACTTTCTGTTGACCATTTTGTTGCTCAGGTTCAACAACAACTTTTTCCACCTGTCAACTGTAAATTTAGCTCATGATTCTCCAATTCATTCACCCCAATTTCTCACCTGTTCCATTTGCGTCAGAGTGTGGAGAAAAATTAGAATCAGTAAAAAGAAAAAAAGTGATTAATTAAAAAAATCGAATTCTTGGAATTTCTTTAATTAGTTTGTTAGTTTATCATGTTTATTCAGGGCGTGATTAGTGACTAATTTTTTCTGTTGCTAGAAAGAAAAAAATCAAACTAGATACAAAAAGTGATTCGCGGAAGTTGAGTTGGAGAGGCCACTTGAGGGTTTTACTCCTAAAAGCTGAAACATTGATTATTTTTTCAGTAATGAAAAAAGAAGAGTTAAATTTGAGGTCATTAAATCATACGAAAGATCCAAAAATCCACCGAAAGGTGAAGTGCGATGGAGCGCGATTGCTCGATAACTGAATTCTATTTTTTTATTTATGAAAATTAAAAATGGAAAAAAAAGATTCAAATTGTAGGCCGCTGAGCTGTGAAGGAGTTTGAAAAAATCTTTAAAATGAGAAGTGCGATGGAGCGCGATTTCTTGATATCTGTATAAATGAGTAACTTTTTTTATTCATAAAAAAGAAGATTCTAAGGTTAGGCCACTAATCGCGCTGGAGCTCCGAAAATCTAGGGATCACTTAAGAGTTTTGAGGCTACTAAAGTGGTCACTATAAAAGCCCCGACACGTCCGATTCGCGTCCGGTTCGCGCTCCCAAGGTCCGAGTCATCAAAAGGTCAAGTGCGGTGGAGCGCACTTTCTTGAAAATTCACTTTAGCCTTTTTTTGTCTTGAGACTTTTCAATTGGAAAAACATGCATACACAAGAATTTTCAAATTTTGTTGTTCTTTTTCTTTTTCTCAATGAGGGATTCTCGGTGACTAATGATATTTTTTTCTTGAACTCGGAGTTTTTCCAAGCTTCTTTGGATTCCTCAGTTTCATTCAAGGCTTCCGAGCTTTCTCCAAATCCCCTATTAACATTTATCCATTTTCCCATCATTCTGCCCGAAAATAGCCCGGTACACCATCTTCCTCCACGAAACCCAATACCCGACGTCCAAAAATAATCGTTCTCGGCCTTTTTTCGGAATCAGAAGACGTCCGACCTTTGCCGGAAGAGGCCACGTGGCCGGAAAAAGCCAGGCAAAGATAGATTGATGGCAAGATGAATGAGATGGGGGGAAGAAGAAGAAGGGGGAAGGAAAAAATGGAACGGACGAGGAATATACTAGCCGGAAATAATTGCAGTGTTGGCGGATATCGTTTTCGTCTGCACATTTCAGGTTGATTGAGAACGGGGTTCTTTCTTCTGCCTTTTTAGTCATGCCGACTGGAAATTGGAACAGAGAACAGCTTGTTTTTTAGGAGGAAGTATGTAGAAGTTGATTGGACTATAGTTAAGCGTTTCCAAAAAAAACATTTTTGGGTAGGAAGTATTCATAAATTGGCCTATTTTTTTGAACAGTAGTCTGTAAACAGAGTCTCCAATCAACCGACCGAGCACTGAAATTGAACTTAAACATGGTTTAAAATCGAAAAATTCGAGCTCGACCCAATGGCAAATTTAGTAAAATCTCTTAAAGTTCCAGTATAATCTCCTAATATGGAACTCAAGAACCCCAGACTACTAGAAAATCCAGAAAATCGAGAAAACCACAAGGGGAAGACAAAAAAACAATGAAAACAACTACACTGAAGCTTAAATTTTTCAGTTCATTCCAAAAAAATTTTTTTAAAGGTTCACCAGAATTCCTCAATATTATTTTTTTTGACAGGAGTTTCTATCGCTACTGTTTTTTTCATACTCTTTATAAAAATGTTCTTGATGAAGAAATATTCGTAGAACACAAATCGGGGCAGGCAGCGAACCATCAATGGGCAGAACCTCAATTCAGAGCATTCTTAAATTAAATTTTTTTTCTTTTTTGGACAATGTCAAGTCCATTTGATCCACTCAGACAGGACCTTTCCATATCAAGTTTGAAGATATATCCCTTTATTTATCTTGAATTCGGACAGATGGCCTCAGGCCTCGATCCAAATACCCTCCGAGCAGCATTCCGCTCTCCTATCCACTTTACCAGGAACCTCATTTTTTTGCAACTACACGTTTTAATAAACTTCAACATGTGTATGGGCTAGGATTTTTTACAAAGAAGACATTCAAGTTACACGGCGACAGGCCTCGATCCAGCGACCCTCAGAGCAGCAATCCGACCTCCTATCCATTCGAATAAGCTTCTTTGAAAATTTTGAACGAAGTTCGCTATCTGCCTGGTCGATGATTTCATATGAAAAAAAGAACTTTGAACTGGGCGGTCTGAGAGTTCGATCCAACGACCTTTGGGGCAACTTTTGGCTCTCTTATTCACTTGGACAGTACCTTTACACACTAATTTTGAACTGAAGCTTGTAATTTTCTGGACGTTTCAAAAAAGGAATTTCAAGTCAGGCGGGGTAAGACCTCGATCCAAGGACTCTCGGAACAGCATTCAGCTCTCTTTTCCACTCGGACAGGACCTTGTTTAAATTCCATGTTTGTCTGAAAGGTGGATTGTTTCGGACGGCCTCAGGCTTTGAACCAGCGATCCCCGGAGCAGCACTCTTCTCTTGTATCGGCTCTTCCAAGATTTTTCGCACCTCGAATGTTTTTCAAAAATTCAATTCAAGTCAGAGGGCCTTATATGCCCGCCTAGGTTATGATACTTCCCAAAGGAAAAATTCAGACGGCCCCTGGGCTCGATCCAAAGACCCCCGGAGCCGCACCCCGCTCTCCTAACATCTCTTCCAAGATTTTTCGTATCTTGAATGTCAAATGGCCCGAACTGAATCCAACATCTGTCTGGGCTATAATCCCTTCCAAAGGAGATTCGAGTCAAACGGCCCCAGGCCTTGATCCAAAGACCCTCGGAGCCGCACCCCACTCTCCAATCCACTCGGCCGCACTCCCAATAAGCACCTGCCGGAGAGCTCACGTGTCACGCGGAGCCCTAAGCCATTTTTGCTTTCTTCTCCTGTGTGCGCCAATGCGGAGCCGCCCCTGGATAGAGAGAAAGGAAAAATGGCCGACGGGAAAAAAAAAGAAAAAAAAATGGAGGGGCGGGCCGATCGATACGAGGCCACCTAGGGTGGAGCGCCGTCGGCTTTTCTCACCGCGTGCACCGCCGTCCGCTCTCATCACGATTAGTATGCTTATGAAAATACTTACTTGCGATTGCAACTTCATGGGACAAAGCCACAGGTAATCTTTTTTTGTCTGATAAAGTGTCTGTCCAGGTTGAATGGTTGGATTTGGTTATAGTCCATTCAGGGAAGTTTTTCGAGCTGTTAGGACTAAATTCAAGATTGAAAGGGAGTCACTTCTGAAATAAGGAGCTTGACTTGCTATATTGCGTCATAGTCCATTCAGGAGACCTTCCTGAGGTTCCAGGCCTCAACTGATTGAAAAATGGACTTTTTTGGATCTGTTACCAAGTAGATTGCCTGATTTGGTAGGTCATAGTCCATTCCCGAACGATTTTTGGAGTTACAAGCTTAACCAGTAAGAATAGCAAAATTACTGGATTTGGCTATAGTTCATTCATGAGTGTTCTATAAGGTTTCAGGTCCAAAATAATCAAGAAACAGCCTGTTTTTGAACCTGCTAGGATAGAAAAAAGTGTTGTGATTGGCTATAGTCTATTCAAGACAGATTTTAGAGGTTTTAGGTACAAAATAGTTAGAAAAAAGCCTGTTTTTGAACCAATTACGATATAAAAAAATTACTGGATCCGGCTATAGTCCATTCATGATAGTTTTTTTGAGGTTTCAAACTTAAATTAGTTAAGAAAAAAACTTTTTTTCTGAACCAGTTGGAAAAAAATATGACTGGATTTGGCTATAGTCCATTCATGAGAGCTTTTTGATATTTTTTTAAAGGCGCAGACCTTTCGAAAAAAATTATTTATTATTTACTGTGGCTTGGATTCTCTCAAACAGCTTTTTTTGTCACTCTAGTCTTACATTAGATTATACCCCTTTTAAAAAAAACTTTCTCAACTGAGAAAAATTTTTTTTCGTTCCGAGACCTTTGCCTATGCTCCTTTAAAAACTCCAGAAAGGTTCTTCGAGTCAATTAAAAGACCGAAGCGTGTATATCTAGTTCCGCTACCGTATAGGATTCTCTATGGAGCGCACAAGTTGATTCATAACCGCTTTGAGATTTTGATAGACGTCCAAATTGTTTTGAAATGAGTATTTGAAAGACTTCATCCAGAAAAACTTGTTTATGACAAATTTCAAATTTTTTTTTCAATTTTTAGAGTCGGATCAGGCCTAAAAGCACTTAGTTTGTTGGAAAAAGGGGATTTTTGGCCTTTTTTCGAGACGTTTTATCCTTTTTTTTGTCGGTTTTGAGGATAAAGATCAAAGTTTTCATTTTCTCATCACTATTTTGCATTCAAGATCCTCTTTTTGGAAGTTCAATGATCTTTTGATGGAAAGCTGAAAAGTTTAGCTTTTTCAAGGAGTTAAATTTACACTTTTTATTAGTTTTTTCATGATGATAATTGACTTAGAAGTCACTGAAGCTTGAATTTACTGAATTTTGAAAAGGAAATTTTCGGAACTCGGAATGGTTGGCCGCTAAAATGGAGAAGCTCAAAAAAGGCCGTAGAAAGACCACAGAAAGGCAGCAAAAAGGAACCTTTGTCACCCCAAAAGGAACATTTCTATAGAGCCTTTTTCCACCCTTTCTGACTATGAAAAAAGATTTTAGTTAGGAAATTTGAAATTAAACGAAGACCACCCCATTTTTTCCTCTCCAATCCATTCCATTCTGCAAAATCATCCAATTAATTTAAGCCTCGTGAGTTGATGCGCCCACGGTAGATTCTCTTTTTCTAAATGGAAATTAGCGGATTATTCAGTTGGATCAAAAAAAAGCGAAGAAAAAAAAAACTTCTGCAGACAATTGCGTGGGGAAATTGAGTCTTATTGCAGCTATTTCCGCTAAATCCCCGAATAAATTACTTTTTTTTTTGGTTTTTCCGTAGGTTTTATGTTTTGATTCATTGTGTATGAGTTACAAGGAAGCTGGAATTTTGGAATTTATTGTTTTTCAAGTTTAGATTTTAAAAAAATCTACAAAGAACGAGTATTTGTGAACAGAGATCAATGACAGGCTGAAGAGACACCAGAGAAAAAGAGACAGTCTCACTTCTCTGGCCTCTTTTCAAAAATGATTTAGAAAAGACAGAGATCATCATGATTTAAGAGACGCCAGGGAAATGAAACCGTCTCTTTTTCTCTGGCGTCTCTGGCGTCTCTTCAGACTCGATGCTCTCTCATTTCTATTCATTCTGACATCATTTTTTCAAAACGAAAAGCTCGCCTTACCATACAATTATTTTTCAAAGCAAATTTTTCGTTTTTATATAGACAAGAACCTACTGTAAGTGTCTCTTTTTTGAAACCTCGAAATATTTCTTCTCTTTTTTCGATTCACTATGTAATTATTTTTATTCCAACTCATTCTTCCTGTTTTTATGATCAAAATAAAGACATAAACCTACCGTAGGATCACATAATGTATCTTCCCTTCGAAACCCCAAAATTATCAGTTCTCTAACCAAGAGTTCACTGGGACAAGCCGGCAATTTCCGTCGAGCAAAAAAGCGAAAACTCTAATTAGAGCGATTGCCTGGAGATGGTTGAGGCAAACAATGGCCGGCTCTGCAAATATGGGCCGAAAAATTGGGGAGGAAAAATGGAGGCCTCGAATCCATTGCCAATATTCGAAACACACGAGGAGAAAAAATATATGGATGGACTCGAAGGACCCTTGTTCGGCTCGTTATTTCGCTTTAATTGTCTTTTCCCGCTGATTTTCTGGGCTTTTGGGTGAAATCGAAACATCAAGTGGGATGGAGAAGGAGTCCAAAAGCTGAGAGGTTGGAAAATTGGCTAGGGAGCATCTTTTGTTCATAAAGAAGCCTAGAAAAAATTGGATTCTTCATTTCAAAGTGATAATTTGACTTTCCAAGCATTTTTTCAAGCCAAAACTTCTCGTTTTTGCGCTCCATGGCAAAATTGCATTTTCACTTCTGGAAACGATGTGAAAATTTTCTTAGAAGCCTCTGCTCTTTAGAAAATCAAAAAAGGTCCAAATTATATCATTAAGGAATAGCTGGAAGAAATAGCCGCGTAAATTCAATGATTTTGCGCTCCATTGCAAACTTTCATTTTTACTTCTGCAAACGATTAAAAAGTTTATTCAAAAGCCTTTCTTCTTTGAAAACCTAGCAAAAAGATCCAAATTATATCATTAAGAGCTTTGGAAATAATAGCCGCCGAAATCCCATGCTTTTGCGCTCCATTGCAAACTTTCATTTTTACTTCTTGAAAAACGATATAAAAACTTTTCCAAAGGCCTTTCTCTCTCTAAAACCTTGGAAAAAGTCCAAAGTATATCCTTAAGAGCCCTGGAAAAAATCGCCGTGAGCTTGTGCGCTCTGCTGCAATTTTTCCAACTCCCAAGAATATCGGACTATATTCTTTGCATTGTCACGCGATCCTTTGTTTTTCTGCAAGGTTGGCCTTTTCCAAAAAGCCAAACCCAGGAATCAGAAAAACAAGCCGAACATCTCAAAACTAATCCCATTCTTTGCAACAATTATCCGTTGCCATGGAAGTCATGAGAAAAGCGGGGGGAATTCAGAAAAACAAAAAAGACCAGGTTCACTGGAATTAATCACGCAATGGCTGCGTTTCCATTAACAGGGTGAATGAAAAGAATGAATCATGAATGGCTTTTCGAAAATTAAGATAATTGGTTCTACCTTGTGTGAATAGGAACGGAAACTAATCGAATTTGAATCGAGAAAAATTTTCAGTGAGTAAGATCGGAAAAATTAGCTGAATTACTGAAGGAACCCTCAAATGACCACTTGGAAAAAATGATTCGAGGTCCGTGGATCGAGTTCACGTTTCAACATCATTATATAAATTGAAAATATTTAACTGGATTTTGATTTTGAGTCAATTGAAACAATAAATTTTAAAATATCAAGAATTCAGCTGATCTCCTTGAAAACTTTATTAGAATTTATTTCACTCATAAAAATAAAAAAATTGAATCGAAATTTCGAAACGGCTTCGTTTCAAAATGGCTAGAAGGCTTTATAAAGTCCTAAAGTCAAAAATTGGTCCAGATTGAAACATTTTTGGGAATAAAGGGAATTAATGGAATAAGGAGGAGTTTTTTTCATATTTTTAATTATAAAATGAGTTCAAAAAAAGATCAAAACAAATTCAAAAAAATCGGAACTTCATGATTTGAGCCTAAATTTGGGTCAAATTTCATTAAAAAAATGGTCCGTTTCGATATAAATTATGAGTTTTTGAGCTTCCGTTACGATATGTGATAAAAAGGTCGGGAGTCGAAATTTCATCATTTGAGCCTAAATTTTGTTCAGAATTCATCAAAAATGATCCATTTTGAAGGAAATTATGCACTTTTTCAGTCAGTCGAGTTAAAATTTCGAGAGGATGAAGATTACTTTTCAAAATTTGAAGTCCTTCAAAGTCAAAAAACATGGTTAAGCTTCAATTCGGCTATTGGAATTGACCAAATTCGAAAGAATTTTTGAATTTTCGAGTTTTTTGCTTGACACTTACAGAACCAGGAGAACTTCCGTTTTATACTCGGAACAAGATTAGTAGCTAAATTTGAATGGAAACCTCATTCACGATAAATTTTTCAGTGGCAGCGTGGGTACAGAGAAGAAAAATGTTGCAGCGGCGCCGGAAAGTATTGACCGGTCAGTTCTTTTTTCTAGGAATTTCCAAAAAAATCTCACTTCTTGATGCCTTTTTCGTTGCTCAGTTATCGACTTTTTCCTGAAAAATCACTTTTCCAGGCCCTCTTACGAAGTCGTCTACAGTTGGTCCCAATCTTTCGACAACCTCATGAAAAATAAACGTAATTAAGGCTTAAAAATGGATAAATTCAAAGAAATTTTCAGTTGGTCAAAAGTACTTTGCCGAGTTCCTGAAAGGCGAATATTCCGATGAAAATATCCTCTTCTGGCAGGCCTGCGAGGAGCTCAAACGCGAGAAAAACGCCGAGAAAATCGAGGAAAAGGTGATTTTTTTGGTTCCAACAAATGGCTATAAAAATACTCTGAGCAAACGTGCTCCACTGACAAAACCCGCGAAATCAAAAGTTTAATGAAAAGTTCTTATTGGTTTGAACCACGGAGTGATCCCTATAGAGGTTAGGAAAAAAAAGTTCCTGTAGGGGCTAAATTTGAGCGGTCCTTATAGGGGTTTAGGCCGCTAAATCGCTAAAGCTCAAGTGGTTCCTATAGGATTTTTTTGAATTTTGTTTAATTTGAATTTTTAGAAAAATGTCCTCGAAAAACTGAGAATCTATGCTCTACGGACAAAACCAACCAATTGAAAAATCATTAATTTTATGATTAATACCCGAAAATTTAGTCCTCCATGAAAAAAATGTTCACAAAAAAATTTGAAAAACTGGTAAAATTTTTTTAGTGGCCACTAAAGAGGCTCGCCAAGGACTACTTGGAGAGGACACTCAAGTGGCCACTTCAGTAGTTTTTCATCCAGTATTCCTTCCAGTAACTCTGATAATTTCAAAACAAAGATAGTGAGCCAGTTATGTCGATCCACTGACCCCTAAAGTGCCCACTAATTTTCAACCCCTTAATTGGCTACTAATTTGACTACTATAGCGGCCACTAAAACGTCAAAACCCTATAGTGGCCCCTAAACATTTTCGCAGAAAAGCCTCCTTTTCGTCAATCAACTCTTTCAAAAGGCAGCTCTCAAAAAAAGTGAAAGATAAAGGGTTTTTGTTTGCCTCCCTCCAAGTCACGTCGCTTTTATTTCCGGAAATTGTCTTTCGCGTCTCAAATATCGCAACCAACTAACTGAATTTCCACGAGGACAAAAAAAAAGTTTGTGACTTTCTACGTCACACTCCACTGAGAGTACTACAATTTCGCGGGATCGACCAAAATTGGCGGCTTTTTAGACACACCTGTGAGTGGGATAATTCGTATGTTTTTCTCGGAAAATTGTTTTTTGTATTTTAGGTTCTATGGGCTTTCAGTTGTCCTCTAGAAGGAGGAAGAAGCTTTTGAGATGGGAAAATAATTTTTAAAGGATCAAAATTCAAAAAAAAAGTTTTCTCCGTGGAGCACATTTGCTCATAGCCGACTTGGGAAAGTCTGACTGTCTGCGCCCTCTTTTCTCTTGGCTTCAATGACGTCATATCAAGTTGAACTTTCACACGTCAAAGAAAATTTAGAACTTTCTATTTTTTTCCTAGACGTCTGAACCTCTCTTTTCAGCTCACTGTCTCGCTCATCAAGCCATGTCTCAAGAAAATTAAGTTAATATGAAAAAAAAAAATCAATAGTGTGCGTGAAAAACGTGGGAAAAATTTATGCATTGTTTCCGAAAATACTTTCAATATCCACAAAAAGAAAGTAAAAAGAGTTTGAATTCGTCTTTTCCCGCCAAAAACAGCTACGCGACCGCCGGGCGACCATCCGGTTTTTTATTTGAATAATCAGAATATTTATCCAAATGTAAGATCGGAAAAGAAAGTCCTAGAAAATTGGGGGCTTAGGTCTCCCTTTTTTTGCAAAGATGCCTTCGCGACCCCCCTTCTGAAGTAGATCCTTCTGAAGTCCCAGTCTGAATCCGAAACCATTTTCAGGCCCGGATCATCTACGAGGACTTCATCTCGATCCTGTCCCCCAAGGAAGTCTCTCTGGACTCGCGAGTCCGCGAGATCGTCAACTCGAACATGGGCCGACCCACCTCGCACACCTTCGACGAAGCCCAGAACCAGATCTACACTCTGATGCAGCGAGACAGCTACCCGCGGTTTTTGGCCTCCAGCATGTACAAGGGGATGATCGGCAACCACGGGATGCTCGAGGAGCTCTGATATCCCCTTTTTTTTTGAAATTTGTTCCGAAGAGATAGAGTTACAGTACTGGTATTGGTGGGAAAAGGTGTCCATGCGCCTTTAAATTCTGAAAAATACCCATTTTTGGATAATATTGTTATGGTTTTTTTTAAAAATAAATTTGAATATAAGATTGATACCGACTAGAATGAGGGCAGAACTTGGAACCGATTTTAAAAGCGCATAGAGAAAGAGCCAAAAGATATCTTGACACGAAAATTAGATTTTCTCTCGAGTTAATGGTGAATCGCACGTAGTTCTTTTAGACGAGGAGTTTAAAGGCGCATTGATCATTAGAAAATTCTCAGGCTACCCCTTCGCCTTTAAAAACCGATTTAGGCTTCTATGAATGAACTAAAAATAGAAATTTTCGATTTTTCAATCTTCAAAAACTCTAGCAAAGTCGAAAAAAGAACTCAGAAGGGTATTTTGGCTTTTCTTTCTCTGAAGTTCCTTGGAGCGCATTTTCCGGCATGATTCAAGCCGCCATTTTTTGAAACTTCAGAAAAAAAGGAACACGCGATGAAACAAGCTTTCAAGAAGTTTTTTTCACATCCACAAGCCAAGTGCTGTAACTATATCCTTTTTCCACCGTAATCCTTCTAGAAAAAAAAAAATTATGGCATCAAGTGCCCTACCACCATTCACTACTGGGTTCCAAACAAGAAACACATTTTTTTGAAAATAGCAAAAACGGTCCAAAAATGAGGAAGCTTTGAAATTGTATCATTGGAAGACTTTCCTAAATTGTATCGTTTTTTTTTGTTTTTTTTGTGCTTGTTAGCTGGTCTAGTACATTGAAATCCCCTTATAACCTACCAAAAAGTTGAATTCATGACAATTTTCGTTGCTCATTTGATGATGAAATAATGCGGAGGGAATGAACCTTTTTTGAAATTTTTAGAAAAACTTGGGAACTCTAGAGTGGTCCCTATAGGGGCTTTTCAAGGTTCACACAAAAAATCAAAAGACCCTATAAGGACCACTTGAGCTTCAGGGGCTCAAGGGACCAGCTCAGTTTTAACCCTATAGAGGTCTTTTTTCCCCCTAAACCCTATAGGGACCACTCTGTCGTTCCTAAAAAGGTCCTTCCGCATTTCCCGGAGAACAGAAGCAAATGGGCAGGGTCCCCCAAACGGTTTTCCAACTTATATTCCTTGACTTTTTCTCTCTGATCTCTTTCCACATAACACACTCCATTTGTTGTCAACACCATTCCCAGAAAAATCCGAAAGAAAATATTTTATGTAAATATTACTTCCCCACCAATACATGTTTTATGTACGAATGATACGATACACAATCCAATTGATAAAGAATAAAAAATTAAGTTCGAAGTTAGTGTCAATGTTAGAATATTCGAAATGTTAGTTGTCGTGCGGCTTCATGCAGACGCGTCATAATGGTCGGTGGGTCTGAAAAGTGAAAGTGTTCGTACTTTACAAGCGTCTTTGTATTATGGAAAGAAGTAATAAGTGTTCGAGTTTTAAAAAAGTCCAAGAAAAAGGACTTGAAACTATCTTTAAACTCTAAAGAAAGGTTAAAAAAATGGGTCTGAAAATTCAAAGTGTTCGTACTTTACAACTGTCTGTAGTTTCTAAAAAATGAGTTGAAACAATCTTTATAAAAAGGGTTCAAACCTCTAAATTTCAAAAAAAGAAGACAGTAAGTTTCAAAAAAATTACGGGAGGTTATTGTAAGTTTGAAAGATGTGTCTATAATTATGACGCAAAAAAACTTCAAAAAAACTCACGAAAAAAATCTAATTTTTAACGTTTCTCGAGTCATTTTCTTTCAAATTAAAAATAAAATAAAAAAAGTAACCGGAGACACCAATCGCTCTTCAGTCGAACTTCTCTGACTTCCTCGTCTTCGAGATCATTTTGAAGGCCGAATATCTGACGGATTTCCATCGCAGATTTGTCCTGAATCGTTTTATAAATCTTTGAAAAAATCCAGAAAAAAATTTCCGAGGACTGGCAGAAAATTCTTGCTTGGTTCTCAAAAGCGCATATATAAGTTACATAAAGGTCTCTCGGCGAAGAGCCGTTTTCAGTGTAGTTCGTCCGAGTTTTTTTTTTCTTGAAAAACAAGCATATTCGACCAAAAGAATATTGTTTGAGACGTTTCGAAATTCATTAAATCTGGGAAAAATTCTGGGAAAAATTTTAGTGGCCACTTCAGTGTTCCCTCAAGAACTTGGAGAAGACACTAAAGTGGCCACTGTAGCAGTTTGGTACAACTTTGACTTCTAAGGAGACCGAGTCACTTAAGTAGTCACTGATTCGACTACCTACCTTAGTGGCCCCTAAAACGTCAAAACCCTAAATCTCAATTTTATCGTTTTTGTTAGTCTTTTTTTCAAAAATGGGCTTAAATGAAGTGGTCGATAATGGTCCCTAAAAGGTCCACTTTTCGGACTCTAACACGGACCTTCAACCTCTCAGCGAGCATTTTGGCGCAGCAATCGAGGAAAAAGTCGCATTGGAAGTAGTTGGCGAGGGCCATGTATTCGAGCAGTTTGGCGATGCTCACGTCGAGGAGGACCCAATCTTCCGGTTTCAGCTCTCGTGCCCGTCGAGCTTCCATATCGGAGGCTTCTATATTTGGCTCGTCTTTGTGCTGCATCAGGTAGTCGATCATCTCAAGATTATTTTTTGTTGAGAGAATATTGTCTCAGTTCTATTTTAACCGATTTTGAGAGGTTTTTTTGAGTTTGAGGCGCCTTTTTTCGAAAATGAAAATTTGTACAGGTAGAGAGAAAAGAAAAAATTGATTGGCCACTTAAGAGGTCCCTCAAGAACAACTTGGAGAGGACACTTTAGTGGCCACTAAAACCTCTATAGAAGCCACTAGTTTGCGTCTTGATGGCAACTACAGTAGTTTTCAGCAATCTAGTAGTACCACTTGGACTCCTAAAGAGACCACTAATTTGACTACTATAGTGTCCACTAAAATGACCACTAAAAATTTTCTCAGTGAATGGAGGTCTTAAGGCGAACTTTTAAAACTCGTAACTTAAAAAATAAATGTTTACTCAGGTGGAAACTATGATGAGTCTTATTCTGCTAGGAAAATTTGGACGAATTTTTGTAGATTTTTGAAGTTCAAAGTAAGTAAAATACCTTGTTGAGGTTATCAGTCATACTTTTCTTTTTTTTTCTGTACTTTTATGTGGTAAAATAAAATATTTGTTCCGAAAGCAATAAAATTGAAGCTTTTTTGCGTCATAGCAGATGTATTTTTGAAGCTTCTGCGACATTAAAAATGCTAGAAAAGACGGCTTTGTATCTTAACAATTTTTCTGGTTCAAAAAGAACATTTTTTCCCGAATGATAAAACTAACAGCCATAAAATTGGTTTTAGTCATAATAAAAATTCGATTTCGCTTATTGCGCGTCGCTTCTGATGTAACGCGTGCACTGCGTACAACACATTTTAATTTCCGCCTCTGCGGTGGTTGTGGCGTCGATTTGGTGTCGCCGTGTGATTCACTTCCTTCTTTCTAATCAAACAAGGTTCCTCATCCGCATTTTAATTATCGCCTTCTGATTCATGTTTTCTCAAAATTTACGCTTCAAAAAGTAGGAAACGTGGGTGGAAGGCTGATAATTATGTTCATTAAAATAACAAAACCCACGCAGCACATTTTCAGATTTTTTCGCGCCGCTGAACTCATCAAAATCACTCACAAATTGCATATTGGCGCCCGTCGCAGCAGCGATAGTAGCAACGCCAGCAATGTTTCCCATGTCCTGGAAAAGCGAAAATCTTGAAAATAAACAAAACATGAAAGACTTTACCTCCCTCATCCGGTGCAAAAGAGTGATCCTGTCGACAATTGGTTCCGGAAACTGAAAACTACGAATTTTCATCGAAATTCATTGGGAAAAACTTGAATTGTTTGCCCATCGCATGAGGTAAATTCGTAAGTTTCGAGTCCCACGTTCACCGGCGTCACCGGTCGTCTTCCCGAGTTCCGAGGACCCAGACATTGGAGACAGTCCATTTCCTGAAAACGATTTTAAATTCAAATAAAAGTTCTTCGATATAACAGCTATGAAAAAGATGGAAACGAAGATGTCCAAAAAATTACTCAATAGCCTTATACAAAACATTTTCAATTTCTGAAAAGGAATTGAGAAAAAAAACATTGAAATGATCAAGAATGAACTTTCAGCGTACCGTGATCCATCTCAGCCACCGAGGGAGTTCTCGCTCGTTGTCAATCCGAAGAAACGGAATATCTTCAGCCATTTAGCGATCGCTTAAGTGGAGTTGGCGACACGTTAGTGTTAAATTGAAAGGCGAAGATCGTTCGGAGAGCGGCCCCTCAGCGTCTGAGATGTTTGAACGACAATCAAAACCCAAAAACTTGGTTGGCGGAGAAAAAATTTTGATCTTTTTTCGGATTTGTCTCGTAAATCGGCGGAAACAGTTCACTGGGGCGCACTTGCTGAAAGTTTTATTGACTTTATTTTTCCACGGAAATCTTTTTCATTTTGGCGAATTTCTTGGCTTTTCTTCTTGAATTCGGTTTGTTTCAGGTACGTGGGTTTCATATTTTCAATTTTGAGCATATTTTTGATACATTCTTGTGTACAACTGCTTCGTTGAAACTCAAAAATTGGAGAAGATTTTTTATTCCGTTTAGACGAGGAATCGAATCGATAACTATACAAGAAACATAAAAATATGATATTTAAAGGCGATGATCACCCCCGAGCCAAGCAGCAAACTCGGAAAGATAGCAGAACTGTCAATCCAGCGTAAGCAGCGGCGGCGGCCCAGCAATTGTAAGCGTTTTGTTGGAATTGTCTGGAAATTAACATAATTTTTTTAAATTTTTTTATCGGTTTCAATTTTTATGAGAGTGAAAGATACGTGGAAAAAAATTTTTTTTCGATGCTAATTTCAGTCAATTTTTTTGATATAATCGGGTTATTTTTCAGTATTCAAGTTTTACTGGGGTAAATAATTTAGGGGTGTTATTTAAATTAATGATAATGAATTCTTAGGCGATAATAACTTGTAAAACTCCATAAATTTGAGAAGGAAAGAAAAAAGACTTGAAATTTAATGGTAAAAATAATTTGTCAATGTTAGAATATTCAAACGGCTAAATCGAATTTTTGTGAGTCGAAATTTTTTTGTTAAATTGTATTTTCTTTTTCAAAAATAAAAAAACAGAAAGTTTTGATAAGGTAATTTAATGAATTTTGAAAGAACCTTAAAAAAATCGGAAACTCATTGAAACCTTTTTAGTAACAGAATACTGGTACAAAAATTAAAAAAAGTTTTTTTCACAAATTCAGAATATTTTCATCAAGTTTTCTAGCAATATCTCACTTAATAATTTTCTTGGATTCAAAAAAATTCAGTAAGTGATTTGAAAAAAAAGAAAACAAAAACAAAACCAACTTCTGGAAGGCAGGCACTCGGTCTCTTTTTCCAGTCTGACGTGTTCGTTTGCAGGCTTTTCGGCTCTTTTGGTAGATTTTCGAAAAGTCCCACGGATTGGTTCCAATATAAGGCTCCGAGTGTCCCCTGGAATGATTTATGTAGAAAAAAATTTGAAAGATTTAAGAAAAAAATTCAATTAATCGCAGACTTGTTCGGCGCTGTTTAGACTGACTTGAAAAAGAAGCGTTTTAATAACTTTTCTTGATTTAAAACATGTTTTAGAATACGGTTTTTAGAATTTTTCACGATTAGAATTTTTTTTTTCAGTGACATCTTATGTATTATTGCTTCCTAAATAACAGTTTTTCGAATTTTTTTTTTGTTCGAATCTTATGATAATTCTAATCCCTGTCTCTATATTTCAAGAAAGTTTTTTTAAAATCACATAAATGGTATATTTTCAATACTACCAGACTTTTTTTTTCTTGATCTACACTAAGAATAACTGCCGAGATAAACGCGAGACACTGGCGGTACATTGACGAGCTCGCAAACATCTCGCTTTTTTTCTCGCGCCGGTCTCGCATTTTTCTGGGCGCCAGCTCGCACTTTTCTAGGCGCGAGCTCGCATTTCTCTCGCAATTTGAAAATTTCCGAAATGCAAGATAAATGCGAGATGGCGCCGAGAAAAATGCGAGGTCGCGCCGAGAGAAATGCTGGATCGCGCCTAGAAAAAAGCGACATTTTTGCGAGTTAGTCAATGTACCGCCACCGAGCTCGCGTTTATCTCGTCAGTTATTCTTAGTGTAGGGCCGAAAATATGAAAATATTTCGCTTACTAAACCGAAAAAATGCGATTTTTCGCGAGCTTTATAAGCTGGAAGCGTTAACTAAAATTAAAATTACTAAGGATTGTTTAAAAAAATTTTTCTTACGGCCTATTTACGGATATCAAGCTTTATCTATAGTTAGCGGACGTTTTTAAATTTTTAAAAATCAGTAATTTCTATAAGAATGTGCAAAGCTTACATGCTGTTGTTTGCAATGAAAATTCAATTTTTTGTATTTCTTTTTTAAGTTTATATTTGTGAACTCTAATCTTCACAAAAATAAAAAAAACCCAAAAAAAGGACGAACCGTGAAGAAAATCCCCCAAATGGCGAGGAAGAGCATGGCGCCGGTGCAGTACTTCCCGAACATTTTCGACCCTTCCTTTAATTTTTAATTTGAAAAAAGAAAAGGAAATGTAGTTCTGAAATCAAAGAAAAATTATTATCGATTCGTTTCCCATCAGCGAGCACCGAGCAATCTTTTATCTTTCGGTCGCGCCAAAGACGCCGATAAGCCTTCAAAAATGGGTCCTGAATGGAATTTTCTTTGTTCTTTCTCAATTTTTCCGTATTTTATTCGAATTGAAAGAGCATAATCAGTTGAAAAAGGCGGTTAGATGAAGAATCGACATTCACTTCTGAAGGGTCTTGAAAAGTGGGCCCTGAAGGGATTTTCTTGTACTTTCTCACTTTCTTTTGTTTTTCATGAACTTGAGAACACGGGTACAGTTTAACTGAACTAAAAAGAAAAATTCTAGTTTTAAAAGACGGTTCATAAGAAGAAGAAGATTAGAAGGAGAATCGACCGGCACTTCTTGAGGGCCTTGAGAAGTGGGCCCTGGAGGGATTTTCCTTGTATTCCCCTCCTTTTTTGTATTTCTTAATGATTAGAACACTAGGAACGTTTATTTGAAATGAAAAGAACAAGTTTAATTGGAAAACACGGTTCATAAGAAGGTTAGAAGAAGAATCGACTTCTGAAGGGTCTTGAAAATTGGGCCCAGAAGGGATTGAACTTTCTCACTTTCTTCTGTATTTTATGACACCGAGAACACCGGGAAAGTTTATTTGAAATAAAAAAAGAACAATTTTAGTTTTTAAACGACGGTTCAAAAAGATTAAAAGAGTCATCGACTTCTGATGGGTCTTGAAAAAGTGGGCCCTGAAGGGATTGAACTTTCTTCTGTATTTTTATGACGTCGAGAACACCGGGAAAAATTTATTTGAATCAAAAACAATTTTTAGTATGAAAAACACGGTTCATTAGAAGGTTAGAAGAAGAATCGACCGGTTCTTTTGTAGAGCCGACGCATGGCCAGTTTATCGTAGGTCGAGACGGGGATCGCCGTCGGCGTCGACACGAAAACCTTCAATTTTAGTTTTGAAACATATTTTCTGGATTCGAATTCAGGACGTGAAAAAGAAGTAGGAAAAGGGTCAATCAGTTGTCTCTAAGATTTCAATATTTTTTTCAATAGATGTATATTTTTGTAGCTTTGAAGGCATTTTCAGAAAGCTCAGTTTTTGAAAAAAAAAAAGATAAATAGCTGGATTTGAGGAGATGTTCACGTTCATTTATGTAGCCATTTTTGACCTTTTCGAAGTTTAGTTTTCCGCTTTTTTATCAGAACTTTTTACGGCTTCATATGCTTGAATTTTTCGAAAGAACAACTCTAATTAATGTAAAAATCAAGATTGAAGAAGATTTTTCACGTGTTAGATACAAAATAAATCGCATTGAAAATATTTTTTAGGTTTTCGTTAGTTGAGAAATTGAGAAATTGATATTTTTGAAATAACTGTTTGGGTTATCAGCAAATGCAATTTATGGGTCCATCCAATTCTTTCCAAATTAAAAGAGCAAATTTTCAAACTTATTGGATTATTTATACGAATCTTAATTTAGGTAGGCGCGTTTTTTTTCCGAGTGAAAACTTAACTTTTATTCTGTTTTATTCCGCAAAAAGCCAGAGGTATAATTTTAGAATATAAATTTTTAAAACGAACCCCCTGGTTGAACATAAAGTCTCTGTTGAAAGAGTGATCTTGCGGCTTGCGCCATTCGTACGCAGAGTATGCGAATCGATTCGCGTAGTCGTCGGCCTGAATTTGTTCAAAGTTTGAATTTTGTAATCATCACGTAATGTCATCATAATATCCCAATTCTTAAAAATCAGTTTTTCCGACTTTTCGGAGAAAATTTGGAATATTTAGAAGGGGTTTTTCGGAAATTTGTTACCCTTTTTTGGTTTCTCTGGTTAATTTTAGAATTGGTTAAAGAATTGGGATTTCCGTGTAAAATCTTCATTTCCGTGTAAAATCTTCACTCGAAGTGGTCGCTCTCATTCTGAGGCTTCCACCTAGAGCACGGTCTCCGGGCTCCAGCTCAACATCCACAACATTCTGAGCTCGTCAAGGCGCAACTGGATGGACTACGCGCAGAAGGACGAGGCGAAAGACCGTAAGACCATGCTTTCAACTCTTTCGACTACACGTTTGGACTTCTAGTTCGCCAAAGGCGGTTGTTCGTTATAGCTTTGAAAGTTCTTGTTCACCGCCTAGTCGATTACATCAGACTAAAACAACAAAATAAATGATTTGATTTGAATTTGGCTTTAATCTTTCCTGGTGTCCACTGTGAAAATTTCTAGTGGCCACTTCAGTGTCCTCACCAAGTAGTCTGTGAATAACCTCTTAAGTGGCCACTACAGTTTTTCATAGTTGATATCAGATACTTTTTTTTTTGATTTTTGAATATTAGCATAAAGAAGCAATTTTCCTTACCTTGAGCCTCGAGGAGACGTACCGATCCAAGTACTTCTGGGATTCGTTCAAATATGGCGCATTCTGGCGAGCTTTCTGTTGAGTTTGATGTATTGAAACTATCAAAAAGTTGAAAGTATTCAAAAAAAAACCTCATCGAAGAAGATGCGCTTGGTCTGGAAGGTGTAGTAGGGAACATGAGTGGACTTGTGGAGAATCGAATGGTCGGCCGGTTTGTAGGGCTTGTTGACTGTTTCATGGGTGTCCTGCAGAATAAGTATATTCCGTTTATCGAGACTTAAAAGGGCTGAACATTTCTGCGCTCTTCTCATCACTTAAGAACTCTTTTCTTACATGCTGTTTTCAGACGGTCACATTAAATATTACGGCCGAAAAAAATCTACCGTAAACCCAGCTTCTTTCTGCAATTTGGCTCTACAAAACTGCGCAAGGATACCATAAAAAGAGTCTTGAAACCAAGTTTGGTCAAATTTATTACACAGTCTTTTTTCTTAAAGAGAAAAGCACGTAATGAGCTATATCAGAATTAATTAAAAGTTTCATTAAACTTATCATGTTTCAATCATTTCAGTAAGTGTTCCCTTTTTTTCTGCTGAACTCAACTTTTGTAACAACTTAATCTCTTGATGGATTTCATTAGGTTTGACGCGAGTTTTTTGAATTCCTAGAGCTCTTCAAACCGTTCTTCTGAAAACTTGTCATGGGAATCTTTACAAAACCTTCAGTTAGAAATTATACTAACCTTGAAACGAGCCGCACTGTAGCTCTTGTTGTACCAGTCGTGTACGTGTGGCTTGTACACTGGGACGGTGTGGACGATTCTTTGGGCTTCTCTGAAATTGAAACAGGTTCAAAAAAATGAGTAAACGTTCAATAAGCCGTTTTTTTCCTTTTTCAAAACAAAGGTTCCCCTTTTTGAAACAAGAATTCATAACTGCTGTTTTGTTCTGAACACCTATTATTCTAAGCGTTTATAGCCGGTGTACCACGACTTGGAATTTCACCGAACGACACTCCGCTGTGCCGCTGCGCGCCTTTGCGAACCTTGGTCGCGCTTTTAGTTTTTTTTTCTTTTATTAAGGTAATCTACTTTCATGAGCCACAGCAATAACAATCAATTGAAAACGTGAAACTTATGTAGATAATTGACTTCAAAATTTCAGATTCGAAAAAAATACCTGCAGTATTGAGGAAGAGCTAGAGACGGGGCCAGAGACGAAACCGAGTCCGACTTGTGAATCGGGTAGTCCATGTCCTTGTCCTTCAATTTTCGATTTGATGTTTTAATAAAGAAAGAAGTTACCTTGATGTAAGTCATGTTGGTGAAAGAAGCGCTTCGGGCCAATCGCTTGGGTTTGCTCCAGATGTTGGAAATGTACTCGTCGTAGTAGTTCTGAGGCCGGGCTCTTTCGACGTAGTGTCTGGCAAATTGAGAAAGGATCCATCTACTAGGAAACTACTTCAGTGGTTACTTAAGAGGTTACTCAAGGGCTACTTGGAATGGACACTAAAGTGGAAACTAGGGTTTCTCGCAAACAAACATTTCTTACACACTAAAGAAAATGTTTGAACGAAAAAGTTTAGAAATGGCCATTTTAATGGGAAAAATTCTAGTGGCTACTTAAGAGGTTACTCAATAACTACTTGGAGAAGACACTAAAGTGGCCACTAGGATTTTTCGCGAACCAACAATTTTTACTCACCAAAGAGCATTTTTTAACTGAAAAGTCGAGATAGAGCCATTTTACTGGGAAAAATCCTAGTGGCCTCTTAAGTGGTTGTTCAAGCGGTACTTGAAGAGGACACCAGATTTTTTCGCCAACCATCATTTATTACACACCAAAGAGCATTTTTTGAACCAAAAAAACAACTTTCAGATTTTTTTTCACTTTAATGACCACTTCTGAACCATTCTCGAGAAAGTTAACATATTCATAAGTTTCATAAATAATGAAGTCATGTGGAGAAAGTTTTACTAAATGTTCAGAAAATTGGAGAAAAAAAAATTAAAAAGCTTTGAGAGCTTTCACAAATATTGCCATAACTTTCTTCCTACTGGAGCTTTTTCGAAAAAATCAACGTCTTTTAAAAATAGAAGCTTTTATCTATCTAATGGTGTAAAAAAACCATTCGTTATAATATCTGAAAAATTTTTTTAGAATTTAATCGAAAAATGAAGATTATTTCTGAGGAAGTTGAGATTTATTGATCCTGGCTATTTTAACCAATTTTTTTGGTTTTCTATATCTATTATTAAGAAATAAATCGCAAATATCCCTGTTCATTGAAAAAAAGTCTTGAAAACTCACTTGGAAGGGTACTCCTTCCACCACTTTGTCTCCATGTCCACGTCATCCTTGGCGAACCGGGCCGCCGCGATCGTCGACATGGTCAATTACCTGTTTCACCAATTTTATATAATCCATATTTTAAAGAAGCTTTCAATGGGCATGCAGGAAAGTGCGCGCTGTGCGCACTCTTTTCTCGTGCGCACGTAAGGAAAATGCGCACTCTTTTTTCAAATTTTGTACAGGAAATTGCGCTCTCTTTCTAACAACAGGAAAATGCGCACGGTTATCAAATCCTGTTCTTTCGGATTATTTGAAGTTGATATAACTGATTTTTCAGAATTCATCTTTTTCAATAATAATACCAGGCGGTCACTAGACTGGTCAGACTGATTTACCTTTCACGTGATAATGTGTTTTTAAATTTTGGAATGTTATTTTTCCGAAGAAAGCCACAGTCGGCGTTTATAGTTTGTTCAGAATTTGAATGTCAAGTCATCGGTCGAACTCCGCCTCTTATGTGTAGATCAAACCAATCAGAGAACGAGCCACTCACAGGCTTTGTTTGGGGCAGAGATTGCTGCTTGAAACTCAAAAACATGGACAAACTATATTATAAAGGGAAATATGTGAAATACAAATCGAAAGGACCTTTCGAGGTTCAAAAAAATATTTCTGAAGAAAAATTTACAGGGTGATGAATTATTACTGCGACAAAATGAAGGAGCTGTCAATATGTCAATTGTCAATAGTCAATAAAGACCGGAAACTCACAATTATTTTTTATAAAGTTTTACAGGGATTTAATCAAAAAAAATTAACATGAACTGCCGCTCGAAAATGTAGTGGCACCCAATTGACTGCGGTACGCAGATGGTCGAAATCAGTTTTGTCACAGTTTTTGAGCAGAACGGCCAAAAGTCAGTAGGCAAACTGGTGTGTACTGTTACAAGAGGCACATTGAAGTTTCTCAAAAATTTTGGAGTCAATGGGATAACAGAAAAAGCACAAAACTCCATTCTTCTAACCGGATAAGACCTTTTTTTCGATAAGGACTCGAAAAATTGGTTTTGAGCTGACTAGGGAACTACGCGAACTCGCATTCAAGGATCGAGTTCAAACTTTGGTGGCTTATAGACCCGGGTAAAAAGTACTTGGAAACAAGAGAGATTATCTGCTAAATCCTATAGACTTCTGAGAAAAACTATTTTTTTGAAAAATGAACAGTTTAGGCTTGAAAACTATCAAATTTTTTTGCTTTTCCTCCTTCTTTTGGCTGGAAAAAAAGTTTTTTTAGTGTTTATCATAGCCGGATCATTCAAGGCGATTTTATTAAAATATTAAATAAGGTAAAAAGCAGTATTCTGAAAAATTTTTCAGGTCTAATTTTTCACATTTTCTACTAATTTTTTTCTCAGTTCTCTATTGGGTTTAGCAGATATTCTCACTTGTTTTCAAGTGTTTTTCACTTAGGTCTATAAACCACTAAAGTTTGAACTCGATCCGCGTACCCGAGTCCGAGTAGTTCCCTAGTAAGTAAGGGTACTTAAAAACAGGCAATACTATCTGCTAAACCCCATAAGGTACTGAGAAAAAAGGTACACACCTTTCAAATTATCTTGTTTACTGCTCTCTGAGTTGACCTCATCTCTTACAGAGACTAGCTATATCTGAGCTATCTCGGAGGTACTTTAGAGTCTCCCTCAAGTCTATCTCATTTTGCTCAAAGTCCTCAGAGGTATACTTGGGTTACCATCGATAGGCTTCAGACCCTGCGATATGCCTCAGAGGGTCTCGCGATACCCTTTTTTCTCTATTTTTCGGAAAACAATTCCTTCAATTTTTTTTTGCGACTTCTTTTAATTGCTTACATAGACGTGAATCGTTATCAATTTCGAGAATCGAAACCTTAAAAAGTACGTTCAAATTGAGCTTCAGGGCGACCTTATCGAATAATTTCTGAACGTCGCAATAAACTCCCTCTCATACGGCCTTGATGCGTAATGAAGTAACTTTGAGTCAAGATTTTTCCAGTGTTGTACTTGGCTGTAAAAAAATCACTGAAAAAAATTTTTTTGGTGGTTCGGCCCGGCCCAAAAAAAGCTCAAATTTTTCTTCATTTCGAATTTTTTTAGCTGTTTTAACGAGAAAAAGCGGGGTTTTTTTGCTTATTTTTTTCTTCATTGAGTTATTAAAAAAATGTGATTCAACATGTAAAAAAATATTTTTTTCGGTGAAAAATGTTTTTTTAATGAAATAAAAAAAGTTTCTTGAATCTCTGGCCCGAGCCCGCGCTTTTTTTCGAAATTAAAAAAATCAAGTCCTAGGGGGCTTTAGGCCTTCATAGCCAAGCCTGCCTGCCTTGCCATAAACGCCCAAAAGGCAGAAACGACTTTTTCCGAAAGTCAGCGTGGCATCATCATATTATAGAAGAAGGCTTGATGAAGGTAGGAATAATGACTGGAACAAAAAAATGAGCTCAGGGTCGGCGAGAGCAAATGCTAAAAAAACTTTTGTCGCAGTAATTATTCCTCCACTCTGTATTGTTTAATGTTATCAGATGGAAAAAGATCTGTATATTTTGAGAGCATCTCACTTTTTTTAGCAGATTTTTCGCGGCAGCTTTTGAGACCAAGCTTGGAATCAGCTTGGTCTCAAAAAGAAAGCATCTCACTTTTTGCATAACTACACCTGGTCTCATTCCGAAGTGACCGCAGACCATTCCTGATAAGAAATATTCTCCATAAATTATCAAATAATCAAAAAGATGTTCAATTCATCTTTAGCTGAAAGATTTCTTCATGACAAAGAGAAAAGTGAGATGGTTTATGTGGACTTCAATCTAGAAAAAAGCGCAATTTGATAACCGTGCGCATTTTCCTGATGTTAGAAAGAGAGCGCAATTTCCTGTACAAAATTTGAAAAAAGAGTGCGCATTTTCCTTACGTGCGCACGAGAAAAGAGTGCGCACAGCGCGCACTTTCCAGCATGCCCTTTCAATGAGACGACATCACTTGTATGCAAAAAATCATTCAAAATCAGTAAAAATCAATGAAAAAGGTTCGGGAACCCTGAAGGAAGTTGGCAGCTGTGGGCTTTTCGCTTGGCTGATGCCGTTATCCGCGTCTGCGTCTCTCGTTTTGCTACACTGTTTCGCTCATTTCTTATTTCTTATACGAAACCAGCAACGTCTGTCGCCTGAGCCAATGTTACAGCACTTGGCTCGGAGCGTGGGTGTCGGGAAAATCGGCCAAAGTGTACCTAAACACCTACCGAATGGACTTGGGAGTAGAGAAAAGAGTTTTTGGAGGATTTGGCTGAAAAATTACAGAGAAATTCGTTTCGTATATTTTTCTACTGTATCTAGAGCGATCGAACTTGAAGTAGAAATGTATTTTTCGAAAATAATCCACAGAAAAAAGCCTAAAATCAGTTGAAAATAATCAACAATTGAGCCATTTTATGATCCTGTGCTGTCTAAATCATCATGGGAACTGAGAAGTGAGGATTTTTTGAGTTTGGGACTTTTTTTTTCTAACTTTAGGCATTTCACGCGCGACTTGAAACTTGTGAAAATTATAAAATCATACTTAAATTATACCCTATTTCAAATTCAAACCTTTTAAAACTCCTTTTCTGGCCTCAAAAATAGGAAATTTTAACTATGTTTTGTCTTTATTTCCAAGTGGAAGAGAAAAAAAGAAGTAAATTCAGAAGACGCTCTCGTTGACGTTTGTCACACCCTTGTTGAATATTGTGTTCACGGACTCCTGAAAATAGGATATTTTTCTCTTGAAATGACTTTTGACTTGTCTGCGCTCTCTTTTCTTTCGAAAAAGCTTCCGAAAGATGATTATAGACAAATAACAGTGTTTATGGGTAAAGGGAACGGCTCAAATGACCACTCAAACTTCGAATAAAAGTCTTTACGAGAATTTGAAGTTCGATGGTCATATTTAGCCTTTGAAGATTACGATTTGATAGCTTAAGGGATCACTAGAGCTTCAAATAGAGATCTTCTATGAAAATTTGAAGTTTGGAGGACATCTTAAAAACTTGAAGATTGCTTGAGTGATCACTAATGCTTTGAATCAAAGCAATTTACGAGAGTTTGAAGCTCCAAGGGCATCTTAAGCCTTTAATAATGATCATAATGTTGCTTGAGTGATCCCTTGGGCTTTTGAGGATTATTAGGAATTTTCCGATAATTTCATTATTTTTTTACCCACTTCGATCTCGACATCATTTTTAGCATCCCTCCTGTCGTCAATTTTCTTTTGAACCGTTTTCTCCGATTTCTTGGACGGCTCCCTCGAAGTTGTCAAATCTTCTTTTTTTGGCTCTTCTTTTGGCTTTGGCTCCTCTTTTGATGATTTTACCACTTTTTCCACCTCAAATCAACGAAAATCAATGATTAAAATTGAAAAAAGGACCTTGGACGGCTCCTGCAGGACCGACCTGGCCGACGCAACTGTCGTTTCTTTGGAAGCCTAGATTTTGAGTCTAAAAAAAAAGAAATATAAAGAACCCTTGAGGAAGTAGGTGATTGTCTCTTCGTACAACCTACTACTAGGTACGCATTGAAAATGAACATCAAAATAATCTGAATTTCCGGATGATATAGATAAAAACTCGAAAAAGGACCTGTAAGACGAAAAAACTCATTTGCTTATCGGGGAGAGCGGAGTAATAATGAATGAGTCTGTTCACGTTTGATATATTTTCATTATCTGATTGGTTTTGAATTAGTTTTCTTATGAAGCCCGACCAAAAACTACTTCCGCTTTTTACATTCTTGCGGTAGAGAATTGAGGAAGTCGCTCGAGGTCAGGCGCAGTTTTTTTAGGGTTTGTTTTGCAGTTTCGACACACCGCATAGTCATCAAATTTTAGATAAGTATCATAGTTTTTAATTTTCGCTGGAACTCTCTATTCGATGCGTCGCGGTCGCGTGGCGTTTTGGAAGTGAAATCAACTTTGGGGTGATTTAAAGCTGCGCCCGACTTTGAGCGACTTTAGCATTATGCTATAGTCTTGCGTATAGATTACTGTAATGTCTTTTTGCGGTTTTAAAAAAGTTTTTGGCGGGAAATCGGAATACAACGCGTAAAAAACTGGAAAAAAACGACTTTTGCTTCCATTTTTCCATTGGAAGCCCTTAACTATCAAAAATTAATTTTTAGAACCTATCAGAGAAACAGAAGACGGCTCACTTCTAAATTTGAAATTACAGCCAAAACCGCTTCGCGACCGCAACGCGTTACTAAGGAGTTCATGAAGTTAAATTGAAAATTCCTGAAAATTAACTGTGCGAGGTTAAATGAGGAAAAAAACAATTTAAAAACGTGTTGACCCTCATTTATTTCTAATCCGCTCTTTGCGAAAAGCGAATGAGTTTTTTCGTCTTACAGGTACCTTTCCAAAGTTTCATTTTTTTCCTTTGACCTAAGAATTCAGATGATTCTGATGTTCATTCTTAATGCGTACCTAGCGGTAGGCTGTAAGAGCCACTCGGGAGATAAGAAGAATAAAAATATTCGCTCCAGTGTATGTCCTTTTTTTGTTTGGTTTAAAACTTGTTTCAAATTTTCAAGATGTCCAAGGAGACGATCAAGTCGGATAGCCGCAAGAAGGTTTTTTTCCTTCTAATTTTGTCATTTCAGTCATTTTTTGAGGGTGATAAACAAACGAAAAACAAGCTAAATTCAAAAGAAACTGTTGCCAAGAAAGCGGATGACAAGAAATCTCCAAAATCTCCAAAAGAAGACGAAATGAATGAAGACGGGCATGAAGCTCTCTCTGTTGGGGTGGGTTTTTTTTTCGGGATTTAATACATTTTCATCTAATATTAGGTTTTTTTCTAACGTTAGTAAGGGTTATATTACTCGGAAAACCCTCAAGTGGTCTCTTGAAAAGTTCTAGGAGCTATTAACGATTTCATTCCAAAAACCCTCACGTGATCTCTCAAAGGTTTATGGGGTTTCAACAGTTTCACTCTGAAGACCCTTAAGTGGTCTCTTGAAAGCTCTAGGATTTTTTGACGATTTCTTAACTGTTGCATTCGGAAGACCCTCAAATGGTCTCTTAAAAGTTATAGGGGTTTCCACGATTCCGTAACGATTTCTCTCGGAAAACCCTCAAGTTGTCACTTAAGTGGTTCCTTCTTCCAACTGAACTCTTGCACACGTAAACGGTCTCGTATCACCTTTTAAGTAGCCACTTTCTAAGCTTCTTTGTGCTTCTCTTGGATCATTTAAGTAGCCACTTAGCTTTGTTCAACAGGCTCAAAATCACTGAAAATCTTTTCATACAAGTTCCGACAAATATGTTCCCAAACTCTCCCTACATCTATTTCGTGAAATTCAGTACTTGTGTGTGAGAAATAAAAAATTTTGAAAAAAAAAGTCAATAAAATAAAAAAATAAAAAAATAAAAAAATAAAATATTTAGTTTCCGTTTATCACTCAGATCATTTTGAATTTCGATTTTTCTGTGCTTCTGCTTTTTAATGTCCTAGAAGATAATCACAATCAAAAAAGAGTTTTTGACCTGAAAATTTCCTTTTCCAGCCATCCATCAACACACTATTCAACCAGGGGGTGGCAAGCGTCACCGAAAGGGTCATATGACTCCACTTCATTTCTTTTTTACTCCATTTCGACATAAAGACAAGAAAAGAAAATCAGTGAATCGAAGGCTTCTTGCAGACGTAGGAACGCATGAGAGTCGAACACTCGGCGTTGTTCCAATTCTCGTACCAGCCGTCGTGGGATCGGTCCGGGGCTGTCTGAATACTCTTTCGGTTTATGGATTAGGATCGTTGTGTAGGGTAGGGTAGATCTTGAAGTTTTATTGAGTAGGGTAGGGTAGACCTTCAAGTTTTAAGACGAAAAAGAGGATTTTTAAGAGCAGCTTTATCCTAACTTGAGGCCTTGAGGTGTGATGCCAAGATTCAAAATTATAGTTTTAAATCAAGCGAGAGAACAATAGCGACCTGAAGAGACGCCAGAGAAGCCTGATTGTCTCTCTTTCTCTGGCCTCTCTTCTTCTTCCGCTCTTTTAGTCTTACTATAGTCCGTTTTTCGCGACTTGAAACTTCTCTCTGCGCCCTCCTCGTCTCTCGGCGACCCTCTCATGTTTACATGCTATTTTCCTGTTTCTCTGACGGTGAGGGAACAGAGAGACGCAGACACTCGAAAAATGTCAATTCGCGGGGGACGGACTATAGTTTCGAAGGAAGGGAGAGATCAATAGCGGCCTGAAGAGACGTCAGAGAAGCTGGAATGTCTCTCTTTCTCTGGCCTCTCTTCTTCCGCTCTCGCCGTTTTAGCCTTACTGTCACACGAAATATAGGCTTTTTTGGATTTTCTAAAAATATTCCGGGATTTTGAAAATTTGCGTCAGAGTGTGTACATCCAGAGTTAACTTTGGCCCTTGAAATTTCAAGTTTTTAATCGATTTTGACAGGATTTGGTGGAAAAAAACTTTCAGAAAAGATAGAAAATTGATAAAGAATCAAATCAGAAGTCTTTCGAGAACGATTGTACCTCAACGCAGTTTTCTTTGCCCGGATTGTCAGGTTGCTTCGGAGCCCAGTTGAGATAATCGGTCTTTGTTCCGTCGGTCCAAACCCATTCGCTTCCGTTTTTGGACAGACCGATCCAGGTCAAATCTTGGATGTGTCCTTCTTTGATTCCCATCCTGGCGATGTCTGTAAATCGGTGGATTTTACACTTACAAATTGTGAAACTAACTGTTGATGAAGGTGTTTTCGAGAGAGGTGTGGATTGAGACAAGGTGAGCGCTTTGAGAAACGCAGAACGCCTCGGCGTCGTCCCATTTGGCGTTGAAGAAGGTCTGGAGTTTTGAAAGTTCCCGGGATTTATTTTAGTGAAGCTCAACATGTAATTTTCAATAGTCTTGGAAAAACAGGACGCTCTGAGATTTTGTAGTGAACACTTAAGTGGGCTCAAGACGCTAGAGAAGGTCCCAGGTGATATGAGAAAGAAAACATGGAAGAAATTGGTCAATAAGATGTTCATTCTGCCCCAGCGTGTCGCGGTTCTTCTCCTCAGAGCTACAGTATCCTTCTCTTCGAGTGTCTTTGTGCATGCGCCTTTAATAAGAAGGAAATCGTTAGGTAGAATTAAAGGCGCATGCACAGAGCACGCATCTAAGAGAAGGGTTCTGTAGCTCGGAGAATGAGGAACTCCGACAAGCTTTTCCGAAAGGGACTAAAATCCAAACTGAGATTTTTTTGAATGGACTATACCTTGTAGCACATGTCGGTCGGCGGGAAGTAGGACCATTCGATTTCGCACGAGGCGGCACAGGCCTTTTGGGTGGCCAGAGGGATAGTAGGACAGGTTACCACTGAAATATTTTGGATTGATGATTTTTTTAAATAATTTTTTTCAAAGATGTGCTTTCAATTTTTTTAAATAACTCCATTCAAGAGCGTCTGGAAATTTGTTGGAAGCGAATATCTTAGTCAATTGGTCAAATTAGTTTCCAGAAACTAAGAACCTAGGTTCGGACCCTTTTTCGCGACTTCTGCTTTTTTTTTTTAGCAAGATGTGCCCTTTCTACTTCGAAATGAGAATTATTAAAGTTTTAATTCTTTGCAGATTGTTCTGACATGTCTGCACTCTCTTTTCTCTCACTTTAGCGGTTATGAACCAGGGAAAATACCAGAAGAACAGAAACTTCTTCGTTTAGGGATGAATGGATTTTGAAGATTTTGAAACAAAGAGGAGATGTATTTTGAGGATCTCAAAATTCCCAGTTTTTAGGCTTTTTTGCTGATTTTCTGAGCTCTTCAGGACCCCCCGATCAAGAAAAATACCCATTTTTCGAAATTTACACTTTTTTTCAACTCTCCACAGTCATTTTCTCGGACAGAAAAAAAAAACGAAAAGAAGATTATTTTTTCCGCCCGCTCAGGTCGTTATTATTTATTTATAGTCCATCCACCACGACTTGAAAGTTTTCGAGTGTCTGCGTATCTCTGTTCCTCACCGGCGAGATCAGAGAAAAGTGAAAATAGCACGTCAACATGAGAGCGTCGCCGAGGGACAAGGTCGTGCTCTTTCCAGTCGGACTTTCTCAACAAATTCAGCTCACCAGGCTGTGGTGGCGGAGTAGGACACGTCGGGACATCCAATGAAGCCGTGACGCAGACGTACGGTCTTTGTTCGCTACAGGAAACGGTGGCCCACTTAGCATCAGCCAGCTGCTGAGTCACACAGTCGTTTCCAGATTGAGGCTGAGCTAAACTCCAAAATTGTTCATCCCATGAACCGTTTCACGACTCTTACAAGCCCCCCAGCTGGTGTATGCGAAATTAGCGCCGTCGGTCCATTGCCATTGGCCCGGGTTCGACAAGTCGTTGGCCCCAATCCAATAGTCGGTGTAGCTCGAGTGGAAGGCTTGGACCGCGTTGGCTGAAGGTTGCATTGAAGCTTCTGGATTTGGGATCGGTATAGGCTAGTTTTCTCGGTTTGAAACGTCGCGTTGCGTTTTTGGCGTTGATTCAAAAATTTATCGCGGAAATATCTTGAGATGCTGATGAAGCTTCATTGAAAAGTACTTGAAACAAATTTATTGATTTTTTTGATTGAGACTTTATAGAAATCCGAAAATGGCAGGGGAGTTTGAAGTTGCGCCAAAATCGCTCCAAGCTCAGAAAAATGGATTTTATAGTTGATTTAGAACAGCTTGAGAAGGTTCTTGGAAACCGAAAAAAAAGTTGTTTCTATGATGTGTAGCTTACTGGGAAAGTTTTTAGTGGCCACTATAGAGGCTCGCCAAGGACTACTTGGAGGGGACGCTAAAGTGGCCACTAAACCCACCTCTACAGTGGCCACTATTTTCCGTTTTAGTGGCCACTTCAGTAGTTTTTCATTCAATATTCCTTCCAGTAACTCTGATAATTTTAAAACAAACAGATTGGACCAGTTACGTTGATCTGTTGACCCATAAAGTGACCACTAAAATTTTTAGTGGTCTAGTAGTAGCACTTAGACCTCTATAGTGGTCACTAATTTTTAAACCCCTTAAGTGGCCACTAAATCTACTACTAGAGCGGCCACTAAAACCTCAAAACCCTATAGTGGCCACTAAAAATTTTCTCAGTAGTATCGCGTTTAGAAACTCACTGTTGATGAGAAGGTTTTCCTGGCCGTCTGAAATCGAAGCCAAATGACCGCCAAGGTTTGTGCAAAGCTGCTCGGCGTATAAATATTCAGCGGGGGTTGAGAAATATTTGTAGCATCTGTAGGGTTTTACGAGATTTTTTTTGGCAACAAGTTGAAGCCCAAAAAAAAAATTAGATGAATTTTGCCGTGGGCAGGGGTTGAACTTGTGACCTCTGGAGTGGAAATGAAAAAATTTTATTGCCGAGGTTCCATTTCATATATTTTCTAGATTTTTCTATCAGTAAAAACCGACCGTAAAATCACATTTTTGAGTTTTTAGAACCCCTTCAAAGACATATTTTAACACTTGAAATTCTTTTTAAAGGCAAATTTCGATGCCTTCAAAGGTGTTCTAAAATCTGATTTAACATAAATTCAAGTTTTCAACAAACCTGTTATATTTGGCGTTGTAGATCCCGTCGGCTGAGCAATGTTGGGCTAGACCAAAACTTACGAAAACCAAGAAAATTGTTAACCGAACCAACATTTTTTCAAACGATTTTTTCAGCAAGCCTAATATGGTCAGCCGTGGCAATGTGCGTCAAATCAGTGGAAATTTTACGACCACGTGCGTTTGTTTGATAAAACTACGACGATGCTTGATCGAACACATATTTTCATGGCATCCTGTTCTACTTGATTCATTGGTATTTTGAAAGGAAATCGAAAGGATCTTTGAATTTTGACAGAAAGGGTCTTGGGACGATAAACGCGATAGCAGGGCAAGAGAAGAGGGTTTAGAGGTTTTTGAGGAAAAGTTAGCTGGGAATATTGTCGGAAACTTTGTACTTTGAACGATTTGCGAAGTAAAATTTGGCAAGAAGGGTCCTGGAACGATTAGAGAAAGAGTAGGCGAAAAAAAGGAGGTTTTGTGAATAATATTTTACAGCGAACTTTGTACCTTAAACGATTAGATAAATTTTTGAAGATACAGCCCGAAAAATTTTGGAAATTTTCAAAGTTTCAATCAGATTCATATGATTGAATAAGATTTTTCTAGTGATTTCTGGAAATTTCAAGTTTTTTTCGTCTCAAAATTTCATAACATCTTATTTCATTGTGTAATTTTGAAGGTTAATTCATATATTCATTTTTTTCGAAAAAAACTCAAAGGATCCTTGAAATTTCAGGAAAAAGGTCCTGGAACGATTAGCGAGGCAGTGAGTAAAAAGAGAAGGGTTTAGAGTTTTTTTGGGACAAGTTCAGTGAATAATTTGCTTAAAACTTTGTACTTCAGAAAAATTTGAAACGATTTAACTTTTACCTATCGTAAATTGACTTCAAAAAAATTCATTTTAACTACAAAAAAATATTCAAAAATCCATGTGATTCAAGATGAACTTTTCCGTTAGAACTCGGAATTTCGAAGTTTTTTTCCGCCGAACATTTAATTTCTTGTGCCTTTTAGAAGTTTCAAAACTTCTTTAAATTTGAAAAAATCCTCTCAAAATTATTCGTTTTTCATGCGTACAAATACACCTTTTTGCTAAGCGAATAAGCTTTATTACGGAACATGATAACAAAATTAATATGGGTTGGGGAATGAAAACTATCACCAATAATCACACCAATAACATTAAACTTTTGACTAGAAATGAAGCTTCTCAAGGAAAAAAAAAGAAGAATGAACGTAAAAACGACAACCGATCACACCGAATGTTTAGAATACAACAGTCGTCGCCCGCTTTTTGCAGCTACGATATTAAATTTGAAAAAAAGAGCGGGCCGAAAAACAGAAAAAACACATTTTTTATGGAAGTACGAGACTTTGGGGGCAGGCAAAGCTCGGAAAATCCAGGAAAATGGGGCAAATAAATAAAAATGAACCGAGTCATTCGGGGCAATCGCCTGGTCTTTTTAGGCGCAATGACTGGTTTCAACACACAAAACAAGAAAAATATTATGCAAAAAGCTGCAAAATAATACTGTAAACACACATTAAAGCTTGACTGCTCGTGAGTTGCCTCGGTTTTTGAACCGAGAAAAAAAAGACAAAAAAAATGGTAGAGTTGAAGAGCAGGTGATCTGAAGAGACGCCAGAGAAGTTGGGGCGATTTTTTTTTCTCTGGACTCTCTTCAAGATCTTGTGCTCTTATTTCTGCTTTCTTGTGAGAAAAAGGTGAAAACTTCGAATCGAGAGAACAGCGCGGCCTGTAGAGACGTCAGAGAAGCGGGGCGATCTTTTTTCTCTGCCGTCTCTTCAGATCCTATACTCTTTCTTTCCACACCTTTTCAGCTCTACCATCAACAAAAACAGAGAAAAATACATGGAATCATCAGAGTATCATTGAAAATGGGTATATATGCGGTTAAAGCTCGGAACAAAATATGTAAAAAAGCTAAAGAGAACCGGAATTGAGAACCTAGAACAATGAAATGGGTATGAAATGAAAGGAATGTTTGAAAGGAAGGGGAAAGAAATAACTAATGCGAGCTCGAATTGAAGAAAAACTGAAAGTAATGAAAAACAAAAAAGACATTTTCGGATTTATGAGATTTTGAAAATGGCGCTTGAAGCTGTAGGTTTGGAGAAGCTTCTCGGCTTCATCTGATTTAGTTTTTTTGAGCTTTTTTTTCAGCAAATTTATCACAGATTTCAATTTATATGTTTTTTTGCGGTCCAAATTTATTAATTTGAAAGGAATTGTGTAAAAATAGAAGGATTTATGTATAACAAAAGCGTAGAAATTATTTTATGAAGGAAAAAAAAAATTGATAAAGTTATTTTGGCGAAATGTGAGTCCATTCCATTGGTGGAACTTTTTTTGACCGACAAAAAAGGCGGCAAAGGTCAACCGCCTAATGATTTTGAAGGACTCTCCGATCAATTTCTACTTGAATCACGCAGTTTTTTTTTTCTTGTTCTTATCATCAATTGAGTTGATAATGATAGTTTCCATGCTCGAAGACTTAAACTCCCTTCAAATTATTTTTTGGAAGTCTCTTTTTTTTTGAAATCGTCAATCTAGTGATCAGAAAACCCAGAGCGCCAGAAAGACCCATAAAAATGTTTTTTGACCTATGAACCGCAAATAGTCGGCGCCAATCGAGTGTTTTTGAATTTCGAACGTCTTATACCTTTCCGCCTCATCATTTTTTTTTCCTATCTACACCATTTTCTCAAATTTTTTTGATTTCATTTTTTAAATGACTTTCAAAGTGACAAAATAACTCACGAATTGATTTTTCAGTGATGCTGGCCAGTGGGCGACTGACGACGGAAGACGGTTCTGGTGACGTTTCCTTCGGAATCGACCGTTTCGAACTGTTCCTCGTCTGGGAGTTGATTGAGACGTTCTTCACTTTCCGTGCCGGTGAAGGTGACGTGGCTGAGCAGGGGATCGCGCACCTTTAATTATTCAGGTATCAACAATCAAAGTTTCTAATGAAGTCTTCAAAATGTTTCTCAAGTTTTTAAGCTAGGAGAAGACTTTGTGAAGAGAACACTGGCGACCTGAAGAGATGCCAGAGAAGCTAGGAGTTTTCTATTTCTCTGGCGTCTCTTCAGGTCCCGGCTCATCTCTCACTTTAAAAATTTTCCACCGTTTTTTGAGGCTTTTCTTAACTTGGTTGGTTCATGCAAGGCTGAGAAACGTTTTTTAAGAATTGAGATTCAAAAAATGTTGATTTTACATACAAGTTTAGAAACGAAATTTCGAATTTTTCACCAAAATTTCAAAAACGGAACAAACCCTGGTCTCGACGCGACGCGATATCGTCTGAACGGAGCCATCGGGACGGACGGCGGTCGTCTCGAACGTGGTGAGCGTGGTCGGGTAGGAGCGCAGCATGTTGGCCATGTCGCCGTCGAGAGAATCCTTGTCCTCGTCGTGATAAGTTCCGACGGTGTCGCCGCTGAGAAGACCGAACGTGTCCTGACTCTCGACGCCCTGACTGGCGCCTTCCAGAAGAGAGTCCTTGTCCTGAGGGATGTGCTCCAAGGAATCTGCATCCATTCGAGACACGACTTCGTACTCGGCCAGGGAAGTCTCATCCATGCTGTCCGGAGCGTCTGGAGCCACGGAGACCTCCTGGAAGGTCGGCTCCAAGGAATCGGTGCTGGTCTCCAACATCTGGATGCTGGGAAGGTGTTCACGCTCTAGAGAATCAGTGGGAGAAGCGGCAATTGGAGTTGCTCCGCGGACGTCCTCGTCGTTGACTGGTCGCGTCTTCATCTCGGCATCTGAAGGTTCCAGCTCCTCGTCATCATCTCTGATACTCATGTCTTCCGCTTCGGACTCTTCGCGGATATCTGAGAGCATCATGACTTCGTCCTGCGGCGATTGGTTGGCCACGGCTTCTTGCTCGAGCTTCTCAAACTCGGCCAGAGAGGAGATAGATCCTTCTCCACTTCGGAGCTTTCCAGCAGCGTAGAGCTCGATCTCACTGGCTGTCAGGCTGCCTTCTCCACGAGCTGACACGATCTGCTCAAGACGTTCGAATTCCTGAAGGCTGGAGAGGGAGATGTTGTCGCTGGAGACGTGCTTGTACTGGCCGACGAGACCAAGAGTGTCAGAAGGCATGCCTACGGAAGAGTTTCCACTGCCTCCGTTCATCGAGTCTGAATCTTCGGGCTCCTCTTCGACGGTCGCTAGTTCTTCTGGCGATGGTTCTTCTCCTTCAGGTGGGTAGACCTCGAAGCCTTCAAGCTCAGGCGAGGCTTCGACTGATTTTGGAGACTCCTCCTTATCCTCAGGTTTTCCTGGAGCGTTTTCTTTGTCCTCATATTCGACTTCAGCCTCCTTTTGAGGTTCGACATCCAGGTGCATTTCTTCTTTTTGAATATCGCGAACGATGACTGAAGAAGCGCTGGACTGCTTCCCACTTCCGGAGCTCTTCATGGAAGTGTTGTCCAGCGAATCGGTGGACCCAGAGCGCGTCGTGGCTTCGTACATCGACTGAAGGTCTTCGACGCTGGTGACTGTGTCGGCTTCGGCTTCGACGTTCTTCTGGATGACTGTGTCAGCGTGGCTCTCCGACGACATGTCCGACTGTTGACGCGAATAACGAGAGTCGCTTTCGTCGGTGTTGGCGTCCATGGCTTTCTCATGGATGCTGGGGTCGTCTGGAGCTGGCTCGTCGCTGACATCAGACTTCTCCACGAACACGAAGATTCCATCTTCTTCGTCCTCATCGCCCTTGGTCACGACGCGGCCTGGTGGAACTGGCGAAATCGGACGTCCTGGATCCATCGAAGGCGCGAGCAACACACCGCTTGGGCTGGTCGGCAGCAGATCATCTGACTCTTCCTCTTCGATCGTAACCTGAAGTGGAACGTCAGGGGTGGAACGAGCTGTATTAGCATCTTCTAGATCAAATGCGCGAATAACTGGTATTTCGTAGTCCTGTGCGACGGTAAAGTGGCGGTCCGAGTCGACCGGTGATAGCACTGCCAACGGAGTAGCGGCGTCTTGACGAGCCGTATCAGTGTCGGTATCACTCAGCCGACTGGTCGCGCCACTCGTCGCTGTAGTATATTCGGAGTCTTGGGAGGTCCACCCATGAGCTGATTCATAGGTGTCTTCCTGCGAAGTCACGCAGGTATCGTAGTTGTCGTCTTTGGATTGCTCAGTGGCAGTGAAGTAGATGTTGGATTCAGAAGTTACTGGCTTGAGCTCGTCAAGCGCGACCGTCTCCATGACCTGCTCGATGACCTCGTCAACGAGCCGAGTTGCAGCATCCTGGATGATGGTCTTCTCGTCCTGCTCCTCGTAGTCGGACTCGTGGATGACGTCAAGTTGTTCAGGATACTCTTCCTCCTTCACAGAATCCATTTTATGCCGGCCTTCATTAGCAAGGATGTCAAGCTTCTCTTGGAGGTCAGACTGGTAGTCGACTTCAGGCTCGATGGTGACATCTTGGCAAGATTCTTGCTTCAAAAATTTCTTAGGGTGACGCGGAGACGTTGCGATGAAGTGACTGGCGTTGGACTCGGCTTCCTGGATGACGTTCTCAGAAAGTTGTTCGGAGAAGTCGTGGAGAACTTCTCCCTGAGCGCCGTAGACCTTCCATTCATCGTAGTCGTCATGGCCAGGGGCGGCGTGGTCTTCGGACTCTTCTTCAACGTCTCGGTATTGCATTCTGGTGACGTTCTCAATTGCAGCTTCATCAACCAAGGAGTGAGCGGACCCGTGTTGAGAGCGGTGCTTCTCCACGTCGTCTAGGGGCAGTTTTGCGGGGTTTTCAAAGGCGGACTGGTCGCCTTCCGACTGATCCGAAGGCGTTGGTGACGCTAGTCGTTGCTCAAAAGTTGGCGCCGCGTATTCTTCCGACTCGATGACGTATTCTTCAGAGTCTAGAGGTTCCTGAAGCTCAACGGCTTCTCTTTCTTGATCTTGCTCAGCTTCAAAGCCAAATCGTTCTTGTTTTTCTGACAGGGATGGAGATTCCAACTCGCGTTCTTGGTTTGGAGCAATGTACTCTTCTGAATCGACGATGTGAGGGTCTTGCTCAATTCTGGCTTCTTTCTCCTGCTCGGTATCGACTTCAAAAGCGACGTTCTCAAAGCCATACTGATCTGTTTCATCCTTTCGAACTGGCGAAGAAACTCGTTGTTCCAAAATCGGAGCTTCATACTTTTCAGATTCGACAATGTAACGCGGATCAAGAACTTCTGCGACGACTTGTGTTGCCGCAGCGTCAGCCATGGCGTCAAGACTTTCGGCGTAGCTCCGCGGAGTGTCCTGTTGGTCGACGTCTCCAGAAAGTCTGGTGGAAATAGGAGAACTGTAGGCGTCGTCTTTCTGCTGGAAGTGATCTTCTGAAGCTCTTCTCTGTTCATCGGCTGGGCTTTCGTATTCAGCTGACTCGATCAAATGCTTCTCCTCTTGAGTTCGCAGTTCAACAACGTCGTCAGATGGCTCTTGTTCTTTCGGAGAGCTTCTGAAGTCTTCAGATTCGATGAAGTGCTGGTCTCTATGATGAATTTCTTCTTCAGAAACTCTTCTTCGTTCGTCAATGGGACTTTCATACTCGGCAGACTCGATAAGATGTTTTTCCTCTTGGGCTTGGAGTTCAGCGACGTCTTCAGATGGCTCTTGGTCTTTTGGAGAGCTTCTGAATCCTTCAGACTCAACAAGATGATGTTCTTCTGGTTCAGCGGGGCTTTCGAACTCAGCAGACTCGATCAGATGCTTTTCTTTCCGAGTTTCAAGTTCAGTCACGTCTTCTTGGTCTTTTGGAGAGCTTTTGAATCTGTCAGACTCAACAAAATGATGTTCTTCTGATTCAGCGGGGCTTTCGTATTCTGCAGACTCGATCAAATGTTTTTCTTCTCGCTTTTTTAGTTCAGTCACGTCTTCAGAGGGCTTCTGACTTCTGAATTCTTCAGACTCGATGTCGTGCTGGACGGGAGAATCTCTCAGTAAATGGTCTTTTTCAGATGGTTCTTCCTCGTGCAAATCTTCTCTCTCGACCTTCTGATATTCTCCGTATTCTTCGTCATCTCCTTTGTTCTTCACGGCGTCATAAGCGGCTTTTGCTCCGACTGCGGCCAAGGCGACGGGAGCTACGATAACGCCCCCGGCGACCATTCCAGCTTTCTTCGCGAATCCCAGGAACTTATCACCGAACCCTTCCTTTTTCTCTCCCTCCGCTTCCTCATCCGAATCTTCTCTGTCTAGAAGCCCTTCTCGCGAAGTAGAACGATCTTCTGGCTCGTCCTTCTCAAGAAGTTTAGCAGATTCCGGCTGGCTGAAATATTCAGAACTCTCAACGAAGTGCGATTGATGAGCTTCTTCGGAGATTTCTTCGTCTGAATACTGTCTTGGAAGCGATTTTTCAGACGCGAATGGAGATTCTGGCTCTGGGATCTCATGCGAACGGCTTTCGATGATGTGCGACAAAGAACCAAGAGATGGACGACGTTCTTCAACGACAGGTTTGTGTTCTGGAGTGGTGATGATCACAGTCTGGGTGAATTCTTTCTCAGAAGGAGAAGATGGTTTGTGAGCTGCCATTTCTTCTGCATCGTGGTCGTGAACACCGTCCTGGACGTCTCTTGCGAACGATTTCTCTTCAACGTCTTCTTCAGCCTGACTGGCTCGATCAGATGGCGCTGGTGAGGACGGAACATCATCAGAAGGGTGGTACTCCCGAACGGTCGTAGTTGTTGTCACTGTCTCAATAGAATCTGTTGGGAGAGACTTTTCTGAAGTCAGAGGAGATGGAATCGCTTGAAATTGTTTTTCTCCAATTTCTTGACGTCGGTGGAAATCATGAACTTCGGTCGTCCAATGCTCACTTGACGGATATTGGTGAGCTGGAGTCGGTTCAAAGTCATGATCTTCGGAGCCGATCGGAGAAGACTTCAAGTCTTCTTGATATTCAGAATCTGCCTTTCTGGACAAAGCTGGTGAAGAAGGCTCTTCAGCCTCGTGGTGGAACTCCCGAACAGTCGTAGTAGTGGTAACAGTCTCAGTGAAACCAGTTGGAAGCGACTTTTCAGAGGCTTCAGGAGAAAGCTTTTGGTCTTCAGACTTTGGCTGGAAGTTCATCTCTGGAACTTCTTGGCGTCTATGAAAGTCGTGAACGTCGGTCGTCCAGTGCTCACTTGAGGGATATTGGTGAGCAGATGTTGGTTCAAAGTCATGGTCTTCAAAATCTGCCTTTTCGGACGGAATCGGAGAAGGATGATCCTGAGCTCTAGTGGGCTCCTCCTCGTGGAATTCTGAATCGGCCTTCCTAGAGGAAGCTGGCGAAGATGGCTCGTCCTGATCTTGGTGGAACTCCCGGACGGTTGTAGTAGTCGTCACCGTTTCTACGAAGCCAGTTGGAAGTGATTTTTCCGAAACCGAAGGAGATGCTAGCTTTCGTTCTTCAGATTCTGGTTGGAATTGCTCTTCAGGAATCTCGCGATGTCTATGGAAATCTTCAACTTCCGTTGTCCAGTGCTCGCTTGACGGATAATGATGAGATGGAGTCGGTTCAAAGTCACGATCTTCTGAATCAGCTGTTTCTGAGGCGATTGGAGAAGCAAGCTCTTCTTCGTGAATCTTTTCTTTCTCAGGAACCTGATCTTCAAAAGAGCGCCGCCGATCTTCTCCTTCCTCTGCTTCCATCGAGCGCTCGAAACGTGAATACGTCGTGACTTCAGGCTCTGTTGACTTTTCAGAGTGTTTCTGGTCGACTTCAGCTTGGTATTGTTCTTCTGGCACTTCTTGCCGTCGATGGAAGTCATGAACTTCGGTAGTCCAGTGATCACTTGATGGATATTGGTGAGCGGGAGTTGGTTCAAAGTCGTGATCTTCGTAACCAACCGGAGAAGATTTGAAGTCTTCTTGATTTTCAGAATCCGCCTTTCTGGACAGAGCTGGGGAAGAAGGCTCTTTAGTCTCGTGGTGGAATTCGCGGACAGTCGTAGTTGTCGTGACTGTTTCCGTGAAGCCAGTGGGAATGGACTTCTCAGAAGTGACAGGCGAGAGTTTCTGGCTTTCAGATTCCGTATGGAAATGCTCTTCAGGAACTTCCTGGTGTTTCTGGAAGTCGTGAACTTCAGTCGTCCAGTGCTCACTTGTTGGGCATTGGTGAGCTGGAGTCGGTTCGAAATCATGATCTTCGGAATCTGCCTTTCTTGACGAAGCTTGTGAGGAAGGCTCCTCGACATCAGTGTGGAATTCACGGACAGTCGTAGTAGTAGTTACTGTCTCAGTGAAGCCAGTTGGGAGTGACTTTTCAGAAGCTCCTGGAGAAAGCTTTTGATCTTCAGATTCTGGCTGGAAGTGCTCTTCTGGAACTTCTTGGCGTCGGTGGAAGTCGTGAACATCGGTTGTCCAGTGCTGACTCGAGGGGTATTGATGAGCTGGTGTTGGTTTAAAGTCAAGGTCTTCAGAGCCGGCCTTTTCCGAGGGAATCGGAGAAGCAAGATTTTCCTGAGCCGAAGTAAGCTCCTCGTCGTGATATTCAGAATCAGCCTTCTTGGATGAAACTGGAGATGTCGGCTCGTCGGGCTCATGATGGAACTCACGGACAGTTGTAGTTGTTGTCACAGTTTCCGTGAAACCAGTGGGAAGAGATTTTTCTGAAGACAGAGGTGATGGCAGCTGATGACCTTCAAATTCCGGTTGGAAATGCTCTTCAGGGACTTCTTGCCGTCGATGGAAATCTTCAACTTCAGTTGTCCAGTGCTCACTTGAGGGATACTGGTGAGCTGGAGTTGGTTCGAAGTCGTGGTCCTCAGAATCTGACTTTCTAGATGAAACTGGAGATGAAGGCTCCTGAGTTGCAGGATGGAATTCGCGAATGGTAGTAGTTGTAGTTACCGTTTCTGTGTAGTCAGCTGGAATACCCTTTTCGGAAGTCGAAGGAGAGCGAAGCTGATCTTCGATTTCTTCTTTCTTCTCTGAGATAGATCCTACTTCAGAAGGACGCCGTTCGGATTCACTCTTTTCTACAGATCGCTCGGAACTTGGAGACTCTGGTTTTTCATAAGAGACGTCTTCAGCATGTTCGTCGTATTGATAAGGAGGTGGCTGGTCTTCAACAAAAGTACTTGGCTTGGCTTCAGAAGTTTGTTCTTCGTAATGGTATTCAGAAGGCTCTCCGTCGTCTTTTTTCAAGGCGTCGTAAGCGCTCTTAGCTCCAATGACACCAAGGGCAATCGGAGCAGCGATGACTCCTCCTGCTACCAGGCCGACCTTCTTGCCGATGTCGAGCATCTTGCCTCCAAACGACTTCTTATCTTCAGATTCGCCTCCGATTTCGGCGTACTCTTGTGGCTCAACATCTTCTTCGGCTTCGTGAGCTGGGTACGACTCAACAGCATGACCTTCGTCTTTCTGATGATGATCCGGGCTGAATTTTTCGTCAACAAGCTCAGCATTTCGATGGAATTCATGAACTTCACTTGTCGTTGAGATAGTCTGCGTGTAGCCAGGGACGAACGAGGAGTCTTCTTCGTCTTGAGGAGCCGCGTCTTGATGGAACTCGCGGACAGTCGTGGTCGTAGTAACAGTTTCAGTAAAACCAGTAGGGATGAATTTTTCTGATCCCAGAGGCGACTTCTGATGATCTTCGAAGGCCAGTTGCTCTTCTGGAACTTCTTGCCCTCGATGGAAATCATGAACTTCGGTCGTCCAGTTCTCACTTGACGGATATTGGTGAGCTGGAGTTGGCTCAAAGTCGTGGTCGTCCGACTCAACTGGAGAGGACTTCAAGTCTTCTTGATATTCAGAATCAGCCTTTCTGGACAAGGCCGGTGAAGAAGGCTCTTCAGCCTCGTGGTGGAACTCTCGAACAGTCGTAGTTGTCGTGACTGTTTCAGTAAAACCAGTAGGAATGGATTTTTCGGAGCTTATTGGCGATTTTTGAGGCTCTTCAAAAGCAAGGTGCTCTTCCGGAATTTCTTGGCGCCTATGGAAGTCGTGAACTCCGGTCGTCCAGTGTTCACTTGACGGATATTGGTGAGCTGGAGTTGGTTCGAAGTCACGGTCTTCTGAATCAGCCTTCTCAGAACGAGCTGGAGACGCAGGCTCTTTTCCTCTAGGTTCGTCAGAGGTTCCAGGCGTAGTAATATCTCTTGCTTCTTCGGGTTCATGATGGAACTCCCGCACGGTCGTGGTAGTCGTCACCGTCTCCGTGAATTCAGCTGGGAAGGACTTTTCTGAGGACAAAGGAGATGGTACTTTCTCACTTCTAACTTCCGGATGGAAATGCTCTTCAGAAACTTCCTTTTGTCGATGGAAATCTTCAACTTCGGTCGTCCAATTTTCACTCGAAGGATATTGGTGAGCTGGAGTTTGCTCTTCTTCTTGTGGCTCAGAGCCAGCCTTTTCCGACAAAACTGGAGAAGCCAGTTCAAAGTCTTCTTGATGTTCAGAAGCAGATTTCTTGGACAAAGCTGGAGAGGAACGTTCTTCTTGAGCGTGGTGTGATTTGTCGGAGCCTAGAGGCGATTTTGGCTGTTCTTCGCGAGCCTCAAATCCGAGCTCTTCTTCTGGAACTTCTTGCCGTCGATGGAAGTCATGAACTTCAGTCGTCCAGCTGTCACTTGATGGATATTGGTGAGCAGGAGTTGGTTCAAAATCATGGTCTTCAGAATCCGCTTTTCTTGATAATGCTGGGGAGGAAGGCTCTTCAGCGTCGTGGTGGTATTCTCGGACGGTTGTAGTCGTGGTAACTGTTTCCGTGAAGCCGGTTAGAATGGACTTTTCAGAAGTGACAGGCGAGAGTTTCTGGCTTTCAGATTCCGGTTGGAAATGCTCTTCAGGAACCTCTTGGCGTCGGTGGAAGTCGTGAACGTCAGTCGTCCAGTGCTCACTTGTTGGGTATTGGTGAGCTGGAGTCGGTTCGAAATCATGATCTTCGGAATCTGCCTTTCTTGACGAAGCTGGTGAGGACGGCTCCTCGACATCAGTGTGGAACTCACGGACAGTCGTGGTAGTGGTAACTGTCTTAGTGAAATCAGTGGGAAGCGACTTCTCAGAAGTTACAGGAGAAGTCTGCTGATCACCAGATTCAGGTCGGAAATGTTCTCCAGGAATCTCTTGGTGCCTCTGGAAGTTGTGCACTTCTGTAGTCCAATGCTCACTTGAGGGATATTGATGAGCTGGAGTCTGTTCTTCCTCATCCTGATGTTCAGAACCATATTTCTTTGACGAAGCTGGAGATGATGGCTCCTCCTCTTCTTGATGGAATTCACGAACTGTGGTGGTGGTCGTCACCGTTTCTGTATAACTTGTCGGCAAATCTCTTTCTGAACCAACTGGAGACAGATCATCTTGAGAAGGTTCATCAAAACCATGCTGCACGTCAGCTTGGTATCTTTCTTCAGGAACTTCTTGATGTCGATGGAAATCTTCGACTTCCGTTGTCCAGTGCTCGCTTGAGGGATAATGATGAGCTGGTGTTGGCTCAAAGTCATGATCTTCTGAATCAGCTTTCTCCGAGGCAGTAGGAGAAGCAAGATCTTCATGATGGATCTTCTCTTTTTCAGGCACTTCATGTTGATCTTCGAAAGAGCGTCGTCGGTCTTCTCTATCTTCTTCATCTCCAATTGAGCGCTCGAAACGCGGAGACGTCGTAACTTCAGATTCTGCCGGCTTTTCCTCGTTTTCTTTCGTTAAGGCGTCGTAGGCCGTCTTTGCTCCAACAGCGGTCAAAACGACTGGAGCTGCTAGAACGCCTCCGGCAACCATTCCGACTTTCTTGCCGAATCCTAGAATTTTATCGCCGAGCGATTCCTTCTCTTCTTCTTCATCCAGATGTGTAACAGAAGGTTCTCGATGTAGCTGTCCTTCTCTGGCAACAGATTGATATGGCTCGGATTCGATGGGTGAGAACGATTTTTGAGGTTCTTCTTGGGCTGGAGTGTGGATTTTAAAGTCGTCCTTGTCAACGAGTTCTTCTGAAGAACGTCGAGAAGTTTCGAATTGTTGTTGAGCAGCGGAACCAGCTAGAGATACGACAGAAGCATGGTCTTCAGGTTTTATTTCATGGTCAGAGTATTCTTCGACTTTCTCAACTTGTTCATGAGAAGCCTCCTCTTTTAGATGTTCTTCTTGTACGGGAGAGTGAACTTTTTCGACAATTTCCTCGGTCTTTTCGGCGTCAGTCAAAGCGGAAGAAGGTCGAGAATCGAATCTTCCAGCTGGCTGTTGAACGAAGGATCCAGCTAGAGAGGCGACAGAAGCTTGATCCTCAGAAACTTCGGCGTCGAGACCTTCAGGTTTTGGTTCAAGGCCGAGATATTCTTCGACCTTCTCGATGGGATTCTGTTCTTCATCGTGACGTGCATGGAAAGCCTCATCTCTCAGATGTTCTTCTTGAGCTGGAGAATGGATTTTAAAGGATTCCATCTCGTCTGCAGTCTTCCCAGCCGAAGAGCGACGAGAATCGAATCTTTCTGCTGGCTGTTGAACGACGGATCCAGCTAGAGAGGCGACTGAAGCTTGATCTTCGGAGATTATGGCATCCAGGTCTTCAGACTTTGGTTCAAGGTTAAGGTATTCTTCAACTTTCTCGGTTGGAGTCTGTTCATAGATTTGAGAATGTAGAGCCTCCTCTTTCAGATGTTCTTCTTGTGCTGGGGAGTGAACTTTGAACTCTTCTTTCTCGACAATCTCAGCTGGCTGTTGAGCAGCGGATCCAGCCAGAGAGGCGACTGAAGCTTGATCTTCACTGATTTCCAAGGCTCCAGATCCATGTTCAAGGCCAAGATAATCTTCAACTCTTTCAATTGGATTTTGTTCATCAGCGTCGCGAGAATGGAGAGCCACGTCTGTCAATAAGACGTGCTTCTCACTTGAAAGATCTGGAGAAGCTCTCTCAAACTCGTCGTGGCTTCGACGCTCAGAAGACGCTGATCCGACCTGAGAAACGACGGAAGCCTGGTCTAGAGGTACTGATTTTTGCAAATCTTCAGACTTTTCATGTTCCTTGAAGTGAGACTCGATGGCTTGCTCCGCCATAGCTTCGGCAGCCTCTTCGGCCGAAATTCGATCTTGTTGATCGAAAAGATCGGAGACTTCCTTGACGATCGGAGGCTTGACGGCGGCTTCCACGAAGTCCTGAACTTCGGCCGAACGACGAACTGATGGCAGGTCTTCTGCCTCTGATCCTTCCACTAGGAAGTTGGGGACGTCTTCCGCACTTGAGGACTTGGAAACGTTTTCTGGTGGCGGCGTTGTTTCCCGAGCCACAGAGATAACTTTTTCGTCTTCTGCAGTCGGTAGTTCAAACTCTGTTTTTTCTGAAGTGACGATCTTTTCCGTGGGAATGGGCGGAGTAGTTTCTCTTGGCACCGATTCAGGCACGACGTCGATTTCAGACTTCTCGAAAACTTCTGATTCAACTGCGTATCTTTCAGGCTCAACTTCTCTCACGAAGCTGTCCTCTTCATCGTCTCCACTCTTCAGCTTGTCGTAGGCGGCTTTGGCGCCCACAGCCGCTAGGGCGACTGGCGCTGCGATGACGCCTCCAGCGACCATGCCAGCTTTTTTGGCGAAGTCCAGAACCTTATCTCCGAGAGATTCATCTTCTTCTTCAATTTTAGGTTCAATCGGCAGAGTCTCCACTTCGAAACGTCCGATTTGGGATTGACGTCGCTCCGTCAGATGCGTGCTGCCGTCGAACTCGTCAGGATCCTCAGAAACTCCCAGAGAACGACGTCTTCCCTCTCTATTGACGTCGACATGAATGTCTTCGCTGAAGTCTTCAGGTTTGGTTTGGATTTCGGCTTCAGAAGGACGTCTTTGAGAAGTTTCTGTGAAAAGTTCATCATCTTGAGCTTCTGCAGCTTGGGCTTCATGATGAACTTCTCGAACAGTCGTAGTTGTCGTGACTGTTTCCGTGAAGCCAGTGGGAATGGACTTCTCAGAAGTGACAGGCGAGAGTTTCTGGCTTTCAGATTCCGTATGGAAATGCTCTTCAGGAACTTCCTGGTGTTTCTGGAAGTCGTGAACTTCAGTCGTCCAGTGCTCACTTGTTGGGCATTGGTGAGCTGGAGTCGGTTCGAAATCATGATCTTCGGAATCTGCCTTTCTTGACGAAGCTTGTGAGGAAGGCTCCTCGAAATCTGTGTGGAATTCACGGACAGTAGTGGTAGTAGTAACTGTCTCAGTGAAACCTGTTGGAAGCGACTTTTCAGAGGCTTCAGGAGAAAGCTTCTGATCTTCCGATTCTGGTTGGAAGTGATCCTCTGGAACTTCTTGGCGTCGGTGGAAGTCGTGAACGTCAGTCGTCCAATGCTCACTTGTTGGATATTGATGAGCAGGTGTTGGTTCAAATTCATGGTCTTCCAAATCGGCCTTTTCCGAGGAGATCGGTGAAGCAAGATGATCCTGAGCTCTAGTGGGCTCCTCCTCGTGGAATTCTGAATCGGCCTTCCTAGAGGAAGCTGGCGAAGATGGCTCGTCCTGTTCTTGGTGGAACTCCCGGACAGTTGTAGTAGTCGTCACCGTTTCTACGAAGCCCGTTGGAATGGACTTTTCAGAGCCTCCAGGGGATAGCTTTCGGTGTTCAGATTCTGGCTGGAAGTGCTCTTCTGGAACTTCCTGATGTCGATGGAAATCTTCGACTTCAGTTGTCCAGTGCTCACTCGAGGGATATTGATGAGCTGGAGTTTTTTCAAAGTCTTGGTCTTCCGAGTCTGCCCTTCTTGACAAAGCTGGTGAAGAAGGCTCCTCGAAATCGGCGTGAACTTCGCGGACGGTTGTAGTCGTGGTAACTGTTTCAGTGAAGCCGGTAGGAATGGACTTTTCAGAAATTACAGCAGAAGTCTGTTGGTCACCAGATTCAGGTTGGAAATGCTCTTCAGGAACCTCGTGATGTTTATGGAAGTCGTGCACTTCGGTCGTCCAATGGTCACTTGATGGATATTGGTGAGCTGGAGTTGGCTCAAAGTCGTGATCTTCGGAGCCAACCGGAGAAGACTTGAAGTCCTCTTGATATTCAGAATGTGATTTTCTGGATGAAGCTGGTGATGATGGCTCTTTTTCCTCGTGATGGAACTCCCGAACAATCGTTGTAGTGGTGATTGTCTCAGTGAAGTCAGTTGGCATTGACTTTCCGACAGGTGAAAGTTCCTGTTCTTCAGATTCCGGTTGGAAATGCTCTTCAGGAACTTCTTGGTGCTTCTGGAAATTTTCAACTTCCGTTGTCCAGTGCTCACTCGAGGGATATTGATGAGCTGGTGTTGGCTCAAAATCCTCATCTTCTGAATCAGCCTTCTGCGAGGGCGGTTGAGAATGCGAATCTCTGCGATCCAGGCCTGGATCGGAATCGTGACGGAGTAGCGACTTTTCAGATTCTCTTCGAGATGGCAGCTTCTCATCAGATTTCAGCGTGTCCTGTTGTTCAAAGTCTTCCTCATCTTCGTCGCCCTTCTTGATAGCGTCGTAGGCGGTTTTGGCACCGATGGCAGCCAAGGCGACAGGAGCCGCGATAACGCCTCCAGCGACCATTCCAGCCTTCTTGGCGAATCCAAGCATCTTGTCGCCTAGAGTCTCTTCGTCTCCAGATTCAGCCTTCTCGAAGTCTTCAGCGCCTTCTCCCTTTTCCGGTGCCGCTTTTTCAACGTCTTCTGTCGCTTCGGAGGAATCCACGAAGAATTCCTTCATTACTTCCGTTATCTTCGAGGTCTCCGTGTAGTCTCGCGGCTCTGAAGCCACTGAACCCGCTAGGGAAGCAACTGAAGCTTGATCTTCTGGAACGGCTGGGTAGACGTCTTCATGCCCTTCGTAGGAAGTTTCCGTGGTGACCGTAGTAGTTCTTTCGATTTGAACTGGCTCAACCGTCTGCCTTTCCACGATACCATCCTCGTTCGCGGTTTCGCGATACTCCCGAATCGTTGTTTCATCAATATCGACGTGAATCTTCTTTTCTTCGAGCTCTGGCTCCTCTTCTCCGTCGTGATATTTGCGAAGAGTTTCCGTGGTTGTGATTTTCTCGGTGAAGTATGGATCAGGATGTGCTGCACCTTCTGCAGATTTCTCAGAAAGTTTCCTGGAAGCTGGAGCTTCTTTCGTCAAGTCTTCATGTTCTGAGGGGGATGACAGGTCTTTTTGTTCAGAAGGGAAGTCATACTCGGCTTTTTCGGATTCTGACAGTTTTCTGGAAGCTGGAGCCACTTCGAGGTCCAATTCTGCTTCTTCCAAGTCTTTTTGTTCAGGAGCGAGGTCTTCTGATAACTTTCCAGCTTCTCTTCCGAATTCTCCTTGATGCACTTCTTCTTGGAGATTCTTCGATTCCGATGGAGATGGTAGGTCTTTTTGTTCAGAGGGGAAGTCATGCTCTTCCAAGTGTTTCTGTTCAGATGGACTAGCTAGAACGTGCTCATGATGTCCCGATTCTGTAGATAGCCTTCTTCCAGGTGAAGCTCTTCCTTCGACTTCCGCTTCATCTGAACAGATTTCTTTCTGTTCTGATGGAGTTGGCAAATCTTCGAGGTCATTTTCAGCAGTTTCAGTGCGTTGTAGATATTGTTCAGGCTGCTCGAAGGTGTAGCTGGTGACTGTCGTTGACTCGGAGACGTCAACGGGCTCCGGCGTTGGAGATTCAACTTCAGAAGATGGCTTCTCCTGGATCGCCGTTTCGATCATCGGCTGTTTGACGTCTTCGTGGTGATGCTCATGAACAGTCGTGGTAGTGGTGATGATGTCGGTGTAATCAGCTGGAAGAGACTTCTCCGAGGTTGCAGAAGGTCGTCGATGCTCTTGGTCAGGGACATCTTCTGGGTGATGCTCCAGGACCTTTGTGGTCACGCTCGTCGTCGGCTCCTCTCCATCGACGTTGGTGGTTGAAATTGTAGTGATTTTCTCGATGTATCCATCATCTTCAAGAGCTTTTTCAGATGCAGCAGAAAGCCGGCGTTGATCAAAGTCTTCTTTTTCGAAGTGACTTGGCCTGGCTTGAAGATCTTCTTCCGGCAACTCGTCTCCACGGAGAAACTCGTGAATCTCAGTGGTCATGGTGACGGTTCTCTTGTAATCTGGTTCGCTTTCATCAACGTCAGATTTTGTTACAATTTTCTCAGCGTATTTGGAAGATTGCGAGTCTTCGGTGGCCGCCGGAGAAAGCTGGCTATCATCGAGTTCGGAGCCACGACGGGAGTCATGGTATTCCCGAGAAACTGTTGTCGTGGTGATCTTGAAGGATTCCTCCGGATCCGTTGGAAGCTCCGGAGAGGCGTGACCTTCTTTTTCGTGGTATTCCCGAGTTATCGTGGTCGTAGTAGTGGTTTCTTTGAAGTCGTGAACTGGTGAAGCTTCGACGTCTTCTTTGGTCAGAGCATCGTAGGCCGATTTTGCTCCAACTGCGGCTAGGGCGATCGGAGCCGCAATGACGCCCCCAGCGACTAGGCCCGCCTTCTTGGCAAAGTCCGTCATCTTGTCGCCAAGAGATTCAGAATCAGCGTGGCTTGAGCGTCGTTCTTCTGGAATAGGCTCTTGAAAATGGTCAACACTGTGTTTCTGGTCTGCAGAATCTCTGCGAAGATGTCGTTCATCTTGGTAGTCCAACTCAGAAGTTTCAACAAGGTCTTGTTCTTTTGGAGTTTCAGAAATTTGATGTTGGTCATGATAACCCTCTTCAGAATCCCTGAGAAGATGTCGTTCTTCTGGAGTTTCAGGTTTACTTTGGTAGTCGTGTTGAGAAGCAATTTCATGGACAGTAGCTTCAGTTACCACGTCGTCAAGTCGTTCTGGATAGTCTTCATGGCTAAGCCTTCTGGAAGTCGTTTCATGCTCATCGCTCGGTCGTCTTTGGTCAAAAGCTGTAGTTTCAAGGTCACTAGCATGACTTTCTCGTCGTTTTGGAGTGGATTTTTGAGAGTAGTCGTGCTCAGGAACGTGATCAGGTCGTTCTGAGAAGTCTTGCTCAGGAGCATGGCTTCCGGAGTGTCGTTCAGAAAGTTCATGCTCAACTGAGAAGCCTTGCTCAGAGGGTTGACTTTGACGTCGATCTTCAGATTGCCCAGTGTAGTCGTGATCAACTTCTGGGCGTTCTGAGAAGTCTTGCTCGGAAGCGTGGCTACCAGTTTGTCGTTCTACAGGAGTTATTCTTTGAGGGAGATCCTGCTCAACCTCTGGACTATGTAGTTCTGAAAAGCCTTGCTGGGAGACATGGCTTTGACGTCGATCTTCATGTTTTTCAGCGTAGTCGTGTTCAGAAACGCCTTCAAGTCGTTCAGACAACTCATGCTCAGAAGAATGGCTACCAGTTTGTCGTTCTTCGGGAGTGAGTCTGTGAGGGAGATCCTGCTCAACCTCTGGACTATGTCGTTCCGTAGTTTCAGTAGTCACGTCTTCATGTCGTTCTTCTCCCTCGCCTTCCCCAACATCTCTACCCGGCCTACTATGGCTATACGTCGTCTCAGAGATGTACTCAAAAGGAATGGACTTTCTCGTCGCTGGAGTCGGAACGTCGTCGTGTCGTGTCGTTTCAGAACTCACGAGCTCGGAGATGTAGCGCTGCTCCTCGACCTCGTTGTAGCCGACGGACGACGGCGGTGACTGCTTCAGCTCGGCATGGGAACTGGACTCTTCGGTAGCAGGAAGAGGCTCTTGGGCTTGGAAGTCGTCGTCGTCGTCAACCTCCGGCGGAACTGGAGTGTGCGGAGTGATGACGATGTCGACGGAAAGTCGGTCCGGAGAGCCGGAAGATTCCGACGCCTTCGGCTCGTTCTTCTGCAGCTTCTCGAACTTGGCGATCCGCTCCTTCACCGAGCCCAACGATTCCGTCGGTGACTCTGCAATTGGCTTGGTTTTTGGATTTCATCAGATTTCATGCTCAAAATTCCGTTCTGTAGTTGTTTGAAGGAACCAAGCTTCGTTTTTCCCGTTTTTATGCAAAAAATCCTTGTAAGTTCCTTTAAAAACCACAGAAGGATTTTTCGAAAATTCTCACTCGATTTTGGTGAAAAAAATGTATATCGTTGAGAGATTTTATGAGAAGTGAGGGTGCAGACAACACAGAGAAAAAGCTTGCAAGCAGGTTTTTTTATTTTTCACAGAATGATTTTTAAATAATTTATTTTTTTCATCTTGAAAGTCAAAAATTGAGCGGGAAAAACTGAAAAAAATCAGCGTTTTTCAAATTTTGAACGAATTCATTCAAAAAAATTGCTTTCGATAAATTTAAAGGATATAAATATGAAATAATTAAATCTTCGAAAAAAATTTTTTTCCGTAAATATTTCTGAATGAAAAAGATGGAATTTTTTTCTTTTTGGTGACATCGAAAAAAATTGTCGAGCCTTAAAAAAATTTTTTTTTCGAAAATACTTATGATAAAAAAATTGGTAAATACTCGAAAAATCGGACTTATAAAATGATTTTTTTAGGTCACTTTACTTGTTTTTTTCAACCTTACTCATTGAATTTTTTCCAGAGAAAAAATCTTCAAGAAATATTTTTTGGTTCAAGAATCAAACTGAAAATGAACATGCACCCGTCCCAGAAAAAAAATCAGAAAAAAGAGGAAGAATCTTTTTTTTTGAATAAAATTTCATTCATCGCTAGCTTTGAGAAACTTTGCTTCTCTAATATCTCTTCAGTTGTTTCGGTCTCTAACTTCTCTCTCCAATGACTCATAATGCATAAATTTTCATGGTCAAACTTGAATATCTATTTTTTTTAAATGGTACAAATTTTCCTCTATAAGTAACGATGAATGAACTATTCTTTTTGCTTCAGAAAACCACTTTCACAACGAAAAACCAACACGAAACGACGAATATTTTTTTTTCCAATCAAATAACTTTATTCATTGATCGGCGGTGTACATATTCTGTGTGTGTAGAGCGTCTCCAAACGTCGCATTTTCTCGTTTTTCGTGCACCTCCAGGTAGAAAATTGAAGATTTCTTGCAAACCAAAAAAAAAAGAACAGAAACAACTAAAGCGGACAACACAAAGAGAAAACTAATATGTGCAAGAAAATTTAATCCGTGCCGTTTTTTTATTTTTTTCAATCTTTCAACGATATACATTTTTCATTTTATATGTTCAAGTAGCAAGAAAAATATATAAGTAAATGTAAAATTATAATAAATCGAGGGAGAATTTTGTTGCGAATTTTTTTGGTCGAGGCGGAGTCACGCTGCCACGGTTACTCACCAGGTGCCGACGGCTCTTCTCCTGAAAAAAATTGAGAATTAATTTTGAAAAATCGTTAAAAAGGATCGTTTTTAGAACGTATATATAAGGAAAGTATCTGAAAATTTTATAAGAACCCTCTAATTTTCAGATTTTTTCTCAAATTTTCTCTGATGCCGTGTTCAAAGTAATTTCCGCGAAATGCAAAATGGTCTCTGACCCTCCAAAATTTAGTTATCTTTCTCTTTCTCTGACGGCTATTTTGAATTTCGCGGAATCACTTTGAACACGGCATGAGTTTTTGTATTTTTTCAAGGTTCGAAGGCAAATTTTTGTTTCTTTTTGGAAAAATTCGAAGCGGTCGACGTCCAACAAATAAAGTGAAGTGTAAAAATGAGCATTTTTCGGAATATTGTTTGAAAATTGAAATCTGAAGGCCTAGAAATAAGTTAAATAGACTATTTTTCCAACTTAAAAATAGGAAAAGCTGGCATTTTTCAACTAGTTTCCATCTCTCAAAGAAAAAGGGTTTTTGAAGCTTTTCACCAAGAGTTTTGTGGTTTTTGAGGTCATGAAGTTTTGAAAAAAATCACGAAAAATTTGAGTTTTTCCTTCTTTTTTTCCGCTTTTTCTTGAGGTAAACAATCGAACAGATGTGCCAAGGGGCAACGGAAAACAGATTTTTTCTCTTTCGATTTAGGTCCGGAGAGCAATAAATTTGAATCAAGCTTTCTTTCAAGAGGATTTTTTGCACAATACAACAAGTTTAGCTTAAATCAATACAATTTTTCTTTTTTAAAATACGACTTTGACCGCGAAAATTCATCAGAAAAATAATCGAGTAATAAAAAATCGCCTTTGAAGGGTTCAAGTGCGCCCTAACGAACCAAATAATATTGACTGCAACGCTTTTTTAAGCCAGTTTTAGAGCGAAAATCGGACAAGCTTGAAAGAATAGACTATGATAAGCAGAGACCCCTAATTTGGCCTAAAATTTACCTGAAACTTAACAAAAAAGAAATTTTCATGCTCTTGTCTGGGAAAAATGAAAGTTATGAATACTAAAGTTGAAAATAAAAATGAGAATCATTTTAAAGGTATGATTATTTACCTGGGATGGTGGTACGAGTCGTGGTGACGACGCGGGTCATTTTCTTCGAGACGACGACGGATCCGTCTTCGTTGGTGAAGCCCTCCTCGGCCGTCTCCTTCTTCTGAGTTGTGCCTTCAAAAGAAAGTGATTAAGGTACTTTTTCTAGTGACCCCTAAAGGGAAATTAGATTTACAGCCTTGAAAAATAGTCTACCAAGAGGAAAAAGCGTGTAAAATTTCGAATTTTCAAAAATAGTTATTGAAAGGTTCAAGTAATATTTTTGATGCAATATGCAAGTACGAATATCGATTTTTTGGGCTTTCCTACCCTTTCCTAACAATTTTATGGCTACTTTATGAATTCATGTAAAATGATTTTTTTTTTTGAAGCATCGGCTGGAATTTATAGCTTCATCTGTCCTAAAAACCCTAAATTTTCAGTAAATCTCTCAATTTTTTCAATTCATCCATTCAAATTAACTACGTGAATCTTAGATAAATCGCCTGAAGAAAATTTTAAATTTTAAAGTTTCTATTTTCCATCTTCTAACTCAAAAAATGAATGGAAAACGGGTTTTTTTCGGTTCGAAGGGTCAGAATTATCAAAAATTCTTCGGTAAGCTAAATTCCCTTAAAAATAGGCCGGAATTTAACTTTTTTTAAAGACTTTAAACTGATTTTTGCAGTATATACTGTTCATTTTTTTTGTTTTGAGACACTAAAAAGTTCAAGAAAAAAACCTTGTTTTTTTCAGAAAATAGGTTAGAATTTAACCGAAGAACTCAGCATTTTCCATCAATTTCATGTTTCAAGACACAGGAAAAGGTTTAAAAAGCGGTAAAATTTTGATAAACTCAATTTTGGAATAAGTAAAGAATAAATTCTACTCTTTTTTTCCTTTATTTCTTGTAAAGATCTGTTTGCGATTCTGAAAGGCGTTCTCGGGGGTCGATCGAGAGCAAAAGCTGGCTTTTGTCGGCCGCCGGAGAGGCCTCCAGCCGTTGTAAAGAGTCTCGAATCGATTGGCAATGGCCCCGAGAAATCCCCCCACCATTTTTTTTTTTGTTTTGGTGTGAAAGTAGGTTTCTATTCAACAAAAAATGAAGAAACTCACCAGAATCGGGAGCCCCATCGGTGGCGCCGCTCGCTGAAAATGGGAAAATTGAGAATTTTCAGAGAAAAAGCTTGGATTTTTTTACAGTGGGAGCAGCTATTCTAGCGTTGGGGAGTGAGTTTCAAAGGATAAATTTCGGAAAATATAAAATTTTCACCATTTTTGAGCAAAAAGGTCAAATTTTACAGTGAGAAAAAGCTAATTTAAAGTTTTACAGTGATAAGTTTGATAAGAAGCTTTAAAAAACTTGATAAGTAGGTCGGAATTTTTTTTTTTGAAACGATGGGTGATTTTCAATGAAAAATTTAGGAAATCTCCAAAATTCCGAACAATAAATTGAACTTTCCAAGGAGTTAGTATTGATAAGTTTCCGAAGAAAATTCAAAAACCCTGAAAAATTGAAGAAGCATAAAGTTTCGATTGTATTTTATGGCGGATAAAGGACTCATTTTTCAAGTATTCATTTTTAATTCTCACAAATGGAAGACAGGATCTGCTGATGAAGGTCTCGGATTTTATCAGTGTCGACGCCGACCATGCCAGGAGTCTCGGTCTCGTAGACGGTCTTGGTCGTCGTCGTGTGCTTGCTCTGATTGACGCGGATCTGGACATCTCGTCCAGCTCCAGCGACGGCCAGAGCCCTGGCGACGGCTTCCGAGATGGCCGGGTCGGCCGGCGTTACCGCTCCGGCGGCTCTCAACTCCTCCTCCAGCTCCCGGAGGCGGTTGATCGCGTCGGCATGCTTATTGGGCGCCGTCATCTTGAGCTGCTTGAGCGTGAAGAGCAGCTGCGTGACGACGAGTTCAGAATCGCTGGGCTCGACGACGTGGTGATGCTCCTCCGTGTCGTCGTCCTCCTCGGCTTCCAGGAAAGGTTGCTCAGTGGCGAGCTTGAAGAACTGGACGAGGGGAACGCCTCGCGGGTCGAGCTCCAACAGGGCGGCGGCCAGGGAAGCACTGCGATTGCGCTCGAACTGCGCGCTGCTTGCGATGGGCGGAGCCTCGTCGTCGTGCTCCTCCGCCGTCTCGAACATCTTCTTGTGAGGACTGTGAGATTCGGGGACGGCCAGGACGGATTCGTGGTGCGCGGCGTGGTGATGATCATCTGCAAAGTCGTGGTCGGCGTGTTCGCCGTCCCAGGATTCCGCCTCGAACTTGCTGCTGGAGTTGACGTGATGCACACGGGCGGTCGACGTGCCGTGGCTGATGATGGATCCGGTGACGATCGGGACGCCAGAAGACGTCACGCCCGACACGATCAAGGTGGCCATCGTTGGAAAAAGTGAAGCGGGGAAAGCTTGGGGCGGAGGCCTCGGCTCGGAAAGCAAAAACAAACCAACAGCTGACGCCAGTAAGAGTCGTCGTTCCGTTTTCCAGTTTTTTTTCAAAAGGAAAAAAATATTATTTGAAACATGTGTATGGTTCATTCACAGCTGGCTTGAGAACGTTTCCGAAAATTAGAAAAATAAATGTTTCTCGCCCTCGGTGAATGGACTATTGATTTTTTTCCCTTTATCCACCATTTTTTTTTTCAATCGAAACTTCATGCATTTTATTCTTCTTCAATTTATTCTTCTTCTTTTTTTCTCTTTGAACTTTTTAATTAACGACGAAACAAGAAACAATTTAAAAATATATATATATAAGAATTATGTGCAGTAGCATAGAGAGGGTAGTAGTTAGTTTGGGCAGTCGATTGGCAGCTTGAAAAGTAAAGAAAATAATAATTATTATTATTAGAACTAGGCTAGGGACAGTTTGCGTCATAATTATCGACTCACTTTCAAAAAATTCATCTCAAGAGAAAATCAGTGCGAGTCAATAATTATGACGCAGCGCGTACATGTAATCATGGCTACAGGAAAAGCGTTAACAGACTTTCTTACTCTTTCAATATATTATTAGTAGTACAAGAAAAGCGTCCTAGAATCATGAGAATTGCGTGGTCACAGGTGTGTAGTAGATTAAACTTGCAAAGCTAACAGAGAGAGGGTTAACGAGAAGAGGAGCCGAGAATTCTTCAGAGATTTTCAATCAAAGTGTGCTCGGAGGACGTTGGAGAAGCCCCTCAAGGTGATTCACTACCTTCGGCGGGCTGATGACGTCGTCGGCGGTGTTCCACGTCTTCTTCTTCATCTTCTCCATGTGCCGATGGACTTCTCTCATGCTCTGGGGATTCTGTAAATTTGTGGGTTCTTTGACAGAACAGGAATCTGTGAAACGTTCGCATTTTCGAGCTTTTTTTTTGGTTAGAAGCGTGCCTGATCCGAATTTGTATGCTTGAATATTCAGAGAGCGTATATTTCAAATAGTAAAGTAGATTTACGCTCTATGGAGACGGTAAACGCCTGTTTCTCGGTGTGTAAACGACAATTTTCCCACACTTTTTGATCCTTTTCCTTCATGACAGCTAGAAAAGTAGGAAGCGAGAGATCAAGAGAGCACAGGAGGTCATACAGTTTCTGTCGGGATGCCAGCAAGTCGTGTCGAAATTTTACGCATAAATTTCATTCCTCGCAATCTTCTAGCTTCTCTACACTCTCTCTTCTCTCGCTTCCATGAAAGAGGGTCAAAAACGCACAGATTTCATACTAGAAATTGTCTGACTTCTCTGTACTCTCTTTTCTCTCACGGTCATGAACAAGTTAGAGAGGGAGAGAGTGCAGACGAGCCAGATTTTTCAAAGTGAAATATATATTTATAAGTATTGATCTCCATCATTCTCGTGCTATTCTCACCGCTGAAGTGGCTGGTCGTGACAGTCGTCGTGACGACGGTTCCATCGTCCTCAACGTGTCGTTCGGTCTCGACCTCCTGCTCCATCTCGACGCCCTCCGGAAGCTCTTCGAGGGGCAACGACGATCGCGGCGCTTCGGAAACCCTCTGCGGCGCCTCCTCGGCCAGTCGGTTCAGCTCCTCCCATCTGTTGTCAACCCTATTATCAGTTCCTGAGGTCATCTCCAACTTTTGCTGCTCCTCCTCGTTGAGAGGGACGGTTCGGTCGACGACGTGTTCATTGACGGCGACGTCGTCTTCGTAGGTCGTCGTTATGGTTCGTTCTTCCACAACGGGACCCTCTTCGGTGTCATGAACGTGTCGTTCGGTTCGGACGACAGTTCTCACTTCTGACACTGGTTGTTCTGCAATTTGGAAGGTTCCTGAAGAACTATGTGATGGCCGTAGAGAGCTATGAATGTGCGCTCTATGAATAAAAATAAATTTTATAAAACGATCTAAAAACGCACCTTCTTCAGCCGTCTTCTCGGCTTCCTCGGCCGCCGGCTCTTCTGGAATCGGACTCGGCTCCTGGGGCACATGATGCCGTTCGGCGACCTGCACCTTCTGAGGCACGGCGACTGGCTGAGCGACGATCGGTTCTCGCGTCACAAGGTCCTCTGTCCTCGTCTCCCGCTTCACTTCGTATCTAACAGGTGAAGGAGCGGAGAACTCGTGATGACGTTGGCTCGGCGAATCGGCGGCACCGTAGTTCAACGACTCGGGCTCGCCGTGGGCGATACTTCGAACGATGTCGTCGCGGCCGATCCTTCTCAGGGCGTTGTCGAGGTTCTCCGGCGTCGCGTCCTCCTTCTTCAGGTGGATCCAGATCCGGAGAGTGTGATGGACCTCCTTTCCGGGGTAGTTCTGCCGGATGTGCTGAATGTCGCGGTGGGGGAGCTCCAGGGCTCGCGCCAGCCGGGGCCAATCGGCGCCGACGCCTTTCAGCACGTTCTGGTGGACAAAGTCCGGCAGGTCCTGAAATACTTTGTTGAAACTTGGGAGTCCGGAAAAATTTAGAAAAGGTGGATATTACCTTGTTGATGGCGTCGCCGTACTTCTGGCTGAAGGAGGTGGTGTCCTTCTTGACGACCGACGGGGTCGGCATATCGCCAGTGTACTCGGGCAAGTTGATGGCCAGGGTGCAGATCGGCTGCTGTGGTGGCAGGGATTCGGCGCGGATCTTCGGCTCGGCCAAGAACGCGATTCTGCCCTCCGTGGCGGCTTCGACGTCGTCCTTGTTCCTCGTCTGAAAATCAGGGCCATGAGTGATGTCTTTTTGCTGATCGGGAACTTCTGAATGCATCTAATCACGCTCATTCTGAATAGGATCTCACAGGGGAGTTTGATCTTTAGAGTTTTTCTCGACCTTCAGAGGAAGTGCTAGCGAATTTTTAGAAAATTCCAATTTTCATGCTAAAAATGACCCCCTCAATAAACCTGTTGGCCAACTTTCAAAGGGTTCTAAGGATTCTGATTGCAAAATGTACCTTGACCATGAAGGCAAGGCGATTCTCCTGGAAGGGCAGGAAGAACAGGCTGAGCTGCTCGCCGCTCTTGGTGATGGGCACCAGGTTGCCGGCGAACTCCAAGAACTGATGCTTGCCCTTCAGCACTTCGACGTCCCTCGACTTGGCGATCATCTTGAAGTGCTCCTGCTTCTCCAAGGTCTTGTCCTCCTTGTCGTCGGTCATGCAGAAGACGCGGAGTTGTCCCTCGACGGGGAAGGTCCTTCTGGCGAAGACGGCGAACTTGGCCATGTAGGGAATGGAGATGGCTTCGTTGTAGACCTCCTGGGCCATCCGGGCGGCATCACGTGGCGTTTGGCAGTCCATCAGCCAGAATCTCGCCGAGACGGTGGTCGTGAAGGAGACCTCGTCGCCGGTGAACGTCAGCTGGGTGGTGCCGGTGATGTCCTCCCATTGGGCCGGAGCAGAACCGCCGGTGATCGAGCAGAGGAGTCGGAGGGTCGGAGGCTCTTGGCCGGCTTGTCCCGAGTACTGCGTCAGCATTCCCTGAACAATAAAGTTATATTTCATTTTCACAAAACGGCAGGAAGATAGGACTGAAAGCAGTAATAAAATTAGGTATGGTCAATATTTCTCGACTTGAAAATGGGCAGATTGACAAGGATAATGTGTTGCATACGCGACAAAAATGACGTCTCTAGAGGTTAGAAGTGATGACGTCACTAAAAAGGCCCACTTCTGCAGCAGACTTCTCAAGACGTTCAGCTTCGAGAAAAAACTAGCCTTGTTGTTGCTGTGGGGTAGCGGGATGCAGAGCGTGATCGGCTTGTGGAACTTGCGACGTCGCGGCTCGACCGTCACGATCGGCGACACCGCGACTCGGTTGCCGTGCAGTCGCGTCACCATCTCTTGGGGAACCGGCTGCGCTTGCACCGACACCTTGATCGTCTTGGTCAGGGAGCCGTCGGGGAAGATGGCCTGCACTCGTGGCACCACCGAGGAGATGATCACGCCGCCTTCAGGGCCGACACAGTGGACCTGGAACAGGCTTTGAAAATGGGAAAAGACGATTATCAAAAATTTTTTTCAGAAATCTTAGAAGTCTAGAACTCCAAATGAGGCCGAGGTCCTATGAGACCGAAAAACGATTACCTCTTGTCGGACCCTCGTCACGACGGCAAAGTACATGGGGAAATCGCTAGTCAATATCCTGGTAATCCTTGGCGTGTGCAGGTCGTCGAGTTGAGCAAGGTCTTCGGCGTCGAACGACTCGTTGAGAACCTGGAAAAAATTCAGCTTCTTAAGGAAGTAAGAGCGCTGAAAGAAAGCGATTTTTTCTCCTACTGTAACTGAAAATCTGCGATTTTGCGTCAGATTTACGGTGTTTGCACTGTCCGAACGAGTTCCTTCTTTTTTTCTTTCCACATCGTGCGTAGGATGGCTCAGAGCGTCGTGAATTTTAATATCAACAGCTTGCTTCAGTACTTCCTGATGCCTTGAAGCGCAAGTCGTTTCAGGTCGGTCGTGCCGAAAAACTAGTAATTCCACGCGGAACCATCGAGGCAATTTTTTTTCTCTAAATGGAAGATTCCAAACGCAGACAGTGCAAACACAGAAGACACGACGCAATATTGCGGAATTTCCTCTTACAGTACTCTAAAATCATCTTAAAAATACCTCCTGGACAGCGTCTTCGGTGGCCTCCAGCTGATGCTCCCGCCAGTGTTGACCATCATCAGATCGCAAAATGACGATTTCTCGTTCCCTATCCCTCAGCGAGGCGAAATGCGGGACTTCCAGGATGACCGGACCCAGGAATTTAGCGCCGGCCGGCGCCATCTCCAGAATCCGCGACGCCAACTCTTCGCCTTCACTCAGCGGTGGCGGGTGCGCCAGTTTGTCCTGGAAATCGGGGGAAAATAAAAAAGAAATTTTAAGAGGTGCAACCTTTCGCAGGTACCGACAGGTAACACGGATTGGTTGGCTGGCTTTTCGTGGCGGGACAATAATTCGGACGCCCGAATGACGGCAGCCACGCATGGCTCCACCTCTGGCGTCGACCAGGAACGAGATGAGGAAGCTAAAAAATAATCAATTAATTAATTTTCGGAGTAAACATAATTTTCCCTTCCCAAAAGTCAATCGATTCGAGTTGAAATCATGAAAAAGATTGAAAAAAAGCTCCAAAAATTTTTTTTTCCTCAAACTTTATTTTACTCTAATTTTGTCCGTAGAGCACAAGTCTAGGTAGAAATTCAAAACTTGATTTTTTGCAAGTTTTATCCGTGGAGCATACATGCCTTTTTTTCGTCTTTTTTTCATTTCAACACGAATCCATCGAAATTTTCACAACACGAAAACTGAAAAGAAAAAACCACCATTTTTACGATATATATTTTTTTTTTGAACTTAAAAGGTGCTTTGAAGAAAAATATTTGATTCATGAAGAAAATCGTGAAAAAAATATGAAAAATGAAGGAAACGTGCAAAACTCCATGCAATGTGAACGTTACTGTGCAGCTTGAATCTTGAATTTTCCTTATAACTTTTAGGAAACTGTTGAAAAAGGTCTAAAATCCGAAAAATTGCTCGAAAATCGCTTCTTCCAGACCAAATTTCGTTTCTAATGGTCAAAGTCGGACTTCGACAATCGAAAAAGTCGGGAAAAATCGAAATTCATATCAAAAATCAACAGTTTTCAAACATGTTCATGCAATTTTATTCACTAATTGATGGTTTCAAAAATTGCCGAAATTTTAGAAAACCCCTTTTTTCTTTTCCAGCTAAAAATTCGCAAAATAATCATTTTCTGTTTTGGTCAAAGTTCGAAAATCGAAAAAACGCGAAAAAAATTCAAAATTCATTTGTTGAATTTGACATTTTCAATCCGTTTTCATGCACGTGTAGGTCGAAAATTCAACTTATTCAGAATCTCTGTCCAGGGATTTTCTATCCATTTTCATGCAACTTTAGGCAAAGTCAAAGAAAAACCAACCCGCTCATGTTAGTACTAGGAAATATGGTAGATCAATAAAACAGCAGTACGAAAGTGGGAGAAGAAAAAACCCAAAGTTCTCATTTATTTGAGGTTCGTATCAGGGCACATTTCGTAGAGGTGACGAATATTCGCCTTCAGGCAATGGCGAATCGGGGGATTTGTTTACAATACATACTGGAACGAGGCCAAAATGTTGGCATTCGGCCCTTTTTATTTATAAAACGGCACACGCAACACACACATATTGTTGGCTTGTGTGGCTTATAAACTGCGAGGGCATCGGAAATTCCCCGAGAAATTCAATACCTATATGAGACGGCCTTTAAATGGACGTCTTCCCTTACAGAAGCTTCAGGTTTTCTCTACTTTTCTTGATAGATTTTTCCTTGAGATGAACCCATTTATTGGACTATTTACGGCGTAAAAAGGGGTTCTACTAACTTTTTTCCAAGTCGAAAGAAGCCAGAACTCTTTGGCCTATTCCTATAGATCATCTCTTCTAAACCAATTTTTTGAACTTTTCCAGACTAAAAAATCATAGTCCATTCACCGCTAGCTTAAGGAAAAACGATTCAGAGATGTCTGAACCTCTTATTTTCGCATGCTATTTCTCGTCGAGACCATATTCTCTCAAGCCAGCGGTGATTGAACTATGGTAAAAATTTTTCAAATTTTCAAATTTTTTCTTTTTGATTCGCCTTGTTTCCATCAAATATTGCCTAAACTAACAAAAACATTTTTTTAAAACCGTTCTAAAACATTTTTTAACTTAAATGACCCCTCAAACTTGGCTAAATCTCTAAATACCTTATTTTGCAGTGCGCAGAACAAAACCCAAGATTTTTCCCAGAAAAATATCGATTTTCTATCCCGAAACTCTTCCAATTTCCCAACATGCAGTGTGGGGAGTGCACTGAAAATTCCAGCCAGAAAAAAATCAACTTTTTAAAAAAAAAAGTTTTTTCTGGCCAATTGGGTAAAATTCAACAAAAACATGCAGGGGAACCGAACTCAAAAAAAGGTACAACATCAAAAAACCAAATAATACACGAGGGAAAAAAATCAAATTAATTGATTCGAACTTACGTTTTGTGTTGAAGTTTACTGCAAATCGGTAAAATTTGGTTATTTTTTTCACTTCAACTTTTCGGTTTTTTTAAAATAACATGCTTTTTTTAATTTTGAGAGGTTTCGTTAGTGTCATGACTCATGCATTTCTTGTGATTTTCTTAAGGTTTATAATGAATAAAGCTTTGAGAAAAATGGAAAAAAATCACTCAGTAGGCGAAAAAAATTCGAAATTTCTAAAATTTTTGAATTTCCATCTTTTTTTGATTAATTGATTGAATCAGGTTAAAAAAAGTTCAAAAATCAAAATTACTCAGGAAAAAAAAGCGTTAGGAACTTGAATCATCAATTTTTAAGGAACCTGAACCGATTTTTCAATTTTTACCGTTTTTTTGACTAAAAAAATTAAGTTCAAACTCTAAAAAAAGTCCTGTTATACTAGATTATATCTATCAAATCAACTGAAAATGAAAAAAATCCTTTACTGAACCCAAAATTAACCTAAAAATCATTGTGAAACTAAAACTATGTCCATAAAATGAACTGAAAGCCCGAAACTATAAATAAATAAGTTGAAAAAAATCATTGCTGAACCTAAAAATTAACCTAAAAAGCTTCAATAAACTTAAGAGATGTTGATATTATTTTTTTATAACTGAAGAAACTGAATACCTCGGCTGGGTGACATGGTTTCCGATGGGAACGTTGTCCTGATGGTAGGAATTGTCCAGCATCGTGTTCTCCAGTGTTGCCCTCGCGTTCACCGGATGCGCCTGGAAAAATAAAAAAACATTTTTCAGTGAGTTTCTTTTTATCTTTAGATGAATCATCGGTTCTTCTGACAAACTTTTTACACTTTTTTTACATTTAAAAAAAGGGGGGCCTATTTTTAGAATCACTACAAAAACTTCCACATAGAAGCTCGTACTTTTAAATTTCCACAAAAAAATTCTGAAAACTCCTCAATTTTCCATGTTTCAACTGAAACGGAAAAAAATTTCAAAAATTACTTTTCTTGGAAAAATAATCATTGTAGAAAAAAAGCGTATTATATAGAAAAAAATTTCCAATCGATTTTTCAAAACTAAATGAAATCGATTTTTTTGTAACCGAATTCCTGAATTTTCTACCCTTTCCTAGCCTTCAAAAACACCGATTTTGAGCAATATTGAAATAATATTTTTCATCTAACAAGTCACAAAAAAATATTACAACTTATTTTGTAGAAAAAATCGATTTTTTTTCCTAAGAAGGAAGAAATTCTGGATTTTCTGCCTTTTTACTTGAATTTGAACCATTTTTTTTCTGTTCATATTCAATCTTTCCGTCTTTTACTAGCCTTAAATTTTAGACTTGGGGGCAATTTTCAAGTACCTTTCACCTCATATTTTCGTCAAAAAAGTTAGATTCGAATAAAAAATTTTCAAAATACAACTTTCATCGAAAAAAGCCAAAAAATCCAAATATCAGTGAAAGCCAAAAGAAAAAAAAGGGCGAAAAGTGAAGAATTCGCAATAATTGCTTCATCATTCGCCCATCCTTCGATCGGAGAGATTGGCGGCGTCAAAATGATGAATCGAGGCGGATATTGGGGGGAAAAGTGCGGGGGAGAAGCGGGCGGCCGCCCTGGGCGACTTTTGCAACAAGAAAACTGTGCCGCCGACGTTTCTCGTCAAATTTTTGGCTTTCCGACGAAAACGAAACTTATATATAGCTTAATCGGTGTTTATTTTTAAACTTCTTTTTTATACTTCTTGGGGAAAGAAACTTCAGATCATTTCAAAAGAGCCTTTCAAGCTTCTGATGTGTTTTAAGAGAAAAATTGGAGCTCAAAAAATCAAAAAAAAAATCCTAAAAATATTTTTCCATTTTCTCAACCTGAAAAATCTCCAAATCAAGCTTCCTTTTAAGTCTATTTTTTTCAGAAACCCTTCAAAATCCTTTTTTTTCTGACTTCTGGTGATTCTTTACTGCTTTCTATCCCCTATATCAAGTTAAATTTGAACCCTTTTTTTTTTCAAAAATTGCACTGTGAATAAAAATTTCAGCATACAAAGAGCCACTAATCATGAGAAATCTCTAGACTCCCCAATTTCTCCCAGCTAAACGATTTACCTGTGCCTTTCGAACGAGTTCCTCAATGTTGTCCGTCGCGTCATGGCCTTGTCCAACTTTTGTCGTCGAGATGCGGCTTGGAGCCCCTTCCAATTCTGCGCTTCTCGACAGCAACTGCAAAAAATCGTGTTATTCTAGGAAAAAAAAAGGCAAAAAGTCGCTCGAAACCATCCAAAAAACGAGCAGAAGAGCACTTTTTTCAAATCTAAACTACATATCGTTATGAATTTAACAAAATCTCTTAAAAACGTGCCAAAACTTGACAAAAACCAATCAAAAATCGGATAAAAATAGAACTTTTTTTCAAATCTGAACTAAAAAAATCATTATAAAATCCACAAAGTTTTTTTCAAAAAACCTGTTGAAAAAAAGCCGCTAAAAAAACCACTAGAATTTCCTAAAAAAATAAAACTCTAGATCTCTGCAGAGCTTAACAAAAACCACTCAAAAAAATCGAGTAAAAATAGAAAATTTGCAAATCTAAACTATAAATCATTACAAAATCATTAGAATCTTCCAAAAACGTGTTGAAAAAAAGCCGCTAAAAATCACTCAAAAACTCTTACAATTGAAAAAAAAAAAGCTACATATCCTCACAAAATCAACAAAATCTTTCAAAAATGCGTTGAAAACTTCGCTCAAAACCTATTCAATAATCGTAAAAATAAAACTTTTCCAATGAAAAACCATAGCAACAAACTTTTTCACCTGCTGGAAAAAAAGGTATTTTTTCAAACTGGAAAAAGTGTACTAGAACTATAAGGGGAAAAGAACGATTATTGGGGCGGGCCGACCTAGATGCCGTAATAAGATAATTTATGAATAGGCGCCCCAAACGGACAACACACAAAAAGACGCATAAATTTTGTCATGGACTTCACGAACTTCGTAGTTATATAGTCATTTTTGCAGTTTATTCTAAAAAAATTCGTTCAAATACTAATATCTTTGAGCTGAGCTATGCGCCTTTAAATGAAAGTTTTCAAAAATCAATTTTCTGCGGATCTTTTGAACCACTCGTTTTCTAAACCATCAATCAAGTCATGGAATTCGCGAGCTGCGTTGTTCTATACCTATTCTTGCAGTTCATCCGAGTGAACATTTCGTTTTAAATTATTACCTTTGAGCTGCGCTATGCGCCTTTAAAGTTCACATTCCAAAATGTTTTCAACCGCTTTAGAAAAAATAACCAAGTCATGTGAATCACTAACTTTGTAGTTTTATACTCGCCCTTGTAGTTTATTAGGATTCGTTCCGAAACTAATATTTTCAAGCTCCTCTATGCGCCTTTAAATAAACATTTTTTTGAAAAATCTATTTTTTTGTGGATCATTTGAACTATTCGCAAGTAATCAAAGTCAAAAAAACGAATGAGTTTTTAAACTTTTTTTCCTAAAAAAATTTTTTTAGAAATTTCTGTTTTGAAAATAACATTTTTTTAAGCTCCACCTGCGCCTTTAAATAGAAATTTCAAAAAAAAAATCCTTCTAAACTTATAGCTTCTATAAGCTCTAACTTGAAAAAAAAATCACAAATTTCAAAATTTTCTTTCTCGTGATTTACAATGCGCCTTTAAAAAAATGCATTTAGAAAGTCAAGCCACGCCCTGTGCCTTTAAACTATTCTACTAGGTCTATACTCTACTTTCTAGTCCATCGAATCCAACGGAAACAAATTCAATTAATAACTACCATCTGCGTCTTATCCCTACAAAGAGCAGTCTTTCAAAGATGAAAAAGGGGGTGTAGAATGCTACATTTCAACGAGAAGACACACTGGGAGGCAACTCGGCAAAGCCAACGGGATGGCAAAAAATTTAATAGTGGAAAGGGATGTGTCACCTGCTCGCCAGTGTGGATCATGTGGACACCCGTCGAGTCCGCCAACGCTTGCGTCAAGTTGTCCGAGAAGTCCTGCAGATACTACATTTTCAGTTCACTGTTCTTCAACTTTTTTTTTTGAAGTTTGACCTTACTTTTATACAGTTTTCCAGCACTGTGACATCAAATAATCAAGCGTTCTTGAAGAAAAAATTCGCCAGTGTTCGTTAGAGGAAAGTTACAAGGTTTTTCTTTCTTGCAAGGTCTGGAGGATTTTAAAACCCCTTTAGTGGTTACTATCTTTATTGACAGTTTAAAACTAGGGTCTAACCCCTAAAGTGAGCACTACTTTTTAACTTACTCTAGCGTGTTCAACAGCCACTTCTAGAGGCTTTTCAGGCCTTTAATGACTATTTCTAGGTTCTAAAAGCATCGGTCTAACCCCTAAAATGACCACTACTCCTGCTCGTACCTTGGGTTGTTCCACAGCAGAACCTGATAGTTTTTTCAAGCTTTTAGAAACTTCCATCAAACCCCTAAAAGGATCACTATTCCAGCTGTCACCTCGGCGTGTTCAGCAGCAACTTCTAGAGGTTTTTCAGGCCTACAATTGTTATATCTAGGAGCTAAAAGCCCTATTCTAACCCCTACAAGGACCCCTATTCTAAACCTGTTCTGCAGAAAACTCTGGAGGCCTTTTTGAGCCTTCCGTAGTTAATTATAACTTTTTGAAGCTTACATCAAACCCCTAAAAGGACCCCCCTCCCTTTTCTTACCTTGGCGTGCTCAAGAGCCGACACTATAAGCTTTTTCAGGCCTTTCAAAGCATTTCTGGACGTTAGAACCTTCAGTCTAACCCCTAAAATGACCACTACTTCACCCCTTACCAAAGTCTGTTCAACAGCAAAATCTAGAAGCTCTTCCAGTCTCACTGGCTAGTTCTAACTACTTGAAGCTTCCTGGTCTCACCTTGGCGTGTTCAGCGGCAGCCTCGTGCTCGGCGGCCTGTCCCTCGTCCTCGCTCTCCGAGAACATGGTCTCGTTCATCGCCTCGGGGTTCTGGGGCTTGTAGCGTTCATCGGCGACGGTGGTCGTCTCCGTGATGACCGTCGTCTCAGTTACCGTCCGCAGAGTCTCGACGACCGACACATAGCCGAGCCGTTGGGCGATCGCCAACGGCGTTTGTCCGTTCTGCAAACACGTCATATTTTCCATGACTTCGATGGGGGGTCAATATAGCTTAAGGAATCGAGCAATAGACTCAAAAATCGGGGAGCAAACTATAAATATTATTTTTTTAAATCTTAAGGGAGGAAATATTTGTGAAAAATTTTGATAGTAAAAGGTGTACACCAGTCAAATTTTTAAAATGATGAGGCAAAAAAACTTGGGATCTTGAAAGCTACGAGAGCAGCAGTGTTTTGAAGAGACGCCAAAGAAACAGAGTATCTTTGATTCTCTGGCGTCTCTTCAGGTCACTGCTATCTCTCACTTGATGATGAAAACTCCTAATTGAAAAAAAGAGAAAAAAGAACCTTAATTATTTAAAAATGAATACTGACGCTAAAATCTAAATTTTGTGACCCGACCTCAAATTTTCAACTTTGAAAAAATTCTCACATTTCGAAAAAAAAAATTCACTATGTCAAGTGCTCACTAGAGGGCATTTATCGCCTTTATAGGGTACTAAACTTTTAAATATCAAAAAAGAGCAAAAAAGAACCCAGACGACTTAAAAATGGATATTGACGCCAAAAATCTAAATTTTGTGGTCCGAACCTCAAATTTTCTATTTCGAAAAAAGTCTTCGGAATCTGATAAAACCCAAAGTTTACTTTCTCAAGGGATCACTAGAGGGAACTCATTGCTTTTAACAAATCCGGAGCTCTAAAATCTCAAAGAAGAGCAAAAAAAAGCTCCAAAAGGCTGGGAAAACGCGAAGAATCATCTCAAATTCTTGAAATTCGAGTCGCCAAGATCATAATAAAGCGCCGAAGACAATGTTCATCTCTATTCAAAAACGACGAACAAAGCGAGTGCCGAAAATCTTTGGGGACTCTTTTTTTTGCTGCCTTCAAAACGTCGATAAATTTGAGTTCGGAGGAGCCCACAAGGCCGCACTTCAAAAGCTAGTCCATTACTTTTCTTTCGCCTTCAACTCGTTTACAAAGCGAAAAAAAAGAGAGAAGGCGGGTGATTCTTCTTCGTCTTCCTTTCTTCGGGAAAAGCTTCAGATTAGGGAGCCAAAAATGAACTTTTGAGCGGAAAGATCACATTTTAGTCTTTTTTGGAGCACGAAAACTTTATGAGCTAGAAAAATTTGGGGGAACTCGTTTCTTTGAGTAAATTGCTTATAAACTGTCTCAGTCTCCAGAAAATCAATGCTTTTTTTTCTTTATCTCAAACAAGACTCCAAATGACGCTTTGATGCCGAAAAAAGGCCTGCTCATTGGGCGAGGAACTTGTTAAAAATAAGCATAAAAGTTATCCTATGAAAAGACTCCAAGCTTTTTTTGCTTTATAACATTTTTCATATCTATAAACTTGATTTTTCTCTTTCTTTTTCTCGAACAAGGCTCCAAATGACGCCATGAACGCCAAGGTGCTCGCAAAAGATAAGCATAAAAACTCCAAGCTAATTATTTCCTCAAACTACAAAAAAACCCTTTTTCTCAAACGAGACTCCAAATGACTCCCCCAAAACTCACAGCGGTCTGCTCATTAGGCGAAGCTCCATTCTCCAACAGATACCGGACGCAGTTGTTGTGTCCCTGTTGGGCGGCTTGATGAAGCGGTGTGTACGAGGCGCGGGTCTTCTCGCCGACGTCGGCGCCATGTTCGACCAGGAACTTGACCATGTTGAGCTGGCCAAAGTGGCAGGCGACGTGGAGCGGGGTGTAGCCGGCGTTCGTCTTGCTGTTGATCTCCGAGCCGTGGTCGTAGAGGATCTGAGCGACGGGGACTCGGTCCTCCTGGGCGCAGAGATGCATGGCGGTCAGGCCGTTGTTCGCCTTGGCCGCCACGTCGGACCCGTTCTCGATCAGCAGGCCCGAGATCTCGCGGTGGCCTTCTTGGGCCGCCAGGTGTAGAGGGGTGAAGCCGGCTCGGGACTTTGCGTTGGGATCCGCCTGAAATCAAAGAAATCACTAGAAGATAGCCTAATAATTCGAAAAATACTTGTAAAGAAGCTGAGTTTGATCATCTCCCTAATAGATAAGGTGAGTCTAGAAAAATTCATTCTCAACTATTTTTTTAATAGATTTTAGTTTTAATTTCTAATTGAAACTAGTTTCTCAAATTTTTTAAAACTACAACCTTCCAAATCCGAAAAAGCAGCCCAATTATCTAAAAAAGGCGTCAAAGGTTTTTCTCGATGGAGCGAACTTTGAAGGTTGGCGGACTTTTTGAAAGAAATCTTGAAGAGCAAGAGATCAGATGAAGCGGTCAGAAAGTTTCTTTATCTCTGGCGTCTCTTCCGGATCCTGCTTTTTTCTTTCTGATGTCTAGAGCATGCGGAAAGTCTTCCTTTCAATTTTAGAAAAGCTTGGAAGAGTCATTTTTCAATAGCAGAAACCGAAAATGAATAGATTTTGCTTGGAATTTAGGTTTAATTTTGCTGAAATTCCCTTACATGGAACTGTAGCAGTGTCGATGCAATGTCCATCTGATTTTTCTTGGCGGCGATGTGCAGAGGAGTGTAGCCATTCTTCGCAGCGGCCTTTGCCGAAGCGTGGTTGTCCAAGAGAAGAATTGCAACCTGAAAGTGTCGTGTAAGTTCTTCAATTCGTGCTTCTTTCTTTTCCCTATCTTGTAAATCTTGAATTGTTTTTTTCCTGACTCTGGCTACGAACTGATTCTCAAAAGTGACTTCTTCACAGTCTGTTCAAGAAATATTCAATATCCAAGAGTAGCCTGATTTTCAGATGAAGGAACTTATTTGAGGAAACTCTAGTGGTCACTTAAAAGGTTCCTCGAGAAGTTCTCGGAGAGGAAGCTTAAGTGGCCACTATAGCATTGTTCATTGGCCTAGTAGCCCCAATCAGACTTCTAAAGAGGTCACTGACCTTAAGCCACTTAAGTGGCCACTATAACGTCAAAACCCTAAAGGGCCCACTATCCCAGTAAGACTGTAAAAAGTATAATGATCTAATGATTTGGATCACCGACCCAGAACTCCACCCAAAACTCGCCTTGTCGTTGTTGTAGTGAGCAGCGACGTGGAGCGGCGTCACCTGATTCTTGCCCTCGATGTCGACGGGCGTGCCGCGCTCCAGAAGCAATTTGACGACCTCGACGTTGCCGTACTTGCTGGCCAAGTGCAGCGGCGTGAAGCCTTTCTTCGTGAGCATCTGCTTGTCGGCATTGTGGTCGAGCAGGATCGCTGCCACTTCTTCTTGTCCTTCCTGGAAATAAGAAGGTCCTCATTCTCATTCTCATACTAACTTCAAAACTCTAGGGATGTTTGAAATGAAGCATTTTTTTTCCCTAATTTTCTCTAGAATCTCTCCAAGCCTTTGTTGATCTCTCCCTCTACAGAATTTTGGGCAACCCTACCAAGTTTCCGCTCAAAATGAGACTGAATCAATGGAAATTCTTAAGAAACCACTAAATTTAAGTTTAGTCCTATCACTGGTTCAAGAAACCTTCTGCATCATTTTGGCCTAACCAATCTCATTTTCAAGATTCCCTAATCGATAATCACCTTGGCAGCAATGTGCAGAGGCGTGTACTGATCCCTCGTGGCGGCGTTGGCGTTGGCGCCAGCCTGGAGGAGCAGGACGACGATGTCCGTATTTCCAAGACGACTGGCGATGTGCAGCGGCGTCTGGAGCTCCCTGGCCTGGGCGTCGATCTTGGCTTGGTTGCGGATCAAGACGCGGACGACGTCGGTCTGGTTGGCACGGGCCGCCAGGTGGAGGGGAGTCTCGCCTCGGACCGTCGCTACGTCTGGATTGGCTCCCTGGAAGAAAAATAGTTTGTTCTTCGTGAAAGTCTGGGGGAAAGGCTACCTGCTGGAGAAGGTAAATAACAATGTTGATGGCGCCCATGAAGGAGGCGACGTGCAGAGGAGTCAGTCCAGATTCGGTGGTCGCTTCAATGGCAGCTCGGTACTTGAGCAGGAGCTCAACGACCTGAAAAATGGAGTTTTGAGTCTGGGACTTAGTTTTTCCAAAGAAGAAGCTCGCCAGGTTATCCTGCTTTCGGAGTTGAATAAAACCACCGAAATTAAGTTGAACATTCTGAGGCATTTAGATGTGCAGGTGGGCTTTCAAAAATTTCTAATTTTACTACATGAACCTGAAGCTCAGCAAAACAGCAGTTAAAGGATTAATTTTGCTAGATAAAGCCAAAAATCTGAAAGTTAAGGAATCTGCGCTCTATGGATAGAAGTGGTCAGGCTGAAGATTTTTTTTTTCTTTCAACCAAATAAAGCCTTGAAGCTGGGTCGTGGAAACTAAAAATAGGTACCTGATGGAAAAAGTACTTCTCTTAACTCTCATAACTTCTACCACCTATTTACTCAGGTAAAACCATCATTTCCATGGCCCCAAGACAAAAATGAGTCTACGCACCTTGATGCGGTTCTTCTTGCAGGCGATGTGCAGCGGGGTGAATCCGTTGAGAGCCCTGGCATTGGGGTCCGCATTCCTGTCGAGCAGAAGCTTGGCGACTCGGACGTGTCCGCAGTGGGCGGCGACGTGCAACGGCGTCAGGTAGTCGACGGTGACGTCATCGACAGGTGCTCGATGGTACAGAAGAGTTCTGGCGGCGTCGACGTGGTCGCCTTGGGCGGCCATGTGCAGGGGAGCCAGTCCGTTCTGAAAAATGTCAATCTTAGTGTCTTTTCAATTTTTCGTCAGTTTCTTTGCTCTGTTCTGGTTCAGATCTATTCATCAGACCCGAAAATCGGAAAAAGTTACCTTTTAAGTTCTTAAGATCTCAAGTTTCTCAAGTTTCTTGGACATAACTATACTTAAAAGAGCTCTTGAACTCAAAAATGACAATGAACTTATGCTAAGAGTGCTATGCCGCTCTGATTAATCCGAACAGTTCAATCACCTTGGTCTTGGCGGAGATCGGCGCGCCCTGGACGACGAGAAGATCGACGACTTGGTCGTGGCCGGACCTTGCCGCACAGTGCAACGGCGTCAGCAGATCTTTCGTCCTTGAGTCGATCACCGCGCCTTTTTTCAACAGCAAGTTCGCCATGTCGACACGGCCCCATTTCGTGGCGACGTGAAGCGGACTGAAAATGCCAAGAGTTCTTTTTTTTTGTTGATCATCTTACAACACGTTTACGGTTTAGTTTCTGATGAAATTTGACTTCAGTTCCTCCTGACACCAAAAAAAGTTTTCCTTCACACCTAAACTTCCATTCGAGAAGTCTAAAGTCACTGGTCCGCTGAAGCTTAAAACAAAAAATGACTGAAAAATCTTAGATTATGAGGGAAATTTAGAAAATTATGCCAATTTTTCATGCCCGCTTGGCATTGACGTCACAGAAATAGACCTATTCGATTTTTCCTTGAAATTTTTTTGAATTTATTCACAGCTTAAAAAAATCAAATTTATGGAAGTTGACGAATATGAAGACCTATTTTTTTGAAGATAAAAATCAAAAAAATCAGCATTTTTTTCAGAAGATTTCGTAGTTGCAGTTATTCTAATCTGTTCAGAAAACCTGTACTTTTTTTTAAACCGATTATTTATTTTTTCAAACTTTATTCCTCCTTTTCTCAGACCATCCTTGTGTAATACTACACTCAAACTTCCGTATTTTTCAGTTAATTTTCAATCTCTTTTATCCATTTTTTCAAAAGTCATTCAAAATCAAACTTTTATCGCCATTTTTCAAGCCTTCTTTCATCATACTACTCTTGAACTCCCCATTAGTTCCCATTCGATTCAAAACAATTTAAAATGCTCCGAAATCGCGTTTTCCCCAACGGCTCAACGGAAACACAACACCCGAACGTCGTCGAAAAGTTTAAAGAAATGCTATCCGATTGCTCTTTGGACGAGTGCGATACGAGGGGAAAGTGAGATTGGAAATGCATATAAATTTTCTTTCCCGCCGCAATTTCGTCTTTATCGCTGGGCTCAGTTGAGAAGGCAGCTGTTCTACCGCAAAGAGCGAGAAAAAATTGCTCCTTCATTCATTTTAAAAAGGTTTTTTTCTATTATATGACGGTTAAAATTATAGTTATACGCTTTTTTTATCAACTTTATTATTCCAAAAAGTCCGTTAAACGTTTTGAAAACGTTTAAAAATTAAAAAAATAAAGTACATTTTTTTGGTACTTTCCAAGCTTTCCTGACAGCTACTTTGAAAAAATTTCAAAAATTTTTTTCGAATTTTTTTAAAACCTAAAAAGCATCATCATTGGACTTCTCTCTCAATCGGAAAAAAATCTCTAAACTTCAAAAAAAGCTTCAAAGCAACTTTCATCATAATAAGTTCCCTAAAAATATCCTCAAAAAGTAAAAAAACTTTTTCTGTTTAATTTCATCCATTGAAAACCCCTTATAAGAACATCTAGACATTTCTCAGTACTCTATAAAATATAACAAACTGGAGAAGATCTTTTAGAACAGATAAAATGGATACTAATAAAATTACGGAGAAAGAACAGCTGCACCCTTTTTCCTAGAGCCCAAAAAAAAAACGTGAATGACCAAAATTTCTAACTGATTTTAATGGATTATGTGATTTTTGAGAAAAAAATGAAAAAAATTAGTTCAAAAGAATGGAAAAAAATCCATAAAACCTTGATAAAGATAGAAAGAGGAAGACACCTCATGATAGCGCGGTAAAAATTTGAATTTTGGCGGTAAAATCTAAGGTTTGACCTCCTGGGTCATATCAAATATATTTCTGGAAGTTTCGCATAGCCTTGTAGAGTCAGAACAATGGGAAGTTGGTCAAAACTTGAAATTTTTTAGAATTTAGGTTTCTAGAGTAGATTCCTACCAAAAATAGCAATTTTCAAGTTTTTTTTCATCCCCCTTGTCAATAAACCTTGCCCTTAAAGACCTTCTGTTCTTAGCTTTACCCAGGTCTACAAATTATGATCTACCTGATGTTGTGTCGGGCCTGGAAATTGACGTTGGCGCCGCGTTCCAGCAGAAGCGTCGCCACGTTTTCATGGCCGTAGTGGGCCGCGATGTGGAGCGGCGTGAACCCGGACTTGGATGTCACGTCGGGGTTGTGCTCGTTCTGAAAGTCAGCATCACGTAAAATAATCAGAAGGCAGAAAACGAAAAAACTGTGAAAATTCAGCCGAAGAAAGAACGAGCGTCAAAATTTTTGATTTTTGCGAGCGAAATATTTGCGATCTGTGATCATTTGAAAGTGCACAGCCCTAGAGTGGTCACTAGAAATGTTCAGAAACTTTCGTTGCGCGTCCTGTTTGGCCTAAGAATACTTTAAATGTCATTTCGAGAGTTGAAACAAAAGAACTTAAGAATGGTCTGCATGTTGTCCGTGGAGCAAACAAATAAATTTTGTCAGCTTCGGCAGGATCTCCGAAAATTAGAGAGCGTTCAAAAATGAGAGGTTAGGCTTTTTTTTTCTCTGAACGCCCTGCTTTCTAACTTTATCAATCTTCCACGAACCTGTAGAAGGAGGGTGGCGGCCTTGGTGTCGTCCTTCTTGGCGGCGATGTGCAGCGCCGGCAGCCTGACCTTGCCGCGCGTGTCGTTCTCCAACAACACGGCGACGACTCGGTCGTGTCCCTGCTGCAGAGCCACCGCCAGAGGGGTGAAACCGTCCTGAAAATGAGCTCTTCTATTGTATTTTGTAACTATTTCCGAGTTATTTCAGTGTAAAGCCCTCAGCTCGAGACTAGAAGTCCCCATAGCCCTAAAAAAAAATGGTTCCAGTTAATTTCATTTATCCTTTCTCCAAAGACGGGTGCAGATGTTCTTCCTTCTAATTCCATTAGTTTCCTATTCCTCGTGTTTTCTCATCCCTTTCTTGTTTTTTGGGCGTTCAGTAAAGTGTAGATGATCTTTCAGCGATGTCCGATAAGTGGAAGAAACCAAAAAAACGCACTCAAATTTCATAACTTTCTTGATATTGATTTCAACTTCCAGGTTCACAATGTCTTCTTCTGGAATTTTTAAACTCCAGTTCAAAAAAAAATTCCTTCTGAACCTTCTCCCAAACTCGACGCTTCGAAAAGGCCCCCTTGGCCAAATTCATTGCACATGTCGCAAGTTTCTCGCTTTTTTTTCTAGAGCTGCCGCCGCCGTCGAAATTGAATTCAACTTCTCGAGAACACACACGAGAAAGGCTGAAGATCCACGGAAAACAGAAGAGGAGGCAGAGGGCATCGATTGCCGAAGGCTCTTCCATCCATTCTTCCCATTCTTCCCTCTTTTTTTTTCATTTCCAAGCTTGGAGCCTCGGCAGCGCGCCAATCAACTTCAAACTTCAGAAAAAAGATTGGTGTGGTGTTTAAAGGAGCATTGGGCGTTTTCATAAGAGGTCTCAGGACGAAGAGTCTTTTTATAGGGAGTTATAATCTTTGTTATCTTTTTTGAACGAGTGTTTCAAGAGAAACTAATTCAAAGATGATTTGAAGAAGCATGACTGGAACTCATAAAGGTCTCAAGGTGAAGGTGGGTTCAAATATAAAGTCAGCTTATCGAATCTCCCGGAAAAACTTGATTTATAACCCATACCGTACTTTCTAAAGGAGCATACCCTAAATTCAACAGAAACCCAGAATCGAGAACCCTTCGGATTCGGGCCAGCCTCAGCCATTTTCAAAAAATTTTTTGGATAATCTGACTCAAAAAGTTTTCAAGGAGCATCGATCAAATAATTAAAAGGTTCCGAAGCTTTTTGACCAAAGCGCCTTAGACTCTTTCATTGAACTGCCCAAAAAGAATCTTTCCCGAGTATTTCTCCATGCAAATCTGTCATTCAGACTGGAGGAAATTCGATACGCAAGCTGGGCCTTTCCAGCGTAAACAATGTGGAAAACTTGGCTATTCCAGAAAAGATCTTTGAAAAAAAATCTGAACACTTCTGAGTAAAACCAGAGCTTAAACTTCCAATAAAAGCGAAAAAAATGTTTTTTTCAAACTGTTCAGTCTCGTAAAAAAAAAATACATTCTCCTTCCGAAACTCCCATCCGACCACAAAACAGCCTTCAAAAGGTTTTGTTTTGAAAAAAAAAATGGGATCCTCTTCATGAAGAATTTCTCCCAAGCCTTATCTGAATAAAACCAAAGCTCAATCTTCAAATAAACGCAGGAAAATTACCTTAAACCCTGTTTTCAAATGACCAAGGCTTATTTTTCCCTGAATTCCACAACTTCAACCCCAAAAAAGCCCATTTCCTTCCCAAAATTCTCGTCCGACAACAAATAATACCGCCCTGCCCCAGTCGAAACGTATCTATTCATTTTTTTTGTACATGATCTGCCAAAAAATCTCTTTTCAAAAAATAGGGCTTTTTCTATCAAGTTCTTCCTGAATAAACCAGAGCTTAATCTTCAAACAAACGCAGGAAAATTACCTTGAACCCTATTTTTGAGCTCATTTACCCTAAATTCAAACAGCTTCAACACTAAAAGAAAGCTCATTTCCCTTCCAAAATTCCCTTTCAACAACAAATAATACAGCCCTGCACTCGTCGGAACGTATATGGACTTCATTTTTTTGAAAATTATCCGTCTTGAACTTCAAATAAAATCAAAAAACTCCCTGACAACCTCTTTTTGAGGGACTAAGACTCAATTTTCTCAAATTTTCCAGCTTCAACCCCAAAAAAGCCCACTTCCCTTCCAAAATTCCCGACCAACAACAAATAATACCGCCTTGCCCTCGTCGAAACGTATCTATAAAATTGGCGTCGGCGAACGTTTTTGGAAATTGTTCGGCGTCGCGGTCGCGAGCCTAATGCGATTTGGCGTTTGAGAGCATTCTCATTGTTCGGCTGAGTCTCCCGCGACACGCGTAATCGCGCCTTTTTTGCGATTCGATAGCTTTCCTTTCGCTCTCTCACAGACTCACACTGGAACTGGTTCTGACAACTGCACTTTATAATTGGCTTTTTTTTCTGAACGGAGGTGTTCGTTTTTTTTTTTTAGAAGAGGACAAAATGAGAGAGAAATCTGTTCGGAATGTGATTTTCGATGGCTTGAAAATGAACCAAAGAAGCAAAAAAAAAGTCATTTTTAATTAAGAGAGTACACGTCTTAAAGAAACACCAGAGAAAGAGAGATCCTTTATTTCTCTGACGCCTCTCAGGAGACCATTATCTCTCGCTTCTAATATCTTAAAATTCTTCCTTAAGGTCAAAAATCTCCTGAAATTCTTCCCTAAGGTCACACATTTTTTAAAGTTTTCCTTAAGGTCACAAATCTCCTAAAACACTTTTTTAAAGTCTTTCATCTCCTTAAACTTCTCTCTAAGGTCCAAATCTCTTAAAAATCTTTCTTATGGTAAAAAAAAACCTCCTAAAATGCTTCCCTAAGGTCTCCAACCTCCTAAAACGCTTCACTAAGGTCTTCATGATCCTAAAAACTTTTTTTAACTCTATAAACTCCTAAAACTCCTCTCTGAAGTCCTCAACACTCTAAGTATCCTCTTTAAAGTCTTCCATGTCCAAAAAAACTCCTTTAAGGTCTTCAATCTCCTAGAACTCTCTTCCAAAGTCTTCCACCTCTCAAAAACCATCAAAATGCCCATACCTCAGTAGAAAGAGCCTGGTTGGCGCCGTGGCCGAGCAGGTACCGGACGACGTCTTCGTGGTTCTCCTGGGCGGCCATGTAGAGCGGCGTGAAGCCGTTGACCGACTGGACGTTGACGTTGGCGCCGTTCTCCACCAAAACCGTCACGATCAGAGTCCGTCCGGCCAGCGAGGCGATGTGCAACGCAGTATTGCCCTTCTGCAATCCAACCAAAATTGTTCTAATTATTCCATTTTTGGAAGTGGCAAGAATTTTGTCGGATATAGCCTACGTACCACGACTTGGAATTTCACCGAACGACATTCCGCTGTGCCGCTGCGCGCCTTTGCGAACCTTAGTCGCGCTTTTAATTTTTTCTTTTTCTTTCATTAAGGTACTCTACTTTCATGTGCTCCAACAGAAATAAAGATCAATTGAAAGCATGACCTCGAAAGACGCTTCGCGAACGCACGCAGCGGAACAGCGGAATATCGTTCGTTGAAATTTCAAGTCGTGGAACACAGACTACACTATGAAAATATACTGAACATTTGTTCTAAAAATTACTCAAAATAGCAAAATTTTGGTTGAAGTCTTGAAAAGCTTGGGTCAGCTCTTACTTTCTGTATCTAAAAAATGGTGAGAAAAACTACGATTTAGAAAAGTTACTCAATCAAATAACAGCTACAGAATGATGAAAAATACTCTTAGCTCACAAATTTGGAAAAAAAAATCGTTTAGCGGAAAAAATGATCATAAAAGATCAATATCTTTCCCACGATCGCAAAAACTAGAATAAAATGATACCAAAAAATCAAATTTCCAGGCAAAATATACGAATTTCTGTCTCAAATTGGATAGATTTTTTCTTCAGAACCACATAAATCAATTTTTTTTTCATTTGAGGTCCAAAAATGACTATAAAACTCCTTATTCGGCTAATCAAAATAAATCTATTTTTTGAAAACTCTCGTAAAAATCACTGAAAATCCACCTAGAAGATCGGAAAAATCAAAATTTAACTTTTTAGGATTCATATGAGTTTTTTCAAAAAGAAAAATTCTGAAAGTAAAAATTCGCCAAAAAATCATTTTAACCGCTCCTTCTCAAGTTACTGAAAATCAAGCTTAGAAAAATCTGAAAAATCAAAAAAACCCTAAAAAGTCCCTTCACAAAGACAGTTTCATTCAGAAAATCAAAAATCATTGATTAGAAGCAGAAGAAACTCACCCTGGTTGCAGCATCGACCTGAGCCTTTCGCTTCAGGAGCTCCCTGACGACGTCCAGATGGCCTTCCTTGGAGGCCAAGTGGAGGGCGTTCAGGCCGTTGGCGTTGCACGAGTTGATGTCCGTGCCAGACCGGAGCAGCTCCAGCACCCGGTCGAGGTCGCCGGCGCGAGCCGCTCGCAAGAAAGCTGCCCCGCTGTCTTGCTGCAAAGCATTGACGTTCAAAAGTGTTCATATTCCTCAAAAACATATGTAGCTTTTAAATTTTTTAAATTCAAAGCTGCTCACAAACATTCTACATTACCCATACAAATTCTTTCCAAACGAAGTTTCGAACAAGCTTATTTTCTATTTTGCAGTACAAAAAATAGTCCAAAAAAATGATCGAGAAGAGTCCTAAAAAAATCGACAAAAAAACCTTCATCAATCAGATTTTCCAAAAAAACATATAAATAAGTGATTCGGAAGGTTCAACTTTTAAAAAAACTAATGATCATATAAATCTAGTATCAGTGTCGAACACACCATTCACAATTAGATTGAGGCAAAAAAATGTAAAAAAGCCCCCCACGTCTAAATAATTATAATGAAGCCCTTGCTTTAAGATTCTAAAACCGTCCTTTTTGTTGGTAACGACGTTAAAAGCCTTGTCGACTTCATAAAACTTCTAATAAGACTTTAAAAAGCCAGAATTGCTAGTTAATAGTCCGAAATTCATCAATAACGCAAAATCAAGTCATTCATCTACGTCCCCTTTAACCTATGCTGAAAGTATTGAAACCAGTTATTTTTTTTTTTAATAAAATAGCGAATCTGAGCGGTTATTCCCTAAAAAATAAATGAAAATAATGATCACAATACTAACTTTTCCTAACAGTTTGAAAAAGGTCAAAATCGATGTTCATAAATCCAAAACAGTGACGTCATTTTTATACTGATGACGTCACCTCTGACCTATGACTTTTGACTGAAAAAATCCCTTCAAATTTTTTAAGGATCCCGAACAATGACGTCACTCTTCTACTACGTCATCTTTTGACAAAAAAAACTGTGAATAAAACAGCAAAGACGATAATATTCGAGCAACTGAGTAAAAATCGGATTCTCTGACCTTTGCCTGCTCGCTGCCGGTGCCGTTCTGGTGTGGCGGTTCGCCGCTCGTCGCTGGCGGATCTCCTTCATTCGCCATCTTTCCTTCGCGTTAATCGCTCGTCTTCTTTTCGCGAAAAGGATGAACTTCCGCGCGAAGCCGGGCAGGAGTGTGTCTTTCTTTCTTTCTGCGAATGCAGAGAGCCGCAGCTCCTACCAGGTGGGAATCGCCTGCAAAACGTTCGCATTTTCCAGACGTCCTTGGGAACGAGAAAAAAAAGGGTCGCGTAAATTGAAAGGGCGAAATCAAGGACGAACAAATTATTGCTCAACTGAGCACGAAAAACGGGAATTCATTGAGGTTTTGGGTTGAAAAACGGTCAAATTTTGAATTTTTTTCGATATTTCTTTCATATCAAACTCCTACTGTGTAAAAAAGCATTCAAAGACAAATTTTCGATCAAAAAAAAAAAGAGAAAAATTCGAAATAAAGGCAAAAAAAATCATAATTTTCAAGAGCTTCTGACTCAAAAAGAAGAAAGAAAAAAATAATTATAGGAAGCGATTGAGCCTCTAAATAGTCCAAAATAGCGGTACCCAAGCGGATTCTATCATAAATCATTGAAGTCAGCAATTTTCTGGGGCTTTTTTTTGGCTGGATAGTAGAAAGACATCACTCGAACTTCAAAAGATCGAGAAAAATCTCAAAAAATGCACTAGTCTATCATTTCATGTAGTATCAGTGCCAAAAAAAAAATACAGGCCTCGAAAAATGCTTCAAAAAAGCTCGCCATGAGTTCAAAAAAGAACAAAATCTTTGTTAAAAGCTCAAAAAGCTCGATTTAAGTCCAAAAAAGACATAATCAAACGTAAATCTTCAGCTATTGCAGGCCAAACGACTTCTGGAAGGGTCAGAATTTTCAAGAGGGTCATTTTAAGCTTCTGACCAATCTAGAATCAACGCAGATCTTTCTGGTCGCATTTGGAATGGCTCAGATCGACCGCTCTGGTAAAAGGCTTTCAAGAACCATTACCTCAAGCTGAATGTCTCAAAAAAATCCACATTAAACATCGAAAAATTCACAGAGTCAGTAATAAGTCCAGAAGAAGCTTCTGGAACTCCGAAAACTGCTCAAAAGGGCTAAAAAGCCCGCCGTGAGCCGAAAAAGGGCCATACTGCGACAAAAATGTCTAACGACCCAGTGGAAAGGCTGAAGCTTCTACCTCCAAAATTTATAGTGAAAATACCATAAAAAGTTGAAGAAACACCGGAGAAAACTCCAAGCCGCTACATGAATCGAAAGACGCTCAGGAGAAGCTCAAAAAGAGTCGCACCAGGTTCGAAAAACCTGCTGGAAGGTACATAAGAAAAGGACAGGAGAAGCTCAAAAGCTCGAGTCCAAACGTGAATGTGAGCCATTCCAGGGGACTAACGACCCAATCGGCTTCTGGAAAAGGCCGAACATTTTGGATGGCTCTAGGGGTCGGCGGCGGCGGCTGAGAATGCGAAAGAGATGGCGGCGGCGGCTGGCAGAGGAGAAGCTGTTGCCTCCTCCGCCGCCTCTCTCTCTTTGATGGCTCCAACTCTCGCGGGCGCTGGTCCAGCTCTCGCCGGAGTGAGAGAGAGAGACTAACTCTTTGCCAAACACTACATACACCCGAGCGGTTGTATGTGTGGGGTGTGCCAGTCGGAAGAGAGAGACAGGAAGAGAAAGGCCCCGCGTTCGCTCAGCAGTCGCCGACGCGATCGATGGCGACGCCGATGTCGCGCTGCTGGTCACAATATTTGCGAACAGTTGTCGCGCTTGTCATCGCACTGTACCTACTTTCATGTACTCTCACGAAGGCACAAAATGACGTCATTCGTAGATTTGGGACGTCATTTAAAAAAAAATTAATTTATCAGAATCGCAGTCAAGATATTGTTATATATGTATATATTGTCCTCAGTGGGTGGCGGCTTATGACGTCATTTCCAGAGTAAATAATAAATAGTGACGTCATCAGTAGCCTTTTGACGTCATTCATATTATTCTTTGCAATTTTTTCGAAAGAAACGCAGAAAAAGTATCTTAAGTGGTTTTAGGGCATATTAAATCATTTCCAGAATAAATAATCATTAGTGACGTCATCAATCCCTTTATGACGTCATTCATATAATTAAAAGCAAATTTTCCGAAAAAAGAACGCCTCTCAAGCGATTTCAAGACTTATGACGTCATTTTCGAAGTAAATTAGCGTTAATGACGTCATCAAGCGCCTTATGACGTCATTCAAATGAATACTTGTTCTGATTTTGAAAAGAAAAGCGGAAAAAACGTTCTCAAGCGGGTGCAGGACTTGTGACGTCATGACTAGGATGTATCAACAAAAATTAGATATTATGACGTCATCTTATTATATTCGTGACGTCATTATAACCCTACAGTTAATAAGAAGTCAGGGCTACCTTTGAATCCAAAAAAAAAAACCACTCATGTAAATTCGCGGAAGAAAGTAATTATTACAGTATTTCTATCGAAATTCGCGCCATTTTCAAGATATAGAAAAAGCCTGGAAAGAGCTCAAAGATTCCGAAAAAAAGGGATAAGAAAACCGAACAATCGGGTAAAAAGGCATGGCCGCCGTTCTTCACGCTTCAACGGTTCCTTGGCTTCTCGGCTCCACTTTCGATGGATTTGATTTTTTTCGGAAAGAGAAAGTCTCCAGAATCATTTTGAGCATTCTAGTTCAAAAATGGGGTGGCGTGTTCCTTTTTAATGAGGTTCGCACCGATTTTTCGACTTGGAATTCAATTTTGGACAAAGAACTTTGTTCAGTTTTCTCGAAATTGAATCTTTTTCTAGTTTCAGCGGATATGTACTTACAAGAGGGTGAGGTTCTTTGAAAAATAGCCCAAAATCTTGAAATTTCTAGGGTAAAAAGCTCAATTTCCTTCCTTGTTGATGTCATTATTCCGTATATCCTACAAGATAGGTCCAAAAAACCGGAAAAAAAAGCTCAAAAAAGGCAGTCACAATAAGAGAAAAAACGGGGAAATGTGAGAAAGCCGAGGCCAAAACAACTCGCAGGGGGGCTGCAATAAATCAGCAGTTGGTCCTTCGGGTCATGGAAACGCCTAGGCCACAAGCTTCTTGGTGGGAAAACTCTAACCACAACTTTTCGAGTTCGAAATCGTGGATTTTTAAGTAATTATTCGAAGTTGTCATGATTTTTGCTGAAATACTCTTTTTTCGAAATTTTTTCCTAACATAGTCTACTTTAAAATTACTTTTTGAGGCTTTAAAATCCATTTTAAAAAAACCTTAAACTTGTTATTCTGAAGCCAGCACATTTCAAAATTTTTCATAGCCTAGTTGAGAAAAATTCAAGTCCATTCTAGGTACTTTGAAAGCACAAAAAAATCGAATCAAAATGATTTTAAACAAATTTCAAACTTAAAAAAACGATTTTTTTCACAGTCCCTACATGAACAAAAAAATTAGATTAAAACCTCCAAATTTTTCAAAAAAACGACTAAAAAAACTTCGTCAAAAAAATTTTTTTTTCTAGAAAAAAATATCCAAAAAAAGTCATCCAAAATAGTGAAATGAATACAAAATTAACAATTTTTCAGAGTCCAAAAAAATGAAAAAAATTCTCCAAAAAAAGGCTTTGATTTTTTTCTAAATATTCCAAAGAACGTATATCTCCTCAAATTCTCAATATAAAACCTAAATGACCATATCAAAAATAATCGACACCTTCAAACCCACTAATTAACGTGTGCGGTTGCCAAGGAGCCGCGAAAAAAAAAACTCTCAAAAATATATTCAATATTTTCCTATAACTTCAAGCTTTCCTAAATCCTCCTTAATCGCGTAAAATCACAGATTAAGCCGGGAAAAACCGAAGAAAAGAGTAAAATTGAAGAGAGAGAGAAAGGTCGCGTCTATGGAGGGGGGTAGAGGGTTCACGATGCCATCTGGCGTGAGGCCAAGATTATTCAGCTGGAACACCCAATGTTAGACGGGGAGAGAGTGTGGCAACCTAGAAGGGGGCCAGTCGATGAGACGAAAAGGCTACCCATGTTTGGTTGTGTGTTGGTCCGATATTGAGACAATGGCAAGAGGCTTCCATTCTACGAGGGGCTTGATCAATAAAATTGGCCATTTCAGTCCGAATTTTTGTGCTTTTTTGCATCATTAAAATTTTTTTGAAACGTTGAGACTTGAATTTATGATTTTGAGAAAATGGGTTTATAAATGTATTTTTTTTAATTTTTCAATTATATTTTGAGCTTATTGAAACCATGAGGAAATTTCAGGAAAATTTTGTAGTTTTTGTCATATTTTTTTTCACTTTCAAGGTATCCCTTAGAGCCCTTCAGATCTAGATTTTCGGTCAAAATTTTCAAAATCGAAATTGGGGCTTCGATCAATAAAAAAATATTCTTTTTTTGTCTAATTTTTGTACTTCTTGTTAATTTTTGAGTTTTGTTCGATATAGGTGGAGAGAAACTTTGGATTTCTGATAATTGCCCTAACTTTCATTATTCGACCTTTTTAGAGCAATTTTCTATCCGAAGTTAGCTGCCAAGTTATATAAGGTATTTAAAGGAGCATAGGCGAGATCCAAAAAAGGTCCCGAGACGAAAAGCTATTTCTCAGTGTTAGCTTAAGCTGTTCTGTACTGACTATACTCGCTTTTTCATCGAGTAGTAGCAAAAAATCGACAAGTCAGCCTATAGACTATAGATTTTTTGAAGGAGCATGGCTTAGATCCAAAAAAGGTCTTGGGACGAAACCTCGTTTCAGTGTGACCTTTAGCCCTTTCGAAAAAACTTTGTTCGCATTTTTTCAAGAAAAAAACGTGTGAATTTGATTATTCCGAAGTCCAAAGCCTCAAGAAATTAGATGTTTGGTGTTTAAAGGAGCGTAGGCTAGATCCAAAAAGGTCCTGAGACGAAGAGTCTTTTTTTATTGTATTCTTTAGGTCTCTTGAATGAACTTCAATCTTTTTCTTCAAAGAAAAATTGAAAACTTAGTGATTCCAACTTCAAATCTTCAAGGAATTTGCTGAATGGACTATATAGGTGCAATTGTTCAACGACGTAAGGCTTACAGATTGGAGTGGCTCTCTCAATCTGCTCAAGAGCCACACGCAATTTCCAAGCGTCTTGAAAAGGACGGCGCCGACGGAAACAAATTGGGAGGGGGGAGAAGAAATAAGAAAAGAAGACAAAAGGCGAAGAGGCGGATTTGACAGCTGCGGCCGTCGTCGGGGCCCCCGTTAAGGAAACTAAACGCGGTCTCGAGAGCTCCCAAAAATGAGGAGGCCCGAATTGATGAGCTGCCAGGGACTTTCTCGTTCAGTTAGCCGTGGAGCTAATAAGTTTTGGACTTTGAGCCGCGTGGCCTTTTTCTATAATCTTCTACTGTACTGAAATTCAAACTAGATTGATTTTTAGTGTAAAAATCAAAAATTGAAGAGAAGCTTATCATGAGCCTTCTAAAATAGCTTGAGCAATCAAATTCGTTAAATTGTCTAGCCGTGGAGTAAAATTAGTCTTGAACTTTAGTCCATAAAGCGTAAAAAAAAAACTCAGAACTCCGTTACAAAACCTACAGAGCCCAAAATGATGCCGAAATTATGATCCTTTCTTGTTCCGTGAAGCAAATTGGTCGTGAAAATTAAGCCTCGGACCTTTTTTAAATCCGGAAATGTGTTCAAAAATCTTCAAAAATGAAGCTGGATTGATGAACCTTGAGGGAAATGCTTATTTAGTTAGCCGTGGAGCAAACTAGGGTTGTAATTTTAGCCACAAGGCTTTTTAAATCCAAACTGGATTACTTTCAAAGAACTCAATCAGAAAATTATGGATAGAAGATCATAATAGGTTCTTAAAAAAATAATTTTTTAAAAAGGATGTTCCGTTCAACCTATTAAAAGAGCCAAGATCTCAAAAATCGGTAAGCTGTAAAAAATTATCTTATTTTAATTAACCGTGTAGCAAATTAGTCTTGCAATAAAGGCTTCAAAGCTTTTCAAAAATCTTCAAAAAATCTCCCAAAATGGGGTCGAATTGATGAGCTGTGAAGGGATTAATCCTTTAATTATCCGTGGACCAAATTAGTGTTGGAACTCAGGCCCTAGAGCGTTTGAAAAATCCAAAAATTCCGTTCAAAAAAATCTTCAAAAAAATTAGGGATTTTAAAATAGATGAATTATTTCTACGTTTGAAAAATTTAGTCGTCCAAGATCTTATATGGCTATTTTTTTAATATACTGGATTTCAACAGAATAACGTAGAAAAATCTAAAAAAACGATCTTCCTAAGAAAAAAATCTCTAAAAAATGCAAATTTGTGATTCTTAGGGCCCTCATAACCAAATAAAACGCACTTGGAAAAAAGTTTAGATGCCTAAATTATCGAAACGAAGTTCAAATTTGAACAAGAAAAACTCGAAAACCTAATTCAAGAGTTCAAAAAAAAGGAACACTCAAAAATTTAAAAAAAAAAAACGGCTTTTTTAACAATTGAAAGCTTGAAAAACAATCAAAACTTCAAGTCTCTGATAATTTCTTTCAAATATGAGAAACCGCTTCGAAAACTCGAAAAAAGCCTCTTAAAAAGGTCGAAAAAATCTGATATCACTACCGCAAACTTTGCAACCAATTTCCTTCCCAAAAAACAGGTTTCAAGAAACGCAACGCTCAGTATTGTGTTGGGAACTTTTCAAACTAGGGCAAGACAAGAAAAAAAGAACTTTTGTAGCAAAAAGGTTGAGTCACGTTGAATACTTTCGCCAAAACGTTGGTTTTATTTGCGTTTCAAAAGAAAATGTATTGAAATTTCTCAAATTTTACTGGAAAAG